TTAAAACTTACTAAGTCTAAGTTACTTTATATAACACTTTAGTTAACTATACTAAAAGTACTATTAGACTATACTTTATAAATAACTATAGATTCTTTTAGAACCCTTATAGACTTATTAAGAAAAGTATTTAGAGTACTTTAACTTTTCTTAAATACTATTCTTTTTACTTACTAAAGATAGTCTAACTTTACTAGAGATTTATTTATTTTAGCTTATACTTTTTATAGTATTATAGTATGCCTTTAAAGAAGCTATTTAGCTTTTTTTTTATAATTTAGTTAATTAGACTTAGTTAGAAAATAATTTACTAGTACTTATTAAAATAAGAAATTTAATAAAAAAAGCCTTTATACTTATAAATAGTATTTATTATTATATAATATAAATAACTATAATAAGTATACTTATAACACTTTAGTTTTCTTATAAGTATTTTATAATAATAACCTACTATCTAGTAAAAATAATAAAGTATAATATTAAAACTAAACTTCTTTATTACTAAAGTAAGTTTTAAATAACGTTATATAAAAAAAGCTTTTTAATAATTTTTTTTACTAAATATTATATTGGTATTATAAAAGAAAGAAAATATAATTAATAACTCCCTAACCTAAGAGATATAACCTACTTATATAGGTCTTAAAGATAAGACCTTTTAGAGAGAAGACCTAAAATTATAACCTAATACGTTATAGGCTATATTACTTTACTTAATAAATAGATAGTAAGTAGTAGAAGTATTTATATAAATTAAAAATAAAGAACAGATAAATAGCTCCTTAGAATAAAAGAACTATAGTATAAGTTATATAAAGATAAAGAAGTAATTATAAAATAAAGTAATTACTAGTAATTATAGAAGTTAGCCCTTACTAGTATTTACTAAGTGCTTACCTTATATAAGAATAATAATTACTTATAACTATTAGTTAAAAGAACTATTTAGGGAATAGTTAGGACTTATATATAGGATAGACTTAGACGCACTTAAGGACAGACCTTTATAGGTCTTTAGTAATTAACTTATAATATATTCTCTAAATATCTTTTAGTATCTAACCTTAGTAATTTAATTAATAAGAAGCTATATAAGCTACCTTATAACCTTAACTATGTCTAATTACTAGGTAATTAATAAGATAATAAGAGTAATAAATACTGTTAACTAAGTACTAACCTCTGCTTACTATTAGTAGAAACCCTACTGTCTAGAAACTAGCTATAAGACCTAACCCTTAAAAAGTAGTAATAATATAAGTAATAAATAAATAATAGTTTTATAAAGTAATAATATACTAAGTAATAATAGAAAAGGGCTATTAATAAGGGGTTTTTATTTAATAATAGTTAAGTAATTCTTATAATATACCTATATAATAAGTAAATAATTATAATAAGTAAACTACTTCTTCTTTTTTTTCTACTTTTCTTATAAGTTAATTAAGCTATAATATATAAAATTAATTAAAACTACTTATTACTATCTCCTTTATTACTATCCTAAACTACCTTATAGGTTTATATATTATATCTCTACTGAGACCCGTCCGTCGTCCCTGGATACAACAACTAGGCAAACTTATCCGGGGTCTGATTATTATATCTCGTCTTTTTATAATGACTGAAGGAACACCTCTCAGGGTGCTGAGGTCAGTCTGATGATTTTAGGATATTTTCTTATCTCTAGCTTTAATACCCTCTTTTTCTCCTTATAGTGCCTTTACTTTAGCTATATTAAGTAACCTTTTAAGATATAGTTAGGTCTTTTTAGCCTTTTAATACTTACTTAGTATATTTATTTTTTCATAAAATCTAGAGTTCTTAGCCTTAATAAAAGTAAGCTTATATACTAACTTACTAATATCTTTAGCTTAAAGATTAATTACTTTATATACTAGTATTAGTAAGCTTTCTTAATATCTTTAGATTCTTTTTTTTAGTAAACTAGTACTTTATATACTTTTAATACTATAGTTAGTATCTTTAGGTCTTATAAGCCTAATATAATTAGATATAAGCTAAATAGTATTAATATATTTAGCTTAAAGTCTAAGGAAAAAATAACTACTTTAAGGTTAAAAGGTATAAGGCTAACTTATTTAAAGCTAGGTTATATATTTTTTTAATTAAAGTAAAAAATAATACTTTAAGAGTAAAAAAAAGGGATTTTTATCATATATAAAATCTATATTTATATTAAATTTTTAATCTTTTTACTATATAAGAGCTTTAATAATTTTAATAATTAATATTAAAAAAAAAGCTAAAGCTTATATAATAAATAAGAAAGTATATATAAAGTAATAATTCTTGATTTTTCATAAAGATTATTTAATTTAATTAATTTATAGCTATTATAATTATTAAGGACTAAAAGTAAATAAGTACTTTTTATATAAGACTTTATATATTACTTAAAATAATTTAACTAATCTAAGCTAATTTTATTTATTATCTATTTATTTTTACTTAAGTATATATATTACTTAGCTAGAAATTAACTATTTTAGTACTAATAGAAAAAGTAATATTTTTACTTTTTATAATAATATATAAAGGTATTACCTAGCTATCTATATATATATATTAAATAATAAAAACTTATTCTTAATTACTAGGCTACTTTATATAAGGCTTTCTCTTATAATTAGAGATTATAATAACCTTTATATATAATAATATTTTTATTAATAACCTAGTCTTATTTAAATTATATTTATAATTAAGGTTATTATTATATAAAGTTTTTTGCTTATTAAGGTTTAAAATATATTATAGTATATTTATTTAGAACCTAGTTAGCTATATCTTATATATTATCTTATAATAAAGAAAACCCTTAATAAATTTAGTTAATAACCTTCTTAATAGTTACTTTTTTCTTTACTTTCATTATCTTCTTTAAATTTAAATTTATTTTATCTTATGTAATATATTCTTTATGTTAGTAATAAAGTATTATATAAGGGACCTTAAAGATAGGAAGTACTTTCTATATAGACATTTTTAGGTCTTTTCTAATAGATTAGAAGGTACGGATAATATAGTTTTTAATTAAAAAGTATTACATATTTATACGTAGAGAAAGGTTAGTATAAAGGTTAAAGAGGTAAGAAAGAGGAAAAGTAGTTTACTTACTATAATTATTTACTTAATATATAGGTATATTAACACTTTATATATATATAAATATTAGCTTAAATAGCTTATAATTAATAAGCTACTATTATACCTTCCTTAACTACAAATATAGTAAAGATAAGGACTATAACTTTAGTCTTTTTTAAGAAAGCTATATAATAGTTAGTAATAAGTAATAAGTAATTAGTAAAAATAAGACTTATAAGCCTCTTTCTTAGAGGCGTTCTAGCCTTTTATAAGCTAAAAAGGCTTCTTCTTATACTACTACTTTAAGTAGTATAAAAGAAAAGTAAGTAAATTACTTATATAAAGAAGGTAACTACTATACTATATTACTATACTATAATAATAGACCTTTTTAGTAAATACTATTTTATAAATTATTTAAATAGAAATATTACTAGTAAATAGTTAGTAGTAATTAGTAATAATAAGTAGTAAAAGTAGTAAGTATAATAAGACATTATATAGTATAAAAAAGATTTAAATACTTCTAGTTTCTTATTATTATTATAATTAAAGAAAATATAAAGAAAAAAGTAAGGTAGGCCTATATAGTAAGTTAATAAACTTTATAAACAACCTAGTAATAATAAACTAATTAGATAATATAAATAATAAAAGATAGTAATTATATAATAATAGTCTTTTTATACTATATTTTATTTATCTTTTTTATTTATTATCTAGATATCTAGGTAATAGCTAATTATACACTACTACCTAGAGGGGTATATTATAAGGAATAAAGTAGCCTTACATAAGTTATTACTATATAACACTAATTCTAGTATAATATTACTTTATTATTTTAACATAAAGTTCTATTAAGCTATAAGGCGTAGTATTATACTATCTAGAAATAACAAACTACTTTTAACTATATAAATTACCTCTATAGTAAGCCTACTTTGTAGTTATTTCTTATAACATAAGTCTACTATATAATATTTTTATTAGTCTAGTATACTTATAGTAAATTACCTATAGTTATTTTAGTTATTTCCATATTAATGTATCCTACTAATATCTAAACAATACTTAATATTATAATAATTATCTTTTTATATTATAGAGTTTATTAATATACTATATTATAATAATAGAATTATTCTTTATTTTTATAATACTAGCTACTTTAAACTTAGTATATATTCTATATAATTAATATTTAGTATTATTAGGTCTTGTATTATATTTTAAAATGAAGAATAGAATATATATTTATATTCATATTATAATATAAAAGCAAATAAATATTAATATATACAATATTCTATAATATGTTATATACTTTTTTCTAGTAATCTAATAAGATACTTCTAATAATATTAGGTAAGCTCTTATAGTAAGGTACTTTATAATATTTAAGAAACTAGAATATATTTTATAAATATATATTATAGTTCAAATTATTAATGAAGAATATATTAATAAGTTATTTTCATTAGCTCTATATCTTATTACTAAGACAATCTACTAAATGTTAAACAAAATAGTATTATATAAGCTAGTTACTTAATATTTATATTATATTAAGTATTAATAACATAGCTTTTTCTTTAAATAATAGTTCTATTATTATAAATAAAGAAAAGTTAGTTAAATATTCAAAACAATAGACTTATAGTATATAGTTATATATATATATATATATATATATATATATATATTACTATTCAATAGCTAAACTTATATAATATATTACCTTAATATCTATTAGTAAAAGAGTAAGCTAGTGAACTAGCTGTAGAAGTAAAATTACTTTTAGTAAAATTACTATTAAACATATACTATAAGACTAATAGACTAGATATGTCTATTATTTATATACTTTACTATCTCTGTCTAGCTTAAACTTGTAGTACCTTCTGTCTCAGAACTTTATATATAGAGTTAGTAATTATCAACTTAGACTATCAAGTGTTACTTACTATCCTCAACGCTTTGTACATTCAAAGTCTTGCGTTGAATAATACTCTCAAGGTCTTGGGTACTGTTTAAAAGTTGCTGTACCTTTGCTTTGTAGAACCGCTCAGCTGACTCTGTATCCTGCAGTGAGTTTGCTGTCAGTAAATAAAATGTATACAGAAACAGGATCCTAGGAGAATTAAAGTTCAACATGCCTTTTCAACATAGAATCCAGTGCCGACATCGACGATGACGTGTTTTGGGTCCGATATCTCCCCGCGTACATAGAGAGAGTTAGTCAAGGGAACCAGGACCGACTTTTCGCCTGTGGAGTTATTAAATCAGCATGTGGTACGACAATACCTAGTAACACAGGAAAGACACGGAGGGACTGAGCGAACCAATATCGGAACCAGGGCGCGACGTGATACAGCGAAGGCATTCTCTGAACTTGGCCTGGGCGCTGTGAAGCTGCGCAAAGGAGTTTGTCAAGTGCTCTAGCTCCTCCTCCAGCTGCTTCTTGACCTGACTGAGCTGCTGGACATCTAACATCTCAAGATTAACTGTGAACTTATTGTCAGCAAGACATCACGAAATCGGTGCTTGTTAATACCGTCACAGTCGGTAAAGAGAACACTTACTACTCTCGGAACCTTGCGTCGCCATGATGGAAGATAAAGCTGTGGGCTTGAACAGCACGATTTGTCAAGCAAATTTGTGGTTTCGATCGGCTTCAGACCACCCGATCGGTTGAAGATGAATGGCGAGGTCTAGTTCTACACAGAGGGGGCTTGTTTTTGAGGCGGCATCTACTTAGGTAGGCATTGATATATACTGTTTCCTCCAGTTGCCGTCCTCCACTCGCCCACTTGCCCTCGCTCCTGTGAATCATCGTTCACGTGACTACCCCACACATCTCACCAACGCCTGTTTCCCCCTTATCCCATGGCTTCACCTCTCAACTCACCATTTCCCTTCGCTCCACTCAAAAATACGTGAGCTGATGACAGTATTTTCACGTGCACTGTCTGAAGGCTAGGTTTTTAGCCGAGCTCTGGATTGTGATGACAATAACGCCGGCCATTACGGACTGAAACATGTTGTACCTTATTTTACGTCGACCTCAAATGTGAGGCATGGTGGCAATGATGGCAAATCGTCCAAAATCTAGAGCTGCTTGAGCAACTCAGATACCCGCCGATGGAGATTCGCTAGTGGGACCGTTTCCTTAATACCCAGTCTTCTGCACTGGACCTCGCAGATGCCCGTTTGCTTCTTCCATACCTTGCCCAGCACGATGAGAACTGGGTATCCTACAAGGTCTGCATCTTTCAGCTTCCATGCCAGGGACACTGACCGGTCGTCCAGCACCGCATCAACCGCATCGAAGTCTTTGGAGTATGCCGTAATCTCATCATAAACCTTGACTGCCTCCTTATCAAGGTCCGTCACAGAAATAACCACAGCTTCGTATGGAGCAATGACGCGAGGCCACTGTAGACCTTTGCTATCTGCCAGATGTTCGACCACGGCACCAATAAGACGTGAAACGCCTATTCCATGGCAGCCCATTTGCATAAGTGTAGTCTTCTCTGATGTGCCGGATCGACCATTATCCTCAGGGACCGAGATGACTGCCCCAAGTGGTTCCGAGTATCGAGTTCCTAGATGGAAAGTGTGCCCCACCTCCAGGGCCTCCTGCACCCGTAAGACACCACCATCACAGTTAGGGCACCCGTCGCCAGAACGAACGGTGAGAAGGTTGAGTAGCTGGCCATTCCTGTTTTTCGTAATGGTAGTGGACTGTCCTTCCGCTTTTGCCATCCCTGATCCAGACAAGGGCCACACCCTATGCTCATCTCGGAGCACTCCCTCAATGGTGTTTAGCAGTCTGGAATCTACAACGTTGATGATTCGTGGTCGGCTGGTAGGGGCCTTTTCGCTAGTGAGCGAAACTGCAAGTGCACTCCGCCATAAAGATACAACATCATCGATGCTTGCATCGAGGTCAGGAATGACAGACTTGATGACCGGAATGCTGACATCGCAAGGCCCCATCTCACTCAGGTTGGTCCCCTGCTGTAGTTGCCCTGGATACCACGCATTCACTAACGTCAAGCGGTCTCTGCTAATACCTCGCCAAACCTTTGCGGGAGGAGTCGCAGGGCCTTCCGGCCCCGTATTGCCATTCGAATGCTGTCCATGTTCGACAGCTCTTGTCTCTGCAACCTCCGCGTTCACTGTGTAGTCACATTTACTGCAGGTGACCACGGTGTCTTCACCAATTGTGGTGGGGAGGTGGTACTCATGGCTGAGGTCGCCCCCCATATCTCCAGAACTGGCTCTGGCTACCAGCACGGGTAGCTTTAAGGCGTTGAAGACACCAGCATAAGCTGACTGGACCTTGTTGTACGTTTCCAAGGCCGCCTCCGCCGAAGCATCGAATGTGTACAAGTCCTTCATTGTGAACTCGCGGGTTCTCAGAAGCCCATACCGGGGGCGTAGTTCATCGCGAAATTTACGTGCTACATAGTCCCTGTGAGTTATTGAGATGCCTTCAGGTTGCTTGGCGTCATACTGGCGACTTACTGATCTGGTAGAGGCGAAGAGGTAGCTCCTTGTACGACTTGACAGTCTTTGCCACCAACGTAGTGATTTCCTCTTCGTGTGTGGGCGACAACATGTATTTCGCTCCTCTGCGATCATCAAAGCTAAAGAGCTTCACCGAGTGATTAGGACGAGTGGTGATACATTTTAAACACGTAGACAAACCTCGGGCTCCAACTGTGACAGACGACCACTCTTTTGCCATAAGTCTTTGGAAGTGATGGTTGACAGAGCGACTCTGGAGGCTCCTATAGCAGCCGTCAGCAACTTGGCCAAAGCGATGCATCACCTTCCATAAACGCACCCAGGTCCTGCATGTAGTAGTCGATAACATGCTCCAGTTTGTCCTGGACGCGTCGGCCAAGAGGGAGGAGGTGGAAAATGCCAGAATGAGACTAGGCAGTCGAATCAGCAGGATTTCTTGCCAATACCATCATTTCTGCAGCAAACTCACCTGTCTAAGAAACCCGGCTCGGATGAGCTTGTCCTGCGCACCTATTGTGAAATGAGTCTTTTGTTAAGCTTGAACGGCCATACACAGAGCCGTATGCGTACCTTCATCTTGACCAGGCGTAATACCTCCGGTAGGAAGCCAAATAGTGGACAATCGATTTCTTCTACGCACTACATGATAGTTGCGAGCAAGTGTCTGGAGTGAGACAATCAGAAGGGAAGTTTAGTATGGAAAACCGAGAAGCTGCTACTGACAGTGTTACCTCCCACCAATGATGAGCTGCAGCGGGCGAAGACGGGAGAATAAAGCAATGGCAAAGGAATAAATCGTCGTGTCCGAGACAGAACCATGTTGGGCAACGGTCCAGAAGTGACCGTTCGATGGTAGTACAGCAGTTGCTCGATCTGCCTCAACAGTGGCCGGGCAGTATGGTCAGACGTTGACGAGAAGTACTGGATTAGGGAGCGGCGGTGGCAGACGGAAGAAGCCCAGAGGAATTGTTATGGTATGGCTTGATGGCCGAAGTGACAGCCTATTCGAGGGACTGAAAACTGGCTCGTCCCAGCACCAGCCAGCTAGCTAACAATGTGGAAGAGGGACCCCTTTTCTATACGTGAGCGATAGACTGGCGGGTAGAGATCGTTGTGGTTGCGTCAGGAGGTAGCGGCTATCTGAAGAGCAATAGCGTGGTTGCTTGGTCCACTTGTGAGTGAGCTGTGGTTTCGTATGGCCGGGCATAGGGAGTCTATGCAAGGCATTAATGATTGAGGGCGTTGGTCTGATGGTATATTCAGCCCTCGACGTGCAATTCAGCCAATTCCTCACTTCGAAAGAGAAAAAAAGTAAAAAAAGTAGTGAAATGGGCTAATGTGAAGTACCTGATTGAAGAGATATATATACCTTGAGTTTAAGGCGACAATCCAGACAAGGGCAATATTGAAGCATCAGGGGGGGAAGAAGGGAATAGGAACCACATCAAAGTGAATAAGGCAAAGTATCTCGAAGCTTTGCGCAGCAACAAGGTCCTTTTGAGCTTTCGCATCAATTAGCTGTTGAGGTAAGTACCTTGGGCAAGGAGATATTAAGGCACGTACCTGATCAAGATCGGTTGTAATGTCCCACCTAGGTAGCCAGGAGCATTCCTGCATGGGCCCCGCCCATGTAGGGTGCATTCTATCGATAAGATATAGGACCCCCACTTCCGCTATCGAAATCTACTTTTTTTCTCTCTTCTAGCCTCTCTTCTGGCAGCTTCACTTCAGTTGCCCATTTTCTCTGCATCGATCCTCCTGTATTGTGCAATTGAGCCAATCGTTAAGGAGGCAACGTTTTGAAGACACGCGACTGCCAAAATTTCATTTCGTCAATAAAGACATTACTTGCGTTCTAGTTTGTTGTCTTTTCGTCGCGCGAACCGCGGCAGTTTAGCACCATGGGCAAGCCCAAACGACAGTCTACTGGCAAAGGGCACCGGTCAGAACAGTTGGACGAACAGTCGCTATCGAGCTTGACAGCCATGATTGAAAAGACCCTCAGCAGACCTACCACAGACGGAGGTGCCAAAAAGAATAAGAAGCGAAAACACTCCGACGAATCATCAGCGAGCCCTCACCAGCGAAAGAAACCAGCCCAGGGACGTGAAAGGTTCACAAATGGTGGCCGGGAAGCATCGAATAAGCCAGAAGGTAGGCACGGTGGCAACCTCTCCCGTGATGACCTACTGGAAGAGATTCGTGCCCTGGGTGGCGATGAAGAAGATCTGAAGCTCATTGGGGATATCGACTCGGATCAGGAGGATGTTGCTGGCGAGGACAGCTCCGGATCCAATGAGGTTGTTGACGGGAAGCTCAAGAATGAACTGGCTGCTTTCGCAGCTCAGCTCGGTCTTCAGCAGTACCACGAGGAAACCACCGCCAACGACGACGGTGAGGACGACAACGTTGACGACGCAGATAGCCAGCTTGATAAGGGCGACTCACTATCCGAAGTTGATGTCAACAACTTCGCACTCCCTCCTCAAGAATCCATGCCTCAAGAGGCTAATATTGCGCCCAAGAAGCAGTTCGTGAGCAGATACCCATTTCTCGCAGCCTAGTGTCACTTGCCGTTTTACTTACCAAGCTGCACGTAGAAATTCGAGCCTCGTGCTGAGTGGCATGGTGCCGAACTAAGCCAGCTTCCCGAACCAACTTCTGCTGAAGTAGATGCCTACCTGGGTGCCATCAATGCGCTGAAAACCCATGCTTTGACACTCTTGGAGGCGGATGCATCGGCATACAACAAGAGCGTCTTGGCATCATCCTCTCGAAAGTTCCTGTCTACCATTATGTCCTCGGGAACGCTATCCGATAAAGTATCTGCACTCACGCTGGCAATCCAGGAATCGCCATTGCATAACATCAAGGCTTTCGAATCGTTGTTGGGACTTGCAGCCAAAAGAAGTCGTGCTCAGGCAATCGGAGCGCTGGGCGCGCTGGTTGATCTCCTTGGGCCTGGTCTCGTGCTGCCTCCAAACAGAAGATTGCGGACCTTCCAAAGCCAACCAGGCCTGATCGGGGCCCTGCAACGATCGTCTCTCAAGAACTGGAGCCCCAATCAGCCCCTGCCTGGTCGCCTTACGGAAGCGCATCTTGTCCAATGGGCATTTGAAGATTGGCTGAAAACATCTTACTTCAGGGTCGTTCAGCTTCTTGAAGTATGGTGCAATGATGAGATCGAATACTCTCGCACTCGGTCTCTGGATTTCGTCTACGGCTTACTCAAGGACAAGCCGGAACAAGAGACGAACTTACTAAGACTGCTGGTCAATAAACTTGGCGACAAGGACCGCAAGATTGCCTCAAGGGTCTCATATCTCCTACTCCAACTTGAGACTACCCATCCTGGGATGAAGCAGGTGGTCATTAAGGGTATCGAACAAGAGGTTCTGCTTCGGCCAGGTCAGACCTTCCGAGCGAAATATCACGCTACGAATACGCTGAACCAGACGATCCTGAGCAACCGCGAGGTCGGCACAGCCGAAACACTTCTCCGCATCTACTTCGATATATTCGTCACCCTTCTCCATAGCTCTGCCCTTGGGATAGCCCCTGCTGAAGGCCAACAGGAGCAGCCAGCATCAGGCAAGGATTCCAGCGTGACGACAGAGACGGCTGACAAGCTGGTCACTGCAGTGTTGACAGGTATCAATCGTGCGGTACCATTTGTTGCAGCACAGGATTCCATGTACGAATCTCCTTGCCTTTTTTTTTCTTTTTCAATTGAGTACCCAGCTAACCTTTGATGACAGCTTGGAGACCCATATGGGTACACTTTTCCGCATTGCGCATTCTACAAACTTCAACACTAGCATCCAGGCGCTTATCCTCATCCAGCAAATATCTGTGTCAAGGCAGCTGGCATCCGACAGGTTTTACAGGACATTGTACGAGTCCTTGCTGGACCCGCGGCTCGTCAACTCCTCAAAACAGGCTCTCTACCTTAACCTGTTGCTGAGATCTTTGAAGGCCGATGTTGACACTCGACGGATAAAGGCTTTCGCCAAAAGAATGTTGCAGATCCTCAACATGCATCAACCAGCATTCGCCTGTGGATTGTTGTATGTGGTGTTCCAGCTGCGAATCCAGTTCCCAGATCTCAGGGCACTTCTCGCGGAGCCCGAGGAGAACGACATCGAAGAGACAACTAGCCAGGCTATGGACCACGAGCAGAACAGATCCATCTCCAGAGGAACCGCGTACGACGGCCGAAAGAGAAACCCTGAGCATAGCAATGCCCAGAATAGTTGTCTTTGGGAAATTGTATTTCTATATCCTTGCTCGTTCACACAAGCTCAAATCGCTAACAGTCGCACAGGTCCCTCCCCTTACTCACTTTCATCCATCCGTTTCGTTGCTCGCCGCCAGCTTATTTTCGAACGAGAAGCAAATGACCAAACCGGACCTAGAGAGCCACAGCCTGATTCGCTTCCTTGACAAGTTTGTGTACCGCAGTCCCAGGGTGGCCGAGACTGCCCGAGGAGCGTCCATTATGCAGCCAGTACGCAACCCGGATTCAGGCAGCATTTGGCTTGCAAAGAGAACTGGTTCAGCTGCTGCTGCGCCCCTCAACACGCCAAGCTTCTGGAACAAGAAGGTCGAGCAGGTTGCGGCGGAGGATATCTTCTTCCACGAATACTTCAAGCAGGCAGGCAAGAAGAACGAGCCAGGCAAGCAAGAAGTTACGCCGTCTGCGCACATGACAGAGGAACCCGTGGATGACGCCGAGCAGGAGGATGAGATTTGGAAGGCGCTTACTGCTATACATCCGGACGGTCCAATCGACAGCGAGGAGTCTGACCTTGACATGGATGGTTTTAGTGACAGTGATGACGGTTCCGGTGGTGGTGTCATATTCTCTGACGGTTCTGACGCTGATCTGTCCGACAGCGACGAGGTTGATAAGACCATGGAGGATGACGAGGCCGACCAGGATGGAGGATACGACGAGATGGATAATGGTGAGGAGGGTTCCGAACTCGCTGCACTTCCCGAAGCATCTGAGGAGATTGGCGAACAGACCAAGCGTGGTAGTCGATCATCGAAAAGGAAACTCAAGGATCTGCCCATGTTCGCCTCGGCTGATGATTATGCCGAACTGCTGGCTCAGGAGGAGGACATATAAGGGAATTGAGACAGTGGTTATTCAACTGGTGTTGCGCATTCAATACAAAAACGTCGGCAAGATCAAACAAAAAACGACATTGATGCCCTACTACTAGCACCTTGTCCCTATGTGTCAAACCATTCCAACGCATCACCCTTGGTGAATATGGCCCGGTATGTTTTGTCACCGTCAGAGTGTTCTTTCTCCTCTGTGTGAATGCTATGGAGCTTTGGTGGTTCGCCTCCTGGTACAAAGGCCCGAAAGTGAATATAGGCGGGCCCAGAATCAGGCAAGGCTGGGATGCGAATTTTGCCGAAAAGGTGGATTCCGTAGGCTGAGACAGCGACTCTTATGGCAACTAAATCGTCCGGGCCAAAGGCAGCAAGCGCGTGATCATCGAGGTGTGCCTGCAGCAAATCAGGTCAGTGTGCAAGAAATGGGTGAAGAGGGAGTGAAGGATGATGGCTTACTACAGCCTGAAAATACTCGGGCTCGTGCTCTGGTGGGTGATGATGGTTAGCGCCAGTACCTTCGTTGTTAAGCTAGTACCAGGAAGGAGAAAATACTCTGATACTCCCGTCGGATGTGAAGCAATTCCTTCTTTAGATCATGCTCAATCTCTCTGAAAACCTTGATGGATTCCTCTCTAGGCTCATGTACTTCGCCCAGGTCTACAGTTTCAGCCGTGGCCTAGAGGCCGTGTAAGAAGACAAATTAGGCAACCAAATCCCGAACCATAGGTATCAAGCGATGGGAGGAATAAAGGACATACCATAGTGCTGACTTTGTTTTACGTGTACTGCACAAGCAAGTTGAGTATGACTTCTGTCAGGCTTTGCGATATGAGGTGTGCTTGGCGCTACAAGGTATTGAACCGAGGTATAAGATAACCCTTGGCTACCTACTGAATAATGAAAGCTAAGGCTGGCAGAGTTGCACGTTTTGGAAAGCTACCACAACTGTATCTTATAACACCCGTTGATCCATAAGGGGACAACAGCTAGAGGTGAGCTGGAGTGAGGGGTACGGAGTCTAAAGAACCAAGCCGCTTCAATCAATTGGTTGCTTGGAATTGTGACATTGGACCCAAACCCCTGAAGGAAGTACACAGATGGACACCATATTGCCGCGTGATGAACCATACCCCGCCCACTGGGCTTGTTTTGTGAAGTACTATAGCAGTTTCAGGAAGAAGTGATGTCATGTGTACAGGGTTGCTTGCTGGGCAAGTGACACGGTCGCAAAACACGATTATGTGAATCCGCAAGGGAACAAACGTGAAAGTCTTCAACTGCCTGGATGTGAACTTATTGTGTGTTTGCTATTTGGGCAAAGCATTGCAAGGTTGTGAACACAAGCGACATCCTATAAAGGAAGGCACATAAGGCGTGCAGTGGATAAGAAAACAAACCCGTTCCATCCTGTCTGCTGCCTTTGCCTCGTGCAATTAATAATAGGCTTCGGCGAGATGCTCCCGTGGGTAGGTAAGTTGATTTCCTGGAATATGTGTGCTACGATTACTTGCCCCAGCCAGCTATGTACTTGCATCATGTAGCCTCAATTGGTGCATATGCTAGGTATATGCTTCAATAAACGCTTTAGTGATGCCATACTACTTACTATCAGGCCTTATCGGGGCTATCGCGGACATGTTGCGTTCTCCTATCTAATCCCTAACCAACTCTTGCTGCATCTATTCAGTCTGCCAACTTTTGTGTTCCTGCCTGGAGCCTCGCCACCTCATGAAGTGGTCGCAATCATGACAACACCACTTGTACTGTCGAAGCGGCTGCTTAGGCCTGCCCTGACCGTGCAAACCCATATGATGCAGTCATCTGGCCGCTGTCGTCAGGTGTGTATTCGACGCTTCCACCCAGGCGTTGGCGCAGGTGAGGCTTTGTCGAGTTCTTTGGCCCGTAGTTTACTTGACTGACTTGCGATTGTCCAACAGATTCCGTCACACAACCGATGCGAACCCCCTCCCGGTTTCGTAGAGCCATCGCATTCAGCGCGTTTGGGCTGCTCTTCGCAGGTCTGGGATTTACTGCCGCTGCGAGCCCTCTCGTGCCTGGTCTTCTCGACGTAACACGGCATCGTTCCGACGAGGATAGCTTGCGCGCATATGTCCCTGAGGATGACGGAGCAAAAGCAATCGACGACTTCATCAACGGCCATCCCCTTGCGGCGGAGATGCGACAGAACCCTGAAATGACTGAGTCTCGTCCTCACATGAGGCTTCCTGATGCTCTACGACGTCACAATCTTACAGGTGGTACGCTCCTGGGCCCCGGACGCATTACAGTTCCTCCCATCTGCTGGACCGAGAAGGGTGGCAAGTCGCTCGTCTCCATCTCTCACCTCGGGACCGACGTGTGCGGTCATCCTGGCATTGTGCATGGTGGGCTGCTTGCTACCATGCTCGACGAGGGACTGGCACGGTGCTGCTTTGCTGCGCTTCCGCACAAAGTCGGTGTTACGGCTAAGCTCGAGATCAACTACAGGAAACCGGTACACGCAGGCACGTATGTCGTGTTGCGGGCGCGGACAATCAGAGTCGAAGGACGTAAGGCTTGGGTTGAGGGCCAGCTGGAAACGTTGGCAACAGAAGGAGAGGAGCCTGTGGTTCTGGCGCAGGCTTCGGCGCTGTTCATTTCTCCCAGGTTTGCATCGGTTGGTGACTTCCTCCACCCAAGATCACATGATCCTAAGAATGACACGAGCGACAGATTATGGCGAAGCTCAATGCAACTTCTTGAGAGTGATATTCCGAGAATGACGTTTGCGAGTCGAGCAGTCGGCAAACCTACGGATCTCCTTGGAAGGCTTGAATAGATTATCGGGACCGCTCAACCCTTGAAGTATTAACGGTGGCGCGCGGTGAGATGTTGGTTGATATGTCTGGGACGATGGCCAACCTGTGAGAGGAGCCATTGCCACAATCGGGACGAATAAGGACCAAAAACACCGAGATTTGGTCGTCTTTATCATATATATATTCTATAGAATATGCGTAGATGGGCTGGTATGGGAAGCGGTTGCTTGCCCATAGTGCCTTGACCTTGAGGCCGATGTAGACGATAAATCGGCAGTTTTTAGTTAACCAGAGGTTACCTATCCACGATGACACACTATGGAGGACCACATGATGGCATCCGGCTGGCGAGAAAGGGATATCGAGAATAATTTCAAGAAGCCATCTGATGCATCAACGTTTTGCGACACGACATAGCGAAGTCGAAGGAGCTAGCATGGCCGTAACTTAGGGACCCGTAGGCTGAAAGACCTGAGAAAGCTACAAACGTCGGATTCCGCGCCGGCTTCGGCACCGACAAGGAGGACGGCACAGACGGAGCGGGACTCGGTACTGGAATTGGCCGGAATGCTTCTTGCCCAGAGAAAGGTACCTACATGGATGGTGCCCTGTGAAATGGAAGGCCCGCCAAGCGTTGATCCACCCTTCTGACGCCATCACTGGGCGGTGATTTCTCCACCCACTTGCTAGGTACCTTGGAAGGAGTTGAGGCCGATGCCGGTGCGCTCCACGCACTTCTAAGGCCGCCTATGACATTCATTCTCAAGCAAACTCATCAGCGGGGAGTGGAACGAGGGGCAATTTAGCCCCGTAGTGCTGCGGGCGAGCTTGTACACTAGTTTAGATGCTGTTACGACGCCACACGCTTCTTCTCACTCATTTACGCAATCCACAAGTCCGCGCTGTGCTGCAAGGTATCCGTACTGACATAGTCTTTTACCTTTCTGTTGTCTCAGCCTAGAGGAGTAAGGTCCTTACTCGGTCCATCGACCCGTCTGTCGTGGCGCACCTTTCCACATAGGAAGACCGTAAATATAGCTGGCTGATGTGCCGCCCTTTCACACATCCGTCTCTCCTTCTGTCAACCTCCCACCTACTACAATTTTGGAATTGTCGACAACCAAATGCCCAAGATATACTGCAATGGCATCGTGAGTACACAACATGCAAATATTCAATATGCGCCTTGATTTGACCCCGACTTTCGTTTCTCCATAATGTTTATCACTCTCATATTTTCACAGCCCCGCAGTCACTCAAACCGGTTACTTTCCTTACAGCCGCTACCCCGCCACGTTACCGTCATTTCTCGTTACTGTTGATTGTCAACTTGCGCTCGGCTAACGCATATATTTCGTTCGGATAGTAACATCACATGGCATCCCTCTCTCTCGCGCAAGGAGCGCAATGACCTCCGCGGCCAACGTGGCTTCACCATGTGGCTGACCGGTCTCTCCGCCTCCGGCAAGTCTACGGTTGCCACTGCTTTGGAGCAGCATCTGCTGCACCTGGGAGTTGCTGCTTATCGTTTGGATGGCGACAACGTCCGCTTTGGCCTCAACAAGGACCTCGGGTTCTCCGAGAAGGACCGCAATGAGAATATCCGGCGCATAGCAGAGGTATGCCCTGTGCCTATTCCTGCATGGCTCTTGGGCTGGGCATTGTTCATTTGAGAAATCGATCTAACCAGCATGTGTCAAATTGGTACAGGTTGCCAAACTATTTGCCGATTCTTCAATGGTTGCTATCACCTCCTTTATCTCCCCCTACCGCGCCGACCGCCAATTAGCGCGCGAGCTGCACTCCCAGGCCGGCCAGAACAACGACGATGCTATTCCCTTCATTGAGATATTTGTCGATGTTCCCCTCGAGGTTGCCGAGCAGCGCGACCCGAAGGGTCTTTACAAAAAGGCAAGAGCCGGAGAAATCAAGGACTTCACTGGAATTTCTGCCCCCTACGAGGAGCCTCTTGACCCTGAGATCATTATCAGAACCGACAAATACAGTGTTGAGCAGTGCGTGGCACAGATTGCCAACTGGTTGATCAAGGAAGGTCTTATTTCCACGAGCAAAACAGCATAAGATATACCCAAAGTGTTTCGATCGCCTCCCATCCCTCGTACTCCCATAATTAGAAACTGTTGAAGTAGTAACACCCAGAGCTCTTCTATCTATGGTTCCATTGTCCCCCCAAATCCATCCGTTGGATTCTCAGTGCATACATACAGGTCTGAGTGGGTGGCTGCTTGTGTCCTTAGTCTCACCACGATATTCTGTCCTCAGGGAAAGTCGAACTCGTAGTACACATAGGCTGTGTACTCATGGCCCTCACCTCCGCCCAAACCAGCCGCGGCCATCTCGGAAGATAACATTGCGTCATCCTTGGTGATCTTACCGCGCTTGTCTCTCCCAAAGGCGTTGCCTCCCAGATACGAGTAATTGGAGTCGAGTGCAGTCTTGACTTTCTTGCACAGTTTCGAATTGGTCTCAAATGGGACAAGTTAGCACCATGAGCGACATAATAGCCGCGTGGATTCTTGGCCGTTCTGGGGAGATGAGAAGAGGGCAGGGAGGGGGGGGGGGGCGAACCTTGACAAGGACACTGACGTAGTCGAGGGGAAGTCCATAGCGAAGTACTGCCTCCACGAACACGCGTAGTGCAAGCACGTGTAACCAGATCATCACACTCTCGCTCCAACCAGTCCGGCCAATCCTCAAGGCTTCTCCCCATGTCTTTTTCTCCTCGCGAGCTACTCGATCGAGCTCGCGCTGTTCCTCTTCTTTGCCGCCCTCGACGTACTTATACTGACGCGGTGTCCACTTTTGCTCACGACATTTTTGTAGGAATTCGGCGCTGTGTTTCTTGAAGGCTGTGGCGGCAAACAAGGTAAACTCTTCATCGGAGGCAACTTGGACGGCGGAGCGGGGAACGACCATCGGTGCCAATGTTTCATAGCTTCTCAAGAAATCCTTCTTCGCGTTGTTCGGTACAACGATTAGGTGCGTCTCGAGGTATTCGGAATCCTGGATGAGCAGTGCTGGATCAACAACGGGAGTAAGGGACTTGGTCGCGAGGTTGCCACTGCCATGGAAATGTCAGCAAATGGAACGTCGTGATGAGCTTCGAGAATTGCGTACGTTTGCTTGCGTTGTAGCGTGGTGAAGTTTGTCTTAACTGAGTTATACTGGTTGAACTTGCTCTTGACGTCGTTGTCGGTGGTGATTAATTCCTGATGGCTGGTCAGCCTCCCGGTTTGGCATGTTCGTAGCGTTTAACCTCGGCTAGGATCGCGAAAACAAGCGGTGGGGTGTAAGAAAGAGAGAAAAAAGGCATGTAGCACCGAATATACATTTGTCATTCCCTGGCGCGAGCGATATTCACATACCTTTTGTAAAATATCCACAAGTTCACTCAGAGACTTGTCGGCGCGGTATCGGACTCTATTCCAGGAGAAAGAGCTAATGTATTGATCGGTGGGCTCTGGAAGTCATACACCATTAGTGACTTGCCGAGTATTGCCGATGATGTGGTAGGAACGTTGGGGAAATCGAGGATATCTCACTGTCATTGACCATCTTCTGCTGGGAGATTTTGTCCTCATCGCCGTCAAGAATCGATTTCAAGGAGTCAGCCACCTTAGCAACGACGGTCCCACATGTAGATTCCAGTTTGGCTAGGTCATCGGCTTGTTGAACCAAGGCATCCAGAGTGCCGATTTTGAAATCGGGGATGTTGAAAGGGCGGACGTTGCCGTTCTCGGGCGAGATGGTGGCGCTTAGGGAGGCCACGGCCTCTTCCTTGTCGCTGGAGTCGAAGATGCCAAGCGGCAGAGAGACAAGAGCGTATTTGGTAGACATGTTCTTGAATCGGACGAGGATTAACTATCCATGCGTGTCGGTATATGAGGGCCTTTAGAGGGAGGGGAGTTCTGAGCGCGATGACGATGTAGTAGCACAAAGCTATGAGGTGTCGATGAGAGCTAAGGTAAGTGTGTAGCTGACGCAAGACAGCGCAAACTAGGTAGGTAGGCGGCTGGTCAGCAGAAGCAGCGTTGAGCGCTCTGGGGGACTGACCTCTCTCTGACTGGATATTGTAGGGATTGCCCGCAGTAAGCAATGGAGATTGCCAATTCCAGCGACAGAATAGTAGTATACGAGAGGCTTGAAGTTAATCGAGGACAGGATGTAGTGGGAGCAAGTGGAAGAAGTTCGGTTTGGAATTGAGCTAGAGCCAAGGTGGTCCCAGTGATGCGGATTAGGTACCTTTACCTTTCAACCAGGGGTACTTTCTCATTCCGCCATTTTACATGCGTATCGCATGTACTGCAACACGGCATATGGTCTCCCGTTAGGTACCTCTTCTTCTCTACGCCGAGCGTTGGGCTGTACAGTACGGTACTGTCTACCCTTGGCCATTAACAGCACTCCTGTATTCTGTATGCGCTTCGCTTCCCTAGGTAATAGTAGCTAAGGTGGTTCTACCTCGACAGCTACCTACCTAGATACTCTCTGTCCTGCCACCCCCTCTCTTCTACCCTTTACTCCTCTGTCTCATTTTCTCTACTGCCCTTAACTTTCTCACGGTGTACTTCGTCAGCTCTTCGATAACTTCATCCTGGCTGTCGACGCCCCTCCAATCCCATCCCATAGCGGAGAGGTCCCAATCTCCATCACGAACGTCCCGACGTCCCTCATCGCGAAACGTGGCGCACCCGCAGATTTGCTCGCATCTAACGAATCCATCCACCGCTTTCGAACTCACGACAGATATACTTTGATCCGTTTGATACGACCATCTCTCTTGTTCCCTTCTGTGCCGAATGACGATGACGATGGCATCAACCTTCTGGACACCTATGCAGTTGACTCGGTAAACAACCATCCGGTATTGGGCCCCCTTTAAATACCAAGTTGGGTTTCGTGATGCTCTCTTCTAGTAGCACGAGCCCAGACATCCAATCCCTACGCTAAACCGAACCCGAAGCTAAGCTGTACGGGGACGTATAACGGGGCCGCAACGGTGTCTTTCTTTCGGGTTGGGAATGAAGTCTACTCGATGCAACGATTGCACACACAATAATGGCTACAACCGCAGGTATGATATCGGCCTTTGCCCAAACCCATTATGTGTAAATTTTCGACTAATCGCGGCCGCGTTAGCATCACTTCAACCGTTAAAGCACGTGGCGTCTACCTCGCTCGAGCATTCTGGCACCCGTACTAGTACTGAGATTGTCACACCGATTCGATCTACCTCGCAAACCTTTGCGTCAGGCTCTACAAAACCAAAAGGTTTGTAAGCTCAATCTGGTTGTCCGATGCGGTCTGGTGGCTGGCTGCTCGGCGTGAGGTTCTGTAACAAACGCTGCTAACCTTGAAGTCTCAGACGAAGCTCACGGGTTTGGTATCTTGCAGCACACAGGTCCACCCGCGAAAGATGATGTTCTGGGTCTATATAGAGATGGGCGCGTCCGAAATCCTGTACCCAGCAAGCTGAAGGGCAAGACGGACGCTAGAAAAGGGAATTTTGGGGTCATGCATATAGACCTTTCCACCACCAACGAAACCCAGGAGCGTGACGCGGCAGCGAAGCGCACAAGCGAGGGAACTCAGCTTGCGGCCAAACGAGCTCAGACCGATCGCTATGTTCCCTTTAAACGCAGCAAGTTCATCTATCGGCCCGAAGATCAAGTCGCGTCCAGCCCGCAACAGCCCGATGGAGCCTGGCAGAAGACCTCGCCACTCACCGTAGCCGAAACCAAGGCCGAACAGGCTCGGTTACTGAGTTTATTGCAAAGCTTGCAGCCTGTTCTAGTCGTTGATCAATTATGCAAGGCACTTGCCTTCTTCGGCGAGGTTTCCAATACGCAGTCTCCCACCAATGAAGCCTTTCCTGAGAGCGCAAAAGCTAACGGTCCTGGTTCCCTCTTTGTGGGCTGGCTTGCTGAAATTTTCCCAGCCCTCAGTCAAGAGTCGATACAGAGTGCACAGCACCCACCGTCGAAGCGTCCACGAGGTCGCCCCAAAGGAAGTAAGAATACGAAGGGAAAGAAAGACAATGTTGCTAGGAAACGATTTGTTCCTGCTGGCCCCTTAGCAGATCCCACAGGGTACAGCCTTGTCACCAGTGGTTTAGTCAGGGAGTCTGTCCTGGACGACAGCTGGGTCGACATGGACGATACCACAGGAACCGAGGGACAGATTCTAGAAGGGCAGCTGGAGCAAAGGTCCACGACTCCGTCTCGCAACAATCAAGTCATGGCCGGTCCAAATGCTGCTGACAGTGTGCTGGGCAGCGCTTCTGCCAAGGCAGCTCCCGTTACGTCGACTCCGAAGCGGCGAGGGAGACCGAAAGGCTCCAAAAATCGGCCAAAGCACAAGACTATATTGAACAACGAGATTGAGAGTGCTCAGGATGTATCTAGCGCAGCAACTGGTTCCGCCATGTTGCCGAATGAAGTGGCAGACGATGCGAGGTCCTCGGTTGTGCCAATACCCTCAAGCGCACCCAATGACCCTGTTGAAACCGGAATGGTCGGCGTTAAGAAACGGAAACCAGGACCAGGACGCCCCAAGGGTTCCAAAAACCGACCTAAAGAAACGGTACCCGCATGTGACCACGATCCTCACTCGGTACCAGCGTTAACAAACATCGACCATCGCGAGCGAGAAGTAATTCCGAATGCTGCAGAGTATGCTTCTCATTCGTCATCCGCCATCATGATCCTTCCGCTCGTGCAAACCGAGCCGCCGCAGAATACCGTCGCGATCATACATCGCCCTTCAGTATCAGAGCCTGCCAGAGAAGCTGTTGGAGACGATTTGAACAACGGAGGAGATTCCAAGGGCATTGCGCGGAAGCGGAAATCTACCCAAGAAGAAAACCAATCCAATCCTTATGATGTTCATTCGACCATTACTCCAGCCCCGGCACAAACTCCGTCCGAAACTGTTGAGACTGTCACATCCCAAAGTGGCTCTTTACCACGGCTGGCTCGATATCACAGTTCTATTAACCCGGCTAGTGCACGCGCATATCAACCGGCGAAGAGACAGAGGATTTCCACAGAGCTTCAACAAGAACACGAATTGAGTGGCCACGTCAGACAGGCCATCCAAACCGAGTCGCACAGGTCCCAACCAGATTCATCAGCGGGTCACTATGATGCTAATCTCGATGGGGTTGGCGATAGTAGCTTGCAGAAGTCTAGGCAGCAGTTAAGTATTTCTGCGAGCCGATCTACGCTTCAACAAACTCCTAACAACCGGCAATCTGAGCCCAATACGCCTGTGGGATTCAGCAGCAATATAGGAACGCCAGGGACTAGTCAACAACAGGTAGAAAGACCAGAGGTTATAAACACATTTACCATGAATATACCACGAAGAGCTGTACAAGGCATCCATGACCAGGTCCAGCCTACTCAGTCTCGTCAACATCATCAGCAGCAACATCAACAGCAGCAACAGCAACTATCCCCTACACACAAGCGGCCAATTACCAGCCAGCATCGTCTCACCAACCCGAAGACTGGCCAAATGACCTCGACAGCTCGACAAAGCGGGAGCCCCTTTACCTCATCGGTCAGTGGACGTGACTACCATGGGCTGACAAGCGTGCAACAACCACCGTTCAATGCGCAGATGGCAGTACCGATACCGACGCAAGAGACCAACCATAGTCCCATGTCACGCTCCATGCAACACCACTCTCCCGCTTTCCAGAAACGCCAGGCACATCGATCGCAGAGCTCAGACCTTTCTTCGTTCCAGGACTATTCCGATTCATCTTTTCTTGAAATGGCGGGACTTGACTCAGCTAGCCAAGCTAGCTTAAACATGAATTCGACGTCGTACGATATCGGCGACGGGACTTTGCAACGAACCTCGCCCGATATCAACTCATCCTATGGCGCATCTTCAAGCATGAGCCTCCCATCTTTCAATAGCGAAAACACAGAGTCTGCGTTGAGGGAGCGCATGTATCATAGCCTGAGACGTTAGTAACCAGCAAGACACTGCATCCGTGACGACTGCATTATGAACAATAGCCTGTATGCATTTTTGTCGAACTGTGCACGACTGTACAGGCCATATCTATTAAATACTAGGAAGTAAGTCGCTCTCTCGAAGTATATAATGATGTAGCTGTGTCATTCCGTCTGTACATGTATGCCATCTCTTGTGGGTCAACTTACCTTTGCCAACTACGGAACTTCGACGATGGCTTATTCGTGTCGCCTTCTTCTCATTTGGCAAGGAACGGTCCAGGATGAGCGTTTGACGCGTTGGAACAAGGGTCTTTTTGATCAAAACAACTTGTTACAATTGAGTTGACAAGACAAGTACCAGACATATCCGGCATGAATACATAGAAAAAAGTGATACTGCGACAAAATCATGCCAGTATCTCTATCCATATCTGTACCCCTGCCCATGCGAGTTCCGACAAAAGAGAGCATTGAGGTAGTCCGTATATATTTTTTTAAAGAGGCGCCCCTGCGCCTTTGCCCCAAAAGCCGATTTCCCTGGCTGACCTAAACGCCCATAAATGCCCAACACGCCGTGCCATTGTCATGTGCCGCTGTCCATAGGGTCCTCGTCTATCGCCTCGAGCGGAGGGCGAATGGACTCAGGGGTACTACGCCCATACCACCACTCGTCCTCCTCATCCATCCCGTCATCGCGGATCAGCTCCAACATGACTTGTGCATTGCGCTTAATGTCTTGAGTACGCTCCACAATACCTCTCTCTAAGATCATAGCCTCGGCTGTCTTCAGCCAGATTTCCTGCAGACTAGGCAAGTCCGCAAGTATGTGACGGACATGCTCGCGCCCCAATGGCCCCATAGGCATACCGGCCGCCAGGCTAGTGTTGAAGACCAAGTTCGTATCGTAGGGATCGACGGGATCTTCAAGAGATGTCCTTGAACCGCGACGTGCTGGAAACCCTTCTTGTTGGGTCGATTTGGACGAGTCCTTAACAGACACTGTCGACTTTTTACGGCTCAGACCAATGATACTCCGTCGTTGTTTGACGGTTGGTTCGGTCGAATCTTTTGCAATCGAATTGTACCAGGTATCAACCGCTCCCCTCCTGCTGTTGTATCCTTTGATCTCCCAAAGCCTTTCCACTTGTCGCAAACCACCAACGCATAGAATGGCAACATGGACTTCGTCTGAAGGCCTTTCTTTCAAGTAACCCCTAAGAGATCGTTCGACACGACCGGCATATGATGGTGGACGCAATCTTCGGCAGAAAGAAGAGATGATGAGCGGAAAGACTTGGTGAACGCGCAGAAGCGTCTGATCGTCGTACATGTTCATGATTTCAACCTCGATAGGATTTAGTGTATAGGGCACTTGTAGCAAGCCGTGGCCGTTGTGGTCGAGGATATGCTGTAGATGTAGCTTTCGGTAGGTTTCGAAGAAATGAAACACGGTAAATAATAGCGGAATGAGGCGCCGGCGCATGCGTTCCCGCTGCGGCGCGAATTCGAGACGTTGCACTTCTGTCGTCCTCAGGAAAATCTCTTTTGTGATCCACTCACACATGAGAAATGAGAGTTTAGCCGCAACATGTAGGCGGTGCCACAGACCGCATAGGTGATGAAAGTTAGCGCTGCTAGGGTCGTTCGATGGATATAAACGCAGGGCATATGCCGGGATATGTCGCTCTAGATGGTGCCGAACAATAGGGGCTTCGTTCAACGTGACAATGGCATGCCAAGATTTCGAGACTCGGCGAAGGTTGAGCACATCGGTAAGTGGTAGGGAGGAGATGACCTGAATCTGAAGTTCGGTGGGTAGGGCAAGGAATAACTGGCCGAAAGATTGTCTATAGATGAGTTAGGCTTTCCGTCAATGCCTTTAGCCGTGTCCTGAGAGTTGAACAGGGAGGAATAGGAGTAACAAACGTCTTGGGCCTGAGAAACCCTGCAGTAGGTTCGTGCGGGTCGGTTTGTGATGTAGAAGACTTGGCGTGAAGAATCGAAACCTTGGATCGAAGACTAAACAAACGGCTTTTCTCGGGGCGTTTCTGGTCTGACGAGCGAGGGAAATCGACTTCGGATTCATTCGCTTTCGATGTACGAAGTGGGAGAATGAAGGAAGAAGGCGGCGCCGTGTGGGAGGGAAGCGGTGGCGTAGAAAAAGGTTGCGGAGGAAGTAGTGGAGGATCGCGTAGTTGATGGTTATGCTGAGCATCATGGGTCGTGGGAGACTCGCTGAGTTGGCTAAGTTTACTGAAGTAGCGCTCGGAAGCGAACTCGGTTATGTGAGGCGGATCCATGTTCCTGCTATCGTACTAGACGATGACGCAGCCTGGAGAACGGGGGAACGGGATCAAACGAGTGCAGCATATGGTCATTGACAGATGCTGTCTAATCGGAACGGATTCGAGCGTAGGTGGCACTCGTAAAGTCGACGATGCCGAACATTGGCAGCTCACACATGGCTAGATATTGGAGGCCATCGGCAGAGTCTAAATAAGTAGGAGGGAGTTCAAGCTGCCGTTTCTTCTGTACAGACTTCGTTCTGATTCAAGCCGAAAGAGCGAAATTCCCGGGAGAAGATTACGAAGGGCAGCGGATAAGGCACCGCAATCGAATGTTGGCAAGACGGGGGCTAACAGGCGAGAACCCACAACACAAACGAAGAAAATATCGTTTGATAAGTATAGGCGATGAAGGAAAGTCTGCTGCGGAAGCGAGGCCGGGCAATGTTGGTGAAGAGCTGTGGCCAGTGGCGGTAACGTCTTGGGCGTGGTGTTCGAAGTTGGTTGGGACGGGAGAAGATGTGAAGAAGCAATCAGCCAGAGAGGAGAGCAGCAGAGCGCACTCGTCTAGTCCAGTCCAGTCTAGGGCCTATGTGGTCCGTGTCATATGGAAGCATGGGTGTTGATGGATGTGGGCGTGGGTGTGGGCGGGTGAATTGCAGCTTTAGTGAGTGACCATTTCCCGGGTGGTGACGGGAAGGTACAGGGTCTCCCTCCCTTTTCCTCGGACGGACTAGGTCAATAGTTGAATGGTGAGTGAGGTCAGGTGAGGTAAGGCGACAGGACGGTTGGTTGGCGGGCAGGAGGGAGAACAGCCAAACCAGCACTGGAGGAGAGTCAGAGAGGATCGTCCATCCGCTGGTTCTGGGTGGCCCGGCGGTATGTGCGGCGAATTAGTGGAGAGGTCCAAGTAAAGAAGGGCACTTGCTTGTTCAGGGAGGGGCTAGGAGGCCTAACACGGTCATCGATACTGTGCTTAGTGGCTTCTGCCGTTTGTCTGGAAAGTCAAGAACAAAGGCTGCCGCACAACAGGCCTACACTAGCCGGTAACGAGTCTGTGTCGCGAGTACCGTGTAAAAACTTAAAGCCTTACGGTAAGATGAGCACTCAACGGTGGGAGCGATGAAAAGCGGCCGAGGAAAACACCGCAAATGTGTCCGGACGGAGCCTTTCCACCCCACAATCCATCTGAAGTAGGTACCTACCCTACTAGCTACCTAGGTAACTTACCGGCCTACACTGTAGTATCTACTTTCTTTACCCTGATCCATTATTTTTCTACACCATACGTACCCCTGCACGATAAGTTAGAACACCTGCAGGTGACTACCTATACGATTGTCTCTCACCTTATTTCTTTTATCCTCTCAACATCCTGTTTCTTTCGGAACAGAAACTCAATACCGCAATATACGGTTTTAAAGGACATATAACCACATGTCTTGCTGTTCTTCTCACTATCACTCCGAGCCTTGGCCTTCCAGACCAAGACATCATCTTCTATCATTGACAAGGACAACCGCAAGTGCCAAGGTAGCTTGATAGTTGCTTCGCCTGACAAACCAGACGCGACGGCCTGCTTTGAAGGCATGATCGCTCGCTATCAATTTCTGTATGTCTTACTTAGCCTTCAAGGGCATTACCTCACATCAAACACGCTGGGTTGGAGTTATATTCTGTGTATCAAGCCTCCACATGATGGCATCCTAACGTTACCTTGGGTCGGTCTACTTTAGGGGCGTCTAGCGTGGGCCAGTTCGGCCTCGGAACGGAACCGTTCCTGAACATTGAGCATTACGGGCCGGCCGTTGAGTGCTGGTCTTTCTTTGCTCCGTCACTCGATCTGTTAGCCGCTCTTTCGTTCGTTCTCTCCGATAACCCATCGTCGCAAACAGTTGCTATTCATTTACCAATGGATCATCGCCACCCCACACAAGAGCGTGTCCGCAACCCGAGACATTCAGATATAAAGTAGCAAGTAGCAGCTAACCAAGAACGTAGCCAAAGTTTTGTGCAGTTGGATGCTTCGTACTGCTCAGCCGATTGAAATGCATTTGACATCGAACTGGGTATTCTCCGGGTACATAGTGCTTGGTGAATGTTCATGAAGTTGCTTCGATGCTGCACGTTTCTGCCGTCCCGAATAAACCAAGTGCAGGCGGCTGTGGCCGGCGTTTGGCCATGCGAGCAGCTTGAGACATGGGTCTGTTACGTAGAGCAGTTACAGGCTCTGCATTCGCAGACGGTGTTTGGTCGAACCGTCATTCAGTCTCCCGGGTTTTCTTCTCAAGTCTAGTTCCTTCAAAGATGCACAATTAAGAGCAAATTTCGACCGCCGCATAACAGTGGATGTGATGGATTATTTCCGCAAAAATGGCAGGCTTGAGGAACCGCCTTGGCTGCGTATCTCAGTACAAGGTGGCGGATATTGTATTTATACGCAGGGCGGTGCGTGTCTCAAAACTTGTGTCTACTGAGGCGCTTTGGAAGTGTTTGCAATTGAAACGCTATTAGTTCGACCGAAGTGGCCGAAGTTGAAGCGATAAAACCGACACAAGCGGCTTGGAGCCGTATCGGATGGATAAGCTGTGTGGGTTCTAGCGGGGAAATGGAGACAATAACGCTGCCTGACTGCCAGTGGTGGGCACCGGGGAAGATACGTACCACGGAGAAGCACTCGAGATCTGCTGGATGGCGTATGTACGTAAACTAGGTACCCAATCGTAGGTAGAGCCCCTCGGACCTACCGCGGCCGTTCTCTAGCCTCTCCCCGTTGATATACATCGTATACCATTACCATTACTACCACCACTACCACTACCACTACCACCACCACTACTACTATTTTTTCCCTATATAGACAGTACAGTTGCAGCGTTTACGTCCTTGCGTCCTGTTTCCACCCACGCAGCGATCATTCCAGCCGCTTCTACTGACTGTTAGTAGAGTACAGCGATCAGCTCCATTGCACAGGCTCTAAGCCGGTCTGCAGCTAATCGGGCCCCGGACATTTTCGGATACTTGTATGGACGCTTCTGCGTGCACGCACGTTACTCGACCCGAAAGCTTGCGCCACTGCTGCTCTCCAGCACTACATGCGATGACAGGTCCTATGACAGTTTACTTTACCGTGCGGAACACCAGGAAGGGCTACATTCCCTTGAAAGTCGTTGCCTAGGTATTTGGTCAAGTTGGTTTTTCTTCCTAATGCCGGCCCTCTTCCCGCCGCACACTGCATTGGCAGTTTCTCTCGCGCCTTCATCACGCCCATGTCCAAGCCATGGTTGGCCGAGATCCCCCGGTGATTTGTGGAGATCCTGACTGTGCTTCCAGCTTTTCCGGTAGCGACTCCATTTTCCTTCATATTGCTCCGCGTTTCCTCCGCTTCTGCCTGGGATGGAGCGGGAGCCTTAACCGTTGTTTCAATGAAGCGCAATACCTAAGCCAACATCCACTCGGTCGCGAAAGCCCGTGTGACATTTTATCAAAATGGCAGTTAAGATGTGCACTTAGTTTCAAGTAATACATGCTTTCGCATCTTCCAGTCACGCATACAGTAAATATCATGACGCCGAAGGCAAGCCCTTCATTCAACCTAACGGTTCTCCGCAGTAATAACCTATGACCGCCATCTTGAGCTGTGCGTAACCTCACATACTCCGCTTGTGCTCTACGGTACAACAAGCAGAGCCCAATGATGGTTTACACGCGTTGATTGCCCCATTACGTCGCTCGTCGATCCTGGACATGCTGGCAAATATTACATCCGCATTGTCCCTGCCTCAGCACCAGACTGTGTGGCCAGCTTGCCATCTACTTCTCTGTCTCCGCGTTCCACTCCCCGCCAAAATCGGCTTGCTAGTTCCTACTCCTTCTCCTGCTTTGGCCTCGTTCTGCCCATGTTCATGTATTCATGCCGCTTCCACCACTGTTGCGATCATACCTATCTCAACTTGAAATTTACCCTCCCTGTTCTGCACCACTCGCTGCAGCACCCGTTCTCGTAGTCTCGCCCCTTCCCTTTCTTGCTCAGTGCTGCCCTAGGTACATTTCCTGTGTGACGGATTAATCATCCACACTCCTGTTCGGGTCTGACTGGAGTCTCAGTTGGCCTGCGTTACCCTAGGTATGCATGAGTGTCTAGATTCTGCCGTTGCTTCGGTACCTAAGTAGGCCGCAAATCCATCGGCCCCGCACTAGGTTTGTGCTTCCGCTCAAACTACTTCGCACCAGGCCCCGTACCGAACGCTATCCAGCCGCAAACGAAGACATGGAGGAACCGGATGCCCTTCGGCCCTCCTCGACCCCCGACTCGTTGGTGACTGGTCGTGACCTCCCCGCTCGCCTCACGGACGCCACACCTGACACTGCCGCCGACGCTGCCCCCTTTGCACTCGCACTCGCTCGCTTTGAGTTTGAGACAGGCAAAGGCAACGAAGGCACTAAGATTCTCATGGTTGAATGGGATCCTTCGGCCTCTACGTCCGTTCTACCCCTAGCATCGGCAACATCCAAGGCCTGGGAAGTTTCTTGGGAGGGAAAGACAAACTACCTCCCTGCTAGCGACGAGGTTACTGGAACAAACAAACGCGTGTACTTTTTGCTCCCTCCTGGTGCCACCGTTCCGCCGGTCGTTACAATTTCCCATCCAGACGACACCTGGCTCACTACTAGGCCACTGCCTGCCATTTTTCCACCCGGCTTGGCCGCTGGCAACCTGGACGTCGGGTTGCGAGGCATCCTCCATACAATTTGGGCCAAAAAGAGGCTTTCCGGGCTCCAGAAAGAGGTCGAAATCGAGATGAAGACCAACACCGAAAGTGTTGGCCTGGAAATGGCGCTCCAAGAAAGACAATGGATAACCCGTCACTTCGGCGTTACTCTTAAGCCGGACGTTGTTCAGAACGCAACAATGGTCGCATCTCCGACTCCGCCTAGCCCGGTTTCTCCCAAATCGCCAGTCGCCGGCAGGCTCGGGGAGAAGCTTAAAGGGTTGAAACTAGCCACGTCCGCCGCTGACTTGGTTGCTGGCTCGGCTGGTAAGGCGCTCGTTGGAGGATACTTTGACCCTCCTTAGGTACAGACACTGATTCGATGTCCGCAGACGAGAGTGCGCATGTGCGTACAATATCCTTCTCTCCAACATCCAGTGACATCGCAGTCTCGTCCTTCTCGAGTTTTATCCGACAAACGACGCCTGGTAACCCACCTGTAGAAGGTTCGGTTTCATTGGACGCTGTTCTAAGCAAAAGTGCCTTCTCCTCGAAGCAACAAGACCAAGACCAGGAGGAAGGCCTCTTTGCGCTTCCCATGAGCCCCCGGAGCCCCGAAATGAAACGAAGCCCTTTCAGTCTTGCCTGAATGACTGTCAGTCCTTCTCGGCTAGGTTCGGATTGCACGTGTTCACCTAGACGAAGGATATTGTGGGAGAGCCGGGATGCGGCTTTACGCCCCTTTGTGAACCCTTCCCATGGGATATGGACGACAGATGGGGCCACGGCGACAAGCCTAAAGGCCATGAACGGTTCACGGCTCGGTCCATTTATAACATGCTGTGAAGCTTAAGTCCTCCCAAATTTTGCTGGTTTTGGATATTCCCGTCACAGCCCAAGTAATTATGGATATTTTCGACTTTCCAGCAGTCGAGAAAACTCCTCATCAGCGTTCACAGATGCAAACTCTCCAATAGTTTAGTACATCTGACCAGCATGGCCTCTTGCTCAGGGTAGCGTAGGGCGGCGGCTTGTGTCTCCCTTTGCATGAGACGAATTTTGCAGTAGCTTGAGTGCGAATTGTGCTGGAACCGCTCCCCCTTCTTTTCCCATGATATTGTTATCTGTTTCTCCGCGTTCCACTTTTGACAAAATCGGCCAGTATTTAACTGCGGCCGGGTGCTTTTACCTCCAGCCACCGACACGACCTTCGTCCCATCGTTCCTTTCGCTCTTGTCTAAGGTAGTACAGGACCTTCGCATCTCTGTACCTCTTGATCCAGTCCAGCGTCTCTCTCTCCGACGCATATGCACCGTCCCCTTCCCCTTCAATGAAGCTTTCCTCCAGAACATGGCATACAGAAGCCTGTTCGTGCACACCTTGTCCCAAGCGCTGATACATGGATGCCGGAGAAAAAGGGGCAAGCGCGTGGTCCATATCTGATTGCTTTTGCCTCCATTGGCGCTCGAGAGCATGTGTGGAGAGGAGTTGCGCTTGTGTTGTGGACCGTTGATGGGCTAACCGAGACTCGAGCTCGACGAGTCGTGAGGCAAGCTCGAGGTTCTCAGCCAAGGCCGACTGGAGGGCCCGATGTGAGGAGGAGAGAGAGGGGTGAATTGTACTCGGCGCGTGGGTGAGGGCGTTGAGAAGTTCTGGGCTTGTCGCTATGTCGGCAAGGTCTTGCTTTCTACGGCCGTAGTCAGCGACGAGGAGGGTGAGTGAATCGATGCGGGCATGAAATGCTTACGACTTGTCTTGCAACACCCTCGGAAGCCACTGGTCCCCTGGATCGGGGACAGGCTCTGGTCGGGCAAACTCAAGACCGGCGGGTTGGTAGGCCGGGTGAATCCGACCTCCACTGGCACTATTTGCATCGGGACCAGCCCCGGCACCGGTGCTAGGCCGGGGTGAGTTGGATGTAATCGGCGTGCCGATACGACTGGTTTCATGGCTGCCCGGTTTCGGGGGGGGCACAGGCGGAGGAACTGCGTTCATGGCGCGAATAGAGAAGTTATGAGATGGGTAGGTTCTTATGTACACCTATTTTGAGTCCAACCTTTTGAGGCCCTGCTCAGATGGCGATGGCTAAGAGAGATTGAAGCTGGCCAGTCGCATCCACCCCTCCGGACAAAGCGACGTCAGGCGATCGGCAAAGTCGGTACCACAGACCCCAGCTAGGGGGTGGGGGTGGGGTGGCGGGGGTTTACTTACTCGATAAGATAAGACGGCAACAGTAATAACCGCACAAAAAGGCTTGGAGAACATTCACGACGAACTACAAGTCATGGAAGGTCGCATTCGATCCCTGAAATATTGGTATCATCACTTTATTATTTGATATTGAGTGTGCCGGTCCTAGACTCCCCCTCCGAATACTTCGCTCGTAAGCAACCAGCTTTTTTTACTAGACGTATCGCGATTGTTGACCAAAGTCTACAGCCTTCTCAAGCAATTTTCCCTATTTTTTGCCCCTTTGTGCTTTGCTTGTTCACTGTAACCCCCCATCCTAATGCTTCACAGACCAGATATCCCGAGTCCATCCCATTTCGCGTAGTTTCTTGCTGCTCGAACCAGCTGTCTTCTTCTCACTCGACGCAATCGCCAAAGCCTTGCTACAGGCAGCAAAGCTTTCCACCAGTTCTTTCATCCGGTTAGCCTTCATGAAGCACTCGGCAACGTCGGATCCCTTCTCGGCGATAGTGGCTGCCAGTTCCATGCATTCCAGGAAGTTGTCCCTTGTCAGGGTGGTGCCGGCGAAATGAAGGGAGCTGATGAAAGCAAGAAGCGTCTCGGGAAGATACATGTCCCGTAGCGACTCCAGTTCGGTGTCTTCTATCAAGAATACAGTCAGTGCTTGCCCAAAGAAGGAGCCTTGATAAACGCTACCCTGACTCCGCAGCCAGTTTTTGAGCAGTGGCCGCACATGCTCTTTCGCGGATTTGACCTCATTTCCGACCTTGGCCCAGAAATCTCTCTTGACAGACGGGTCCCTAAATCATGGTCAGTGAGGGGCCACGGCCGAGAAAATTGTTTCAACCCACTCCTTTGAAAGCTCTGCCAGTGAAGCAATCGTCTCCATCGTATCCAAGGCCTTGACCAGACACTCAAGCTCACGGAAGGCTCGTGCCTCCGAAGCAATTTGGCTTGGCGAAAGGCTCTTCGCACCAGCGGCTTCGATCTGGCCAGCCCAGAATTCTGCATCCTCGGGCCACCAAGGATCGTTGTCGTCCTGCTCGGGGAGTTCCACCCTTTGCCGCATAATAGTGCTGAAAGGTACCCGGTTGGCAAAACTTCTGGCAGCGTTCAAGCGCATGGTCCCTGTTGACACACAAGCTGGAGTCAGCGGAAAAGCACTTAAAACATCAAAAACATAATGTGACGACTTACTAAGAAAATACTTGTAGATATCCACGCCAACACAAAACACATGAGGCCAGGCCTCGTCAACAAGCAGGAGCCATTCCACCGAGCGAATCAAACGCTCGTCGATAGAATCGATAGTATCTGGATCTTCTCCGAAAAAGTCCGTCCTAATCGAACGGCCGTATTTGAGAGATGGTGGCCCGTTGTCCAAGATCTGGAAAGTCTGTATCTTTGCGGTATCGACGTCTATGCATCGAAACAGGGATGCTGGTTGGTACTTCACAAACTCCAGCACATCCAGTCCTGCCTTGCGGATGAGACTGAGCTGGACTAGGCGGGCCTCATTGTCAGTGATGGGTAGTAGGTTCGTACTAAGCACCTGGAGGGCTCTCTGATCGCGAATCCTAGAGCAGTAAAGGGGTATCAATTCTTCCAGGCCGGAAAGACGTAACAAGCTAATGTAAAGCGTGATCGTGTTTTCTTGTATTTCGCGGCGGTCGGGCCTCCAGCTCATCGTTGACGAGTTTGGCGGTGAGTCGACGAGCTTATCGAGTGTGCCAAAGATGATGAGGGCATGAACGGCAAGTCGTAGACGGCCAGGGTTCTCGAAATCAGCAAACTTCTCCGGGACCACGCTGACGTCGTGGCAAGAATTATCGGGCATGAGTGCGGAAGATTCCTTCGAGTTGGCCTTGAGTGTGATGGCTACACCCTGTTCGTAGAAGTGTTTTTCCAGCTCTTTCGTAATTATAGCGGCTTGGAGTGTCTTGACGGGTTCCAGTGCTTCATGGCCGGTTTGAGGGTTTGTTTCGAGGCTATGGACCAGGCGTTGTTCCAGCGTGCTAGGGTCGCCATGAAATTGTACAGCGTCGAAAGCGGCGAATGATGAACGAAGAGATGTCGATACCTCAGGGGGGCATTGGCCGAGAACAAATGTGTCGAATTGCGTACGAAGCAGAGCGTTGTAGTGCATGAACATAAAGTCGTCCCAAGTCTTGCACACTTTTTGAACACTAGGAATGTCCCCTGACAACACACCGTAGACAGCCCTCTCGATGTCGTCGGTGCCGCCATGGCGTGCCGCTGCAAAGCAGATGCGTCTCCAGAGCGCAAGTGCTGATGGGTCTTCCATGGAATTTTCCTCGCCATGCTTTGTAGCGAGGGGTAATGCGGACATGGAAACGGCCCGCCAAACTTCTGTCCTTTCGAGGCACCATTCTCTCATATCCTCCAAGCTGCTACCCCTCCGAAGAAGCTGGAAGCAACCAACCCAAATTGCCCGCTCGAAGTATTCGTCCTGTGGCTCCAGCTTTCGGCACTGCCTGGTCACAGAGTCTGGATCTAATTCGGCAACAAGTGGCGCCTTGTCCGAATTGACAAGGGAACGAGACACTTCGGGAAATTGAACGTCAAGAGGGCGTGTGGATCCGATAACACTCTTCTGTAGCTTGATGGCAGACCTTGTATGTATCCAGCCATGCGCAATAATGTCTCCTCTGTCAGCGTTCTGCTGTAGCTCTCGTACCAAGTCGTCAAGATCGGGCCCAGTTCTTGCGTTGTGTTGCAGCCATTCGAGAATGGTTTTTCTCTCTACAGCCAGCCGATCGTTTGCAAGAAACGCGCGCCAGATGTCATCGCCCTCTCCGTCCTTTGTAACGATCGAAGCCTGCTTGCCAGTCGCCTTTCGTGCAGAATATCTCAGCGGGATGAGGCGACGGATGAGATCCCATGTCTGTCTCTCTTGCTCCCATCCGCGGATTTCTTCTATGCTTGCGGCAGGGTCGGCATCTTCGTCTTCGTCCAAGTCCATCTCGGTGTCGCCAGCCGAGCCCTGCCGAACTTGTCTGCGCAAGGCTGTTAGGGTATGGTCCGCGTATTCATAGTACGCATCCACCAGATCTAGAATTCTTGCATGCTTCTCTTCAACTGTGCCCTGAGGTGCGAGACAATCATCGAGCGCATTGGCGAACACCTCGGTTTCGGGCCCAAGCGGTCCGTACATCTTCGTTCAGGGTACTGTCGATAGACGCGCAAAGGGTGTGAAAACCAGTACTGGTTCTTGTGGATTGAGACAAGTGAGAGCGTCAGTAGATTCGTGAGGATGAGTTCGATGTGGCCGCTCGACGTTCGTTAGTGAAGGTGCGTTCAAGACCTGCGTAGGTATTAAACGATCTCAATACAGGACTGGAAAGATGATGGTAAGCCAAAACCGTAGCTTATACTTCAACTGAAGATTTAGTGTTAAAAGGGAACGGACCTCGTGCGATTTTGGTTGCAAGGCGGAATGGGAACTCGAGTACGGAGTATGGATCAGGCCATGGAGTCTACGGCCTGTATGAAATTCTTAAAATCCGACGCGGCACCGAAAGATTAGCAAAGCTGCGGAGCAAGCTCTGCAAAGAAGCACTGGATGTTTCTCGATCCTCTTTGACAAGACACCTCCCCCGTTTCAGTGCTTCCAGAGGTGGAAACAGTCGGAAGCGATGCAGTTTGCGCGATTCGGCGGAAGATGCTGTAATTACTCTAGAGATTGGATGGCCTCTGATTGCCCCGAGAAAACAACATCTGGTGCTCGGTGAGGCTCCTAGGCGACAAATAGGGACAGGCGCGAAAGTGAAAAGACTGGATCACAAGCCGGTCCGTGCGTATTAATCGAGCGCGTTTTCCGTCGAGCGCACCTTGTTTGTCGTAGATTTAATGGGTAGCTGTTGCCAAGGTGGGAAAGCCTTCTGTGCTGCACGCTCTCAATACTGTCTCAAACTTGTTTGCGCACAGTATAGCCCCGCTCATGGCTTCCTTTATCAAGTTGCATCGGTAGAAATTTTCTTATCTCTTTCTTCTTCTTCTCTCTTCAATGTCAAGGCTTTTGTATTAGAGTCTCGGAACAGGCCACTCAATGGTTGTTCAGATTCTACGGAATCTCTCAGCGCGCTCAACGAATGCCTAGAATAACTTGCCCTCTTTCTAGAATGTTGCCAGATTTCTTCTCTACTCGGGTTGACGTATTTACATGGAAGAGTGGTACATGTTTGCCCGCATTCGATAAATTTTCCTTCACTGCTGTTGCGAACCCTCGCGGAGCCTTCTGAGCTTCAACTGTAGCAGGTCAGGCTTGGGACAGCTGACTGTCGTCGCATTGTCGCCCTTAGACTGGTAGAAAGCCTCACAGCACTCGTACAAGGCAATGATTATAGACTGGCACCTCTCCTCCTTGTAGCCATTTCTGGTCAGACAGTCTGTTGCTGATTAGCTGCATCGATACCGAAATGCATGATCCTGTGGGAGCGACTGCGATGAGGCCCAAACCGATGCTGACTGACCTTGGATGGCGCACTAAGTGGGGGCATGAGTTAGTTGATGCAATAAACACATCACAGAGATGGAAAAAATACTTACAGCGAGAGGATGGCATGGAGGGTTGGCCTTCAAGTCCTCATTTAACCCCTTCAAGTCTATGTTAGCAAAGTAGGCAAACAGTCATGGTCTGCGGCGTCGTCGTCCGCTTCGTAAAAGGGTTTGCAAACCATTGTATATTCAGCCTTGCCTCGCGTGAGGCTTCGAAGATGCGTGTGACAGAAAGTCTACGATGATGGTAGCAGTACGTTCCGGCGGCCCGGACTGACTGCTACACTCTAAATAGTTACTGTATTCGACGACTGTAACTCCGAACCGGGAAAGTAAAAGGAGGCGATGGATAGGTCAATGAGACAGGGTATTCGGTGGGCAGTGGAGGAGACTGCTAGGTAGATAGGCGGAACGTTTAGGCTAACTCGGTCGGATGGTACTGGTCGAGGAGGTAACGATGTAGGAGGCAAGGTGCTAGTCATGAAAGAAGTTATTGTCTGCCGCCAGTGATGTTCTTAGCTCTTTGCCTCTCATGACAGTCAATGGCCACTCGGGAAGCTGTTCTGTAGCAGCGCGTACCTACCTACCTACCTAGGCAGGCACCCAAAGTTACAGTTGCCTTGCCTTACCTAAGCTCACCACGAAGGAGGCAAACCTTGTCCCACTACAGCATCATATCCAATCAGATCCCTTTCGTCCCACCATGATGGCCTTTTGTACACCAGCCTCTGGACCCCACACAATCTTTCTCCCGCCTTTCTCCAGCCCGTCTCTTGCCAATTACCCAGTCGCTCCGTCAAATCAACAATTCCTTTCTTGCGATCCCGCTTGTGTGTCTCTCTTTGCACCAAACTCAAGCTCCTGCGCCTTTACAGCCAAATCCAAACAAGCCGTCAGGTCAACCGGACTTCAGCGTCTACCGCGTCAGGTATGCCATACGCCACGCGCCCGTCTTGTCTCCCTCCATCTTCGTCTATCAGCCTTCTCCTGTACCTTCATAAAGCCGCGTGACTGGCCTTGGCTAACTTTTCCGCGTTGCGCAGTGATAGTTGCACAATGTCTGGCGAACACGAGAACGGCAGCCCTTCTGCCGGTGGCCAAGACGCTGCGCCTGCAGTCGAACACTTGAACATTAAGGTCACCGACAACAACAACGAAGTCTTCTTCAAGATCAAACGCTCTACCAAACTTGACAAACTCATGACAGCCTTTTGCGAGAGACAAGGAAAGGCTATGAATTCCGTACGATTCCTTTTCGAGGGCCAACGTGTGCAGCCCACAGATACCCCGGACACGGTAAGCAGTGGAGCCGCCCCTTCTGGTATATTGGCGCTGGATGCTGATGTGGCTACCCTCCTAGCTCGAGATGGCGGATGGAGATACTCTGGAGGTGCACCAGGAACAGGTCGGTGGCTCTTTCTAGTTGACGGATGGTGAGAGGAAACGTATTGCACGGCGAGAGAACTTGGGCGATGGAATTCTTCTTTTCTTGAGAAGGCTTTGACCATCGCCAATGGCGTACAAGGATGGATGGCTTCACACAGAAAGGTCATGCGTAGACGACCAATGATGATTATGACGTTCACCACATGCTTTCATTTCCTTGCCCCCTTGGCTGGCCAGGATATAGCGCCTACAGAGACGCCATACCCTCTTACCAGGCCAAGATACAAGCAAACCAATGGCAAACGCACCGACGCTTCTCATCCTCATTGGTCCCTAACTCCTGCTGTTTAAATGTACAGTTGGCAATCTTTTCGTTTCTCGTTATGCCTTGAGTTCCATCATGCGGCATCCTGTGCACAGCACCATCGTCTTATCTCCAACCTCCCTTGGAAAGACCTGACCGTCATCGAAGCCACCCTGACAGGAAGCGCAGCGAAAGCACTCATCATGCCACTCGCCTCCCAGTGCTCTGATGTACTGACCAATGACAGCCATCTTGCATTTTTTGCATTTAGGTGCCCTTCTTTCCGTCCGCTTTGTTTGACAATTGATGCACCACGCGTATCCGTCCTTTTCAATATGTGTCATGCCCTTCTCGAACGGGTCGCCGCACTCGGCGCAGAAGAAGTGTCCGTAGTGCCAGTGTTCACCTAGTGCGACAACATGTTCGCCGAGGATGGGCGTCTTGCAATGTTTGCATCTAGGAGCGTAGAGCTCGTGCCAGTCGAGATGACAGAAAAAACGCAGTCGCTCATCACCATCTTCGGCCATCGTCTTTCCCGGTTTCTCTTCCAGCACCTCACCATTGGCTCTGCGTCTGATTCTCTCCAGACGCTCTTTGCGATGGGTATCAGGCTCCGGGCTGATCTCTAAAGCCTCAAGCCCTGTGCCACAAGCATAGCAGCTGAAGCAATGGGGATGAAAGCGCTCAGACAACCCAGCTAGAGAGACAAATCTGCCTTCAATGGGAAACCTGCACTCATGACACAGGGTTGTCGACCGATTTCCCGATCCAGCAGCAGGCGACCAGTGCCGCTGAGGACGCTGGAAGGGTCGTGCTCTGGACGCCGTCTTGGGGTCGGGCAGCGGCCGTGGTGCAGAGGCTGAAGAGTTGTCGTCAGGAGTGACAATAACAGGTATGCCCGGCCTAGATCCTATTCCCTCGTCTACCCCGTCGAGACTGATGGACGGTACGGCCGGGACCCCGTGTGGTCTGTCCGACGAAGGCTCCTCCGGCGCCACCACGATAGAAGGAATCTCCATCGGCTGGCTCTTTTGGCTCGAGGCTCCCAATGTGTTGTTGCCGGAACCTGACCCTGGCCTAACATCAGTTCTCTCGTCAGGAGCCTTCCACTTCGAATCGAAGCTTACAATCGGCCGTCCAGGGCGATCGCTGACTGCCGTGGGTGTAGGCAGCTTCGCACTCCGGTCCTTGAGCTTCATGCTCGTGGCCCCCCGAATATCGTCACTGCGGATCTCCATGCCATTCTTCTTGGGCACCGCATCATCCACTGCGGGCTTGGGGGCAGGGCTGTTGGTCGTGTACAGGGGATTTCGCGACTGTGACGGTGGGTTTCGGTGGATTTCAACATTGCATCTCGGTTTCCAAGGGGCCACACGATCTGCCGGGGGAGCGGCAGCAAAGCGGACCTGGCCTTGAGGATTCTTTGGCTTGTCCACAAGGGGCGAATTCGATGCCGATTCCGACTGCGTTTTGAATTTGTCTTCGCGCAAGGTGCCTTCCGGTTCTTCCCAAATTTGATCGCCTGAGAATGGTCTCTCGACTTCTCCACTAATGTTACGCTTCATGCTACTACGGCGACGGCCAGAGGACATAGGTTTGGGGAGAGGTCGGCTAGAGTCGGAGGGTTCCGACGGTTCCTCGGGGTTGCAGTTGTCTCCTCCGAAGCTGTCACGCGATAAAGCAAGGGAGGGCCGGCTTCGTCGAGAGTGCCCATCACTATCAGTTGAGCTGCCAGAAGCGGACCTTGAGACGTCTCTTGCTAGACCGGTTGGAGTTACTCTGTCGCCGTATTTTCCCACGCTGGCCGTACGAGCGTGGGCGTAGCTATTCTTCCTGAGATGAGGCTTGTACCGATAAGGGGCGTGGGGGTCTGGAGGCTGGACTCCATTTTGATGCTGCCAAACAAGCTCCGAGGCTTCATCGAGTGCGGCATTATAGATGCGAGTCTCGTCGCCGTCTGGCGTGCCGCCAGTGTTGTTCTTATCATAAGCGGCATCTTTTCGGGAGCTGGGCTCATCCGCCTTGATCTGCATATCGTCCATGGCTTGTCGAAGTGACACAGCCTCTTCTTTTTCCATCCATCGTTGACCTCTCTCCATGTACGTTGTTGTGGGCACAACCTCGGAGGGCTTCAAAGGTGACGTTGGACGATAAGGGTAGTAATCACGACCCTGAGTACTAGACATAGAGTGACGGGAGGAGAAGCTGGTATTTGCAGAAAAAAGTGTAGGTCGTGATGGCGTATCGATAGTGCTTGGGCTGGACAGGGCAGGGCTTTCAGGTTGAGAAAGAGGTTCAGGAACGCTGCGCTCGTAAGAGGTGCGTTTAGATCTTGTACTCGAGGATGAAGGGGGCAGGGGTCTGGCTCCGCCTGGACGAGTAACTCGATTTGTTCTGAGATTGGCAAGGTAGGCAGCTAGAGAAGTAGTGTGTTAGGAGGTATGGAGAGAGTTAGGACGCGTCGTAAAACCGTAGCTTACCGAACTGCTCGTTATTCATATAGCACGGCGACGGTGGAGTGACTTTTCTTGTCTTCTCGGTGCTCTTCCTGCGATGCATGATGGGGGCGGTGTGCGGCGAGTACGAGGGGTGCCGAGCAGTGGGTATTGTGAATGCGGTGAATAGTGGCGGTGGGCGATGGAAACAAGACGATGGAGAGGCGAAAAAAATGCATGCGGTGAAGTAAGTGTTCAGATCTGTTTTTACTATCAAGGGTATGGATGCAGGGCTATGACTATTGTCTTCAAAGGGAAATGCTTGGACTTGCTAGTGGACGAGGGGAGGCGATTGATGGCGTTGAAGTTATTATACCTGGGCGATGTGTTCGTCGGTAGTTGGTTGTCGGGGCAACGATGACTGTCCGACGTTCCGGTCTTTGTGGATTTCACGAAACATCCCAAAGGCTCGGTGTTGGGGTTGCAACTCTAGGCGACTTCACACTAGCTAGCTACCTATTGTCCGGGGACGCATCCGGTACTCATTAGTACCACGGCCCCTCGGAGGCTCACAGCCATTGGGGAGACAAGCCAGCCCCCTGGCAACTCCACAATGGCCAGCACCTCCAGCAGTCAGCATCGCGTCTCTCACTTTGGGGAACTGCATCTTTGTCTAGCTCCTTCTGCCAGGATGTCATGGCTCCTCATTCATGCCGCTGAGTGAGGTTGACCTCGTCTAGGTGAGTCACGGAATTTTCCAGAGACTAGAATAACGATAGAATACTGCCGTCGAAGGGCTGGTTCCTACGATGCGCTTGTCCAATCAATTGATTCGATTGTTTCTTAGCTATTCATTGACCTCGAAGCTTCTGCTGAGCCGATGTTTGAGGCTAGGTGACTGGGTGAGTACGAGCAAGCCACAGATTGGTTTGCTTGCCGTTGACTAGGCTAGCAAACGCTGTCACATAACCGCGTGTTTCTTGTGCGTGAGTACTATAACAGGCCGGCAACTCTACCCCATCTTTGACGAAAAAATGTAACACCTGGCAACAGGGGCACGGGATCCAAGTGAGTCACCTATTGGGAAAACAAATAGGTATGCTTCCTGCCACGACATCTACGTGCCTGCAAATCCTGGACGGGGCGGCGCTGTGCTGATTTGTGGCTCTATTGAAGTCGTGATGCCATGGGGTCCGTTGTTTGGGTGCATGAAGCTCCATGCCCGCGCATGACATCCTGTTTATTGACAATCTCCATACACCCTAAGCAAGTCCACTGTCGGCAGGCGCGCGAAGAGTCCTATGCCAGTGCCTGAAGGCATGTTTATCTTTTCCAACCCTACTCTTACCCTGTTCAATTCGGGATGTGACTACTGTACGCCCGTTTGTAATCTATACCCGTTTCCGCGGCTCTCCGATACCCCTTGAGATGCTGATGAGACAACACCATATGGCTTAGCAGACTACCATCTTAGCTCGCCGGGTCGTGCATCCTGTTCCTTGCTTGAAGCTCCTTGGCCCTGTTTGGCAGTGTTGGTACTTGTCTCCGCTGCTGGCCCATTATCAAACCCCAAGTTTTTGAACTCATCCTTGGCCATGAGGTTCCTGCGATTGGACGCATCATCAATGAGAATTCCGTCCCAGGTTCATCAAGACGGCTGTTTCTTTATAGATGATATAGCTTACCGATCCATGCGGCATGCCAAGTACGACTTGGCCAAGTCGCGACATTCTGCATCGTTCACACCCCTTACTTTCTTGATGCACTCAAGGTAGGTCACTATGACATGTTTGCACTCGCCTGATCCACAAAGTTAGCAAGCGAAAAGCCGACTTGGTCACAGCAATGTATCCAACAAACCGTCATGATCAAGTGGGAAGCTGCCACGTTGTGGGCTGGATAAGAGGCATCAGTTAGCTTGGGGCGCCAGTTGGCGAAGGTATGGCCAGTGAGGATGGGGCTCACTGCGTACGGAATCGGCTTGGCGTTGGCCTGTCGAGCACCGGGTCCGCCCAGTTGACTCATTATGTCTGTCTGTTGATGAGATGCTAGCAGATCTCTTGAGGGTGACTGCCCAGAGACCACGGCTAGGATGGTGGTGCTGTACCGAATTGATGGGCAAGGCTGGAGTTCGCCTGATTGGAACTCACCCTATATGTGAATGAGCCGACAATTCAAGTTGCGATGGAGCCCCGACAAAAACCAGTCTTTTTGTACAGCCCACAACTGGTCGGTTTGCACGCGGCGGCCTTGTTGCATTCGTATGGGAGAGCTGGTGGTTTTGTGATTAAGCTGTTGATAGGGTGGAAAAACACCGGTTCGCGAGGAGTCGGATTGCATGGCGAAAATTGGTGGCACAGACGATGGGTGCCTGAACGCGGGCGGCGGTGGCAAGGAGTGGAACAGGACGACATAGTCGGGTAATCTTTCAAATTTCGTAAAGAATCCGGCATTATACTCTCTATCTATTGATTCGAACAAACTCAAATGGCAAATTCTTTCCCTCTGCCTCGTCGAGATGATTTACATTAAGTGAGGTGGTTGATGCGGCACAAGTTACCCTCACGTTCGTGCCCCCCCCGGTTGGATGGAGTTAATTGATTGATCTGAGTGAAGTAGGTATACGGATACACAAGCCAGCGAGGGACGGCTATTTCCGGCATACATGACACCAGAGGAAAGGTATGCACTGAAGTCTGGAGCACCACAATTTTGTGCAAGGTACGTACCTATCAGCCTTTGTTCCCCCTGAGGTATCCAGCCCACATTGGTGCGGCGCCACCAAGCACCCAACGAGCATTACGTCCCTTGCCCGAACTTTCTCGGCTTGGTGGATCGCGCATGAATTCTTGAAATTGGACGGCACGCGCGATAGCATCGACTTCAACATATCGATTCGGGCATCCACTCTCAATCCATCCCGTCCAAGGGGCCTCGCCATATCTTCGTGCTTCGTGCTTCCTTCATCGATTGCACTTCTTGACCTCGAAGGCATCCGAGCCACACCCACCGGACCACAAGCCAGCGCCGGCTCCCTTTGTGTGCTCTGCCTTGGGTTGCGTTGCCTTGCGCTGCAGACTGGCTGTTTGGCTTCACCCTTCCACTCGAGAGCTTCCATCGTTCGCCTCTCAAAACCCTCGGCAAGTCCTCGTCAGAAAATAGGCCTGCCGGGTGTGCTATCTCAGCTTCCACGAACAACCCCGATCACGTCTTGACCATCTGGCGTATACTTTGTTGAGCTTGACCCATCACCATGGCGTCCCTGGGAGACGATCTTCTCGGCACTGTCAACAAGCTGCAAGACCTGGTCTTCAACACCATCGGCAGTGACTCGCTCGATCTTCCTCAGATTGTATGTCATCTCATCATGGAAGCACGGGCTGTCTTAAAAAGCCTATCTACTGACATTTTGACAGGTTGTTGTCGGTTCGCAGTCGGCCGGAAAATCATCCGTTCTCGAAAACATTGTCGGCCGTGATTTTTTACCCCGCGGAAGTGGCATCGTGACCAGACGGCCCCTGATCCTGCAACTGATCAACGTACCCGAAGATGAGGATGCTGCCGACCCTCTGTCGGATCCTTACCGGTCTCCCGACATTGCCAGACGTTCCGAATGGGCCGAGTTCCACCACATTCCGAACCGTCGCTTCAATGACTTCTCCGACGTGAAGCGCGAGATCGAGAACGAGACCTCGCGCGTGGCGGGCAATAACAAGGGTATCAACAGACAACCTATCAACCTTAAGATCTACTCGCCGCATGTGCTCAACTTAACTCTCGTCGACCTTCCTGGACTAACAAAGGTACGTTACAAATTTTCTGGCATTCGATCCAAACGCGCAACCCGTATCCCGACTCTGACACTTGCTCAAAGGTTCCCATTGGCGATCAGCCAACCGATATCGAGAAGCAAACCCGTAACCTTATCTCAGAGTATATTGCCAAGCCCAACAGCATTGTTCTCGCCGTCTCACCTGCCAATGTCGATATCGTGAACTCGGAGGCTCTGAAGCTTGCCCGGCATGTTGATCCGTTGGGAAGGAGGACGATTGGTGTGCTCACCAAAGTGGACCTTATGGATCACGGTACAAACGCACTGGATATCTTGTCTGGTCGTGTCTACCCGTTAAAGCTGGGCTTCATTGGCGTCGTCAATCGCTCCCAGCAAGACATACAGGGTAGCAAGCCCATGGAGGAAGCCCTCAAGGCCGAAGCGGAGTTCTTCAAGCATCACCCGGCATATCGCAATATCTCTAGCAGATGCGGCACCCGCTTCTTGGCCAAGACTCTGAACACGACCCTTATGGCTCACATCCGTGAGCGCATGCCCGATATCAAGGCGCGCCTCAACACTCTCATGGGACAGACTCAACAAGAGCTGGCAAGCTATGGCGATATGCATTTCAGCGGAAAAGAGCACCGTGGATCCCTCATTCTGCAACAGATGACACGCTTTGCCACCTCCTTTATCTCTTCGATTGATGGTACCTCGACCGATATCTCCACCAAGGAACTGTGCGGTGGCGCCCGCATCTACTATATATTCAACTCAGTCTTTGGCAGTTCTCTTGAGTCCATTGACCCAACTTCCAATCTTTCAGCGCTTGATATTCGGACTGCTATCCGTAACTCGACCGGTCCCCGCCCCAGTTTGTTTGTGCCAGAAATGGCATTTGACCTTCTCGTCAAGCCACAAATCAAGCTCCTCGAAGTTCCTAGTCAGCGGTGTGTCGAGCTTGTTTACGAAGAACTCATCAAGATATGCCACACTTGCGGCTCGACAGAGCTGTCTCGCTTCCCAAGGTTGCAAGCGAAGCTGATTGAGGTGGTTTCTGATCTACTGCGTGAGCGGTTGGGGCCGACGTCTGGTTACGTCGAATCCTTGATTTCGATCCAGCGAGCATACATCAACACCAATCATCCCAACTTTTTGGGGGCCGCAGCTGCCATGAGCCATGTTGTCAGCAACAAGCAAGAGAGAGAGCGAAAGCGCCTTATCCAAGAAGAGCGAGAAAAGCGGGAGAGAAGACGCCTCAAAGAGCTTGGTACCAATGGTACGGAGGGACCTGAGGATGATGAGACAGAGTCGACTGTCACCGAAAAGGCCGACTCCAATGCTTTAAGAAAGCAGGCGAGTAAGGGAGCGCGTAGTCTATCGCCTGGTGTGCGTGAAAATGGGACCACCGGCCTCAACGCGGCGCTCAATGGCGCACGATCAGCTTCTCCATCAAGCTTCAACGACAAGGGCTTGGGCGGTGCGCGCGACTCCTTCCTGACTTACTTCTTTGGTAAAGACGGTGCACCTCCTATTGGCACTTCTCCTTCACCCAACTCGTCCATTGCTCGACACGTAAGCCAAAGCTCTGAGCCAACGTTTTCACAGAGCATTCGCCGGACCGAAGACAAGGTGGCGTTGCGCGCACCAGCACATTCTTCGGCCCGTGAAGAGCCAGAGTTTGGCAAGGCCTCTCAATCGGTCGATTACGGGTCTCTATTCGTAAGTCCCTTTCCTTGGCTGGTAAGTTGATAACTGAAAGCTGATTTCGTTAGCAGGGTACAGCCAGCGGGGAACCAGCAATGACGGAGCGGGAAGCCATGGAAACGGAGCTCATTCGGGCACTCATCTCTTCCTACTTCAACATTGTGCGTGAGTCTATTGCGGACCAAGTCCCAAAGGCCGTCATGCATCTGCTCGTGAACCACTGCAAGGACGTTGTCCAGAACCGACTTGTCAGTGAGCTATACAAGGAGGCACTCTTTGAAGAGCTGTTGTACGAAGATGACGGCGTCAAAAAGGAGCGCGAGAAGTGCGAAAAGCTACTTCAAACATACAGGGAGGCGGCCAAGATCATTGGTGAAGTGTTATAGATATGTTTTGGAAAAGAGACAGACTCTGGCGGAACCAGCACGTCTTGATTGCAATGGCCCTCTCTATCATCCTGTCACGCACATACAATACACTCTTGTTAGTTTCAAGTATTCGCCAGGCGGTCAAGACGATGTCCAGATTGGGTAGGCATCGCAACGGAACAAGGCTCAGGAATGTCTCGAGGATCGAGGGCATCAGGGCCAGTGTTTCGTTCTCTATCCAGGGATGTTGTTAAGTGGCTTCCCTGCTGTACGTCATAGTCGAATATGTGTAATACAAGAACCTCTATCGAAACTATCCCATTTACATATTTGTCTTTGAGCTTCAGAACGCGCGTCATTACCTCTGGTACATTGCATCACCTGTGTAGCACTGTACTTGAAAGAAATCGTACTATTCGTCACTTGAACAGAAACTAGTATGCATGTTATGGCCACATTGTTCGCGTAGCAATAAGGCCTGCACCTCTCACCAAAGCCATCCCATTGAGGGTTTGATGACTACTTTTTGACGGTCCACATCCGATATGCTTTTTCTTCTACTGTCAAGTACTACATCCGTGACTGGAGTCTCTTGCAGCACTAGGGGTCGGCACGGGAGCTGGGTTTCTTGGGTCGTCCTCTTCGTAGCAAGATGAGTCGTCCATGATTCGGGGCGGCGTGATTGAGGCCTCGCGCATCCGCAAGGAAGCCGGTTGTGGACCCGGGCGACCTTGTCGCGCTGCCGCTGATGCATTTATAGTATCGTAAATGAGCGGGTGTGTCCCCTGGCCTGTATGTCTATGATGACCGTCTTCATACAGTGTGCGCGATGGCTCGTGTTCACGCAATATTGGGTGCCGGATGACATACTTACCCTCAGCATCCCTTAAGTGAACGATACCGTATGCCTCTTCATACTGTACTGTTGAGGTACGTATATTATCTGCGTATAATATGCTACTCCTTGTCAGTCTCCTAGAAATTAACATCCTGCGGGTCTTTGTATGTATGCTACTTCGTGAGAGTCGCCACTAGGGCGGTCTGTGGGGGGTCCTCGAGGTTGTTAGCTAGGCCGCTCTTACCAAAAACCTTCTATAACTTCCATATGCACTTGCTGAGAAGTGTGACAGGCAGGCTGATGAAACTTGTGCGCAGCGTTTGTTTGTATTGCAACGTTAGAGTCAACAATCACACCCGTATGCCTGTGTGTATGGATGTTATGGTCCGGCAAATGTGACTAGAGAAGCAGTCAGGTTGATGCTGTCGGCCTCCCCAGATAGTATCTCTGTAAAATTTGGTTCCAAAACACTTGCAGAACGAGGATGTCGTGCTCTCCTTTCCACTGGGCTGTGTGTCTTGTTGCATCAGTCGGGCATTTTAAAGTGCCGGACGTGGCCTCGCTGATCCGGCCCCCCTAGGTGCGTGTAATACCTGCTCATCCTCTGTAAGGTATCTGATGTTATGTTCAGTCATCGATTCGACGACAGGAGGAACAAGAGGTCGAGGTTGTTCGTGCGTAGGACGAGGACCCTCCTTGGTGAGGTGCTGTGGATCTGAGCCACGGAGAGTTATGCGCCGACTAGCAATAGCCCTGTGGCAACCCTTATCATAGTAGACATCATACGGTTGGTCGTTAGTTGGCGGGTGTCCCTTCGAGGCACCAGAGTGATACAACCCAGTGGGTAGCAGGTCGTGCTTTAACCCCGTATCGTGTGCTCGACGGGACTTGATAAATGACTCATCAGGAGCTGTTGCTGCCCGGTCCTCATGCCCAACATGCGGTGGTTTTCTCTGAATATCCCGTCATATAGTTACACTGGATGGATTTTGAGTAGGCGCAAGGCCTGTCCAATGTGAGAGTTCATTGTCATGACCGGCAGGCTCGAGGAGTATGAGAGTACTCATCATTCTCGGCATGTTGCTTTGCAGGACCCTGCTTTTGATTACAACTCGGAGGCCGCATCCCGGGCGGCCGGGAACAGGATATAATAGTATTGAAACCCTAGGGCACTGCTTCGTTTATGAGACCGAACTTTTGCCCCTTGATGACAAGAATCGCCTTCAAATCTGGCATCTCGGATACCTCTGGGAGTAAAACTATGCCCTATGTCCAGTTCGCGCCTGGTTGATTCCTAGAACTCACTTCGGAGATTACGATGTGACGGTTCTCGAAGTGATGGGCAAGCTATGGTGGTGAAAAGGTCTTGCGGTCTGGATTCACGGGCAGACCCAGACCCAACGTACAGGACTTACACATCAATCCAGTGATATTGCATACGGAACGCATCTCTCTGTTGTTGAAAGTCCGTCGTTGAACATCCGTCAAGACGGGACCAGGGAAGACCTCGAGCGAAAATGTCTTACTATATAATAGATAGTGACATAAACTCTCAGGGGTCCTGGCAAATCACTCATACAAGAAAGTGTATTCCAGAGATCTCGCGTGCTTCGGGCAAGATTTTCCATCTGCAAGTAATAGAAGTCGGCAACGGTATGCCCTCGGCCGCAACACGGCGGCTGATGATCACCTTGCATCGAAGCAGCGCGGTGCGAGTGGTAAGGATAAGGTGGTCCAGTATTGATGGAAGAGTAGTCTGGAAGTCCAGGGGCGACATGATATGGTCCGAAGCCTGTAGGCGCCATTACATACGCCTGGGAGATGTCGTTGGTCCTATAGCCGGACACTGAATAAGGAGCAGGAGGTATAAAACCGTTCATGTGGTAAAGTGGCGGCAGGAGATACGGGTCAGCAGGCTGAGGGGGATAAAGAGGAGGTGGTGCGTGACCAAGGAGCAAGTGGCAAGAAGGCGCAAGAGGCATGTTCTTACTGAGATGGAGGGTATCGCAAGTGCTGTACGTTGGACATTCTGGCACCACATGGTTCTGCAGGACATGTGATGTGTTTTGTTGGTCGAGCTTGGGACTTAATGGTGATTGCTCTGGCCATTCGGCTCTCCAATAAACAACCACATTGCCTATTACTGTCACACCCATTGCATAGAAAAATTCTTTGCCATACGACGTGGTGTAGTGTTTAATCTTCATGTCAGAAACCCATTTGACGTTTCCAAGTGTGAGTTTCTGAGTAAAAGATCCCTCTGGCGGATCAATGACTGGCGGCTGACCAGCTGTAACTGTAACTTCGGCGTCTTGCGCCACGTCGGCGTAAAACTGCGCCCGTACTGAGAGAAGAACCTTTGCCACAAATTGAGTGCTGTTTTTCTTGTTAACCTTGCGATCCTTTCCCCAGCTGCTGCGAATTAACTCGTCTGCATAGTTCGATAATTTCGATAGTCACGTTTTCCGTTTTCTCGGCATCTGTTCGCTCTGCGAGCAGTTTCGGCAGCAGTACGCCCCACGCATTGTCATCCAAAGCCGCGATGATCTGAATGGCGGTTTGGAAGGAAGACATGTGAACGAGAAGAAGGTTGGGTGGTAATAGGGGTTCGATCCGCATGGCTCGCCGCTCGATTTTCACAACGCCGCAATGCCTTTAACGTCACAGTCTCCGTGCATCTATCTCCGGGTGACCTTGATGCTCGTAGCGCCAGCCCACACTTACTGGCGAGTCCAACTGGTGTCATGGGGAAAGCAATGTATTCGATTGTGACTGATCTTTGCGGCACTCTTGGTTGGCGACGGTAGCTGGGAGCCTGAGGGAACTTCGTATCGGAGCTACTAAATTTGGTCTATGACTTGCGCCGAGTCCTTTGGTTCGAAGATTGACTGGGGACGTAATGGCTGGTTTATGAGGGCCAGCAATAGTCCACCTCTCCCATCGAGAGGCATCGCTCATAAGCTCCTTGCCTCGAGTATCGAGACCTTCCAACCATTATTCAACTGCCGCTGCTCCGAGATCCTGGGCTGCACTTAGTTCATTATTTGCAGACTCAATGCTCAAAATTGAGTATAGTTGGGTAGTTTCCGGTCTATCGTGAACTGCAACGTCTTCTAGAGCGATAAATCGCAAGACTTGTAGTTCATTCGTAACATAAACGTGTGCTAGTACAGGCATGAGCGAAGGTATCGTAAATGCAAGCAGTAAGTCGATTTCCTGCAGACGTGGTTAGCGGAAGAACATTGTCGACAACACGTCCAAGCTGAACAAACCTTCAAGGAGTCTTTCAAAAGATGCCCCAGCAGGTGACACCGAAGATGAATACGGTGGACAGGCCATCAAGGTCGGGCCCTAAGCGGTAGGAATCCAGGTATCCATGACGTTGCTGACTGGTTTTTGCAACTCCACAACGCTGACAGACATTGGCACAACAGAGACGCCGCATGTCTAGCTTAGACTTGCCACTCAACGACATCCTAGGCCAGTGCGACCTCCGCGACAACTGCTAGATTGTATTGGGCTGGAGTGGTTTGACGCAATTTGAGTATTTCGAAGGAGAGGCGGAACCTCTGAAAAGAGATCAGGGATCGAGGTATTCGTTGAAAACCTTATTGACTTGCAACAAAACACCCAAGCCTCTGGTGGAGGTGAAGGTAAAGGCATGATGCCATATCTCCAAAGGGAAATGTGATTTGCCATGAGGCAGGTGAGGCGACCTGCTTTCTTCTGTTCCCAGCTTCAACCTTTTTGATTTGCCGTATTCGGTGCCTTCAACACCCAAGGGTCTGTGAACAATCTTGCGTTCACCACCCTACATGAAATGATCTTGCAAGCCCGGAACGGTTTGGCCTGATGCATCGATACATAACGGTACATTTCCCGCTGAACTGGAACGTTTTCCGTGGTCCAAGACGGGTCCATCTTGCGGAAAAAAATTAATGTCATCTAGAGATGAAGCATCTCCCAGTAACGGGGCCTTTACGTCGTAGCTAGGGCTATTACTGCGTAGGAAGGGCACTGGGGAAACCATTGTCCCTGTTGATTCTGGACGGGAACGTCCAGTCGAATAAAGAAAAACAACAGAAGCGAGATCAAATACCTCGCGATAGCAACAGGGAAGAGTGAGTATGATATGGGAAGGGGGGCTCGAACACTTGTCAGGGTTGTTGAATATGATGGGTGATTGGTCACCAGGCTACGAACGACCTCAACTGAGCTCGCTTGCGTTCTAGGCCAGGCACCAGAGGCTTGTCCACAACGCAAGCCTCGCCCTTACAGCTGGCTGTAAGAGCTATAGGATGGACGCCTCGGGTTGATAGACACAGGAACCAATATGCTCCCAAGCAGCCTGAAGAGGAATTTGGTAGAGAAGAGGAGAGGACCGGCACCTACAGCTGGTCGACGTAGCGACCGGATATTGGCGTGCTGAACTGGATAAGTGGCATGGGCATATAAGACAGCGAAACCGTATAGTTCCAATCTAATGCGTAGTTGCGATAGAGCGAGGGTATGTCATTTGGCATGAGAATAAGCAATGAACGAGACAAGGTGCGGTTCAGGATGATGGCGCGCTCCCAGACGAGCCCAGCGTCGAGCTAACCAGGCGCGGAAGCATCTAGTTGCCTCAAGCCCAACCGCACGGTGCAGTAGAAGCAGAATCTTGAACATACCGATGTCCCAATGTTTTCGATATTCAGTACATTGTTATACCATCTGTTCATAATGCAGAGAAGAAGTTGTGAGAGTCAGAGCCGTGGCCCTGAAAATTGACAACAGAATAGTGCGATTCGCAAGTAAATCCAAGGGGAAACCAATCAAGGTGACCAGGGAACAACTTCCGGAGTTTGGGTGGGCAATATAGGTATGTCTATGGGGCTAGAGAGAATACAGTCAACGTACCAAATCAGGCATATTGCGCCATCCTGACCCCTTATCACCCTTGGAGCAGACAGAGATCTCGTGTGTATGTGTACTGGGCAAAACTTCTTAGATGGTTAGCCTCAGCTGCTGCTAAAAGAACCAGTTTCAAGCTTATCATCTTCTGATCGGGTTATCGTTTGCCAAACAGCCAGCCACCTGTGCCGATGCCGCCAATCATGGCCGTATGCGTCTGATCGCTTCTGCGTGGCCAGTGTCAGTGAGACCCCCAGAGGATCAACCGCTTCTATGAAGACAATCACCCACCTCTGTTGGAACAGGTGCGGCCTGCGGAAAGCTGGTAATGATTGTACGGTTCATCTCTTAGAGTGATCGGCTGATCTCGACGAAGCGAGCGATGAGCGGCGTCTCCTGCCCCCGCTCAAATCATCCACTTGACGACCCTTTCTACTGCTATCTTGCTCCTCTTCCTCTGACATTCTGTTGCGGCTCTCGTTGTCTGGAGAGCGTGGTATGCTACTACCACGGCGGCCTCCGGCTCCACTGCGAGGCTTCGAGTTTGCACGGCCACGATACGGACGGTGCTCAGGGCTTCGATCCCTAGACCTAGAGCTCCGCAATGACTCTGAACCTGAGGATCTACTGCGGGGTCGTCTTTTGTGACCAGGGGAACGACTCCGAGACGAGGAGTACCTGCGCCGCTTGGTAGTTGGTCGTCTGTCAGACGATGGCGACCGCGTTGACAAGCTTCTCGTTGATCTCCGCTTCCGCCGCGAGTCGCGAGGATCAATTCCACCCCTTCTCGATGAGGTTGATCGGTTCCTCACAGGTCTGGGGCTGATTGTACTACGCTCTCGCCGAGGTCGTCGAGCGGGCGGAGAGGGAGACTCACGACTCAGCCCTCGTTTGCGCTCCGCGCTCCGACTTCGAGATGGAGATCGTGAAGAAGCAGATGTCGAGGAAGGTGAGCGTGTGGTGGGATGGCGACGCCCTGGTCCTCGGCCGCCACTTGGCCTGTCTCTGGGGACGTAGCTGTCTCGTGCAGACCCACGGAACGAGCCTCGATCTCTCTGGTCGCGATGCCTCGGCCCCGGCGAGCGCGATCTATGTTCGCTGAAACGCGGCCCATATCGACCTCGCTGATCGTGGTCTCTATCACCTCGCCGACCACGCCACGTATCTCCACCGCGGCCACGACCGCGTTCGACATGATCCCGATCTCTCAATCTATGGGCTTCTTGCTCGCGTCTTTCAGCATCTTCTCGGCGTCGGCGGGCTTCGTCTGCAGCACGATCGGCTTCCATCTGACAGTGTTAGCTTTGGTCTTTCACTTGGGCGAAGATACAGCTGCCTGTACCTTTTCCTGTATCAATTCCAACTTCTTGGCCTCGAGCAGTTCCTTAGGCACGCCTTGAGGGCTCGTTTGAGCGCTTAAGCATAACTTCCATAGGTCTTTGCAGAATGGTGCCGTGTCTTTATCCAGAAATCCCGTGAGCTGTATCTGAAGCGACTTTATATCAGGCTGCAGAATCGTTAGCAAACATCAACGAAAACGGGAGAAAGACTGACATATCGAGACCCTTCAATCAAGTTGAAGCAAAGCTCAATAACCACATCATCCTCGTTGCCTAGTATGTCGGAGATCTTGCTAGCGATCCACCTGGAGCAAAGGAGTTTAGTTATTGAAGTGCAATGGAAAAAAAGGGCAAGTCTGACTTTTTCATCACCTGAAGGTTGACTTTCTGCATGTCAACCTTCTGATTGAACTCCGGGGGGAATTTGGTGGACTTAAGAAGTTTTGCATCGACTCCTGTCGCCATTGTTGGCAAATTACCTCTAGGCGAAGAAGAAAAATCTTTCCGAGAGAAGGGAGTAATGAAGGGGTTGTCACGTTGGTTTAGAGATCGCCGGATAGAAGAAGCTGGAGTCGGAGCTGGAAGCTGGAGCTAGTGGCTTTGGAGCCGAAGCTGCGTCAGCACGCGTCGGCACTGGTACCTGTGCATACATACTCGCCTACCTAGGTAGGAGGGCTGTATGATGCCTCAGGTACACACTGCCGCTTCCACTGATAGCAGGTCCGGCTGGGTCGGTAGGTGCCTGCCTATGTAGCCGCCAGGTAGTGTAATCGGCTGCGTAGCTTCCCGTAGACCCCCGCACCTTCCGGTTGTTTTGTTGCGCTGCCGACAGCTCGCTGGAGCCTGCCGTCAGCCAATCTGCCTAACAACGCGGGGCAATTGATTGATCACGCTCCTCTGCTGCAGCACAATCCTCGAGTAACATTCGAACTAATTGCGTCCGGCAGTCTCTCTGATCTGAGGCAATAAGACGGCAAAACGACAACGGAAATAACCATCGTAAGCAAGTTTTTTCTGTGAAGAGAACCAACGATTTTGGTACGCGCTGCGTATTACGACTGTCCCCGTCGGCTCGCTTCGTAGACGATGGGATTGCCCCTCAGGATGAACGACATACACGTTCCGACAGTGCCGTCAGGCCCGGCTAGTAACTCGACGACGGCCAACGGTCGTTCCGGCCGTCTCACCTTCTCAGAGCTCCAGAAAAAGAAGGATGGCGTGGAGGCTGAACTAAAAGCTCTCGGCGCAGTCCTTGACTCTGTGTGTAGAACGTTCTCTTATACCTTCCGTCTAAGTGAATGGGCATAAGCGGACAGCCAGCTGACCTGCAACCCAGCATGGAGCCGACATGAATACCCCCCTCACAACTCGAGATGGCTTCCCGAGATCAGACATCGATGTTGCTCAAGGTAACCTAGCCCGGTCTAGCACCTATCAAGCAAAGTAATTGATTATTAGCACAGTACGTACCACGAGAGCTCGTATCATTCACCTGCGGAACGATTACAAAGATCTTATGATCATGATTGAGAAGCATCTTCATGAGCACTTTGCTTGCTCACAAGAGGACGATGGGTCTGAAGCCCAGCCTGCGGGAAGTGCTGGTTTTCTGACGAATCACTCTACGCCTCAACCGCTTGAAGAGCCCTTCGCTATGGTCAACAGCGTTGTATCGGGAAGTCCAGCTGAGGCAGCAGGTCTGAAGCCAGCCGATGAAATCCGCAATTTTGGATATGTTAACCGCTCAAACCATGATAATCTAAAGAAGGTAGCTGAGTGTGTTCAAGGGAATGAAGAGGTGAGTTTGTCAACTCCCTCACTCTCGCATTGATAAAATGTATGCATAGAAAGCTGACAAGTTGCAAGCAACCGATATCGGTCAGAGTATCGCGGCCTAGTTCCGGCGCGCGTCAGGAACTGCAGCTCACATTAACGCCAAGGCGCAACTGGGGTGGCAGAGGTCTCTTGGGTTGTCATATCCTGCCTCTCCAATGATAGTGGGAAGCTGATTCGGCGGTGTTGTCGCTACTTCATGAAATCGAAGTTTGAGGTAACAGAGCGTGCGATATGTACAGCTATAGGTACAAATCTACACACTCGTTGACTTGATCTCTGGCACGAGCAGGCGCTATCAATTTCATGAAAGAAGGGTCTTGGGATTCGCGCGCTGATTCACCCGACCTTCCTAGAATCCATGAATCTGAGCTCGGATTGCCACTAAGAAAGGTGCTTGACATAGACAGAATCCCGTGTCGGGCCAATCTGGTTGGACAGTTTGACACGGCCGCAATACCAGTCAGGAAGAGAGTTGGGTGGGCTGTCAGGCCGAAGAGAACCCCTTTTGCCTACAGACGAGCAGCCAATGAGAGTTGGGGATTGGCAAGCAGATTACAAAGTAAAGGCACAAGGAACTCCCTGGCCTTGAGCGAAAAGGATCGAAGATTGCCTACCAGGCATCATGCAACCAAGTCCATTGTGATTTTCATACATGTAAGGCGACTAGAACTGGCCCAGGAAACAAAAAAATCACATAAGATCAGATCTTTGCCCACTGGACAAGGGATGAGCGCTTGAGAGGTCGATTGTAGCGACGTAGAAATAGTCTTTCAGGTTACGTCTTGTAAAAAGATTTCTTTGATTTGACAGAAAGATGGATGGTGCAACAATGTCAGAGAGCTTGGGTTCATGAAGTAAAGGGTCAATCTTGAGGCAATGGGAGAACGGTTTATCCCCTCCATCAATGCAGTGACAAACCGGCGGGACCACTAGACGATTTTCTGCCATTTCCGAGTAAGAACTAGTGGCAACCGGGATAACTCCTTGCCTCTGCTCTGTCACTGACACAGTGACACCTAGGCAGGCTTTTTTCTTATTTTTATTTATTCTCTCATCTCCCCGGGTTCCGCCATGACAAGATCCCCGCTATGACGAGACAGCACTGCACGTGACAGACGCCTAGCCCAATCGTGCCTACCCGACTCTGGTGGCCTGCCTGACTGAAATTTTCGCTTAAGAAGTACGGCTTCCTTGCAAGCTCCCCGCCATCCTCAAAAACAACACCCCCCCAAAAGTCGATCGATCGGTGACGATTACCACACGTCAAAGTCTACAGCCCATTTCTGCTGTTTCCCACGGTACGCTCTTGCCCGTCTCCCTACTCCCGCCGCTTTCTTCCATCCAACTCCGACGAACTCACAATCTCGCTCGTTCGGTCTGCTTCGCGCAACTTGCTAACCCCTCGATCAGCCCCGCTTGTTTACATCCAGCTCGCACCGAGCCTTTCTTCCACCGACCGCGATCATGGCTGCCGCCCAGACTCCTACCTTCAAGCTCGTCCTTGTCGGCGATGGCGGTACCGGAAAGGCGAGTATACAATGTCCCTTGATCTCCCGTGGCCCTTATCTTCGGTGCGCCGATCAGTGACATTTTGTCGGGTTACGCTGAATATGATGTGTCCTTTTGATCCTGCTCCTAGACTGTCGCTGACTTTATTCTTTGGCATAGACCACCTTCGTCAAGCGCCACTTGACGGGTGAGTTCGAGAAGAAGTACATGGCCACTCTTGGTGTCGAGGTTCACCCCTTGGGCTTCACTACGGTATGTGACTTGTAACCAACTTTCGCTTGTCTTGTGTCTTTCAGCTTTCTAACGCAACCTGCACAGAACTTCGGCCAGATCCAGTTCGATGTCTGGGATACCGCCGGCCAGGAGAAGTTCGGCGGGCTCCGTGACGGTTACTACATCAACGGCCAGTGCGGTATCATCATGTTTGATGTCACCTCCCGTATCACCTACAAGAACGTCCCCAACTGGCATCGTACGTACTATTACACTGGATCGACGACGCTCGATCCCGGAATCCTACTCTCCGAGCAACATCACTGATTTGAACATCTGTCCAGGCGACCTCGTCCGCGTCTGTGAGAACATCCCCATTGTTCTCTGCGGTAACAAGGTCGATGTGAAGGAGCGCAAGGTCAAGGCCAAGACCATTACCTTCCACCGCAAGAAGAACCTCCAGTACTACGATATCTCCGCCAAGTCTAACTACAACTTCGAGAAGCCCTTCCTTTGGCTCGCACGCAAGCTCGTCGGCAACCCTGCTTTGGTGAGTATTCCTCAAGAGTTCTCAATTCGCGTCAGCTTTGGCTTGGGACGGACGTGCTAACTTTGGATCAGGAATTCGTTGCCGCACCGGCTCTGGCCCCCCCCACCGCCCAGGTCGACGAGAAGCTCCTCGAGCAGTACCGCAAGGAGATGGACGACGCTGCCCAGATGCCTCTGCCTGGTGAACTTTCGGACGATGACTTGTAAAGATAGAAACGTGGTATGGATCATGATCCAACCGCGGTGGAGTGTTCGACAGGACATCGTGAACCGGAGTTCTCAGGCGCAGGCCGGCAATTGCTGGTCATGGCCATTATGGTAGAAGACGGCACGGCCGGTTCATTTGGTAGACTCGGAGCTGGATTTGGGGGGGTGGGTTACACTTGCTGCTAGACGGCCAGCATACTTTGAGTAGTTTGACGCCTTACAAGATGAACACTGAGTCCTTGCACTTCCACCAAGGTGTTTCGGGATACAGTCGTCCCGCTCTTTACTTTGTGTGCAAGTCTCGGCAGATATCGCGATGCATTTAATTAGATAGCAATTCAATGATCAGCTGGGCATAAATGCTCAAGTAGACGGACGGCCACCAGTGAAAGGTCGCAGAGATATGCTCTCGGATCTACGTCATGTTTAGGCTGAGAACAGATGCGAGCGTAGATTGTGAGGTTTCCTGTGGATGACAGTCTAGAACACAACGGACCTGATCAAATGCGGTTGGTGAGCAACGAGCGATATGAGCTGAGATATGGTATGGTAGCAGCTCTAGGTGACAGCCAGTTGCACAGACTCATTGTGGAGAAGCATGCTTCATCAGAATAAAACACAATATACTCTGTACAGACGTGTTGTTATGTTAATCCGTAGCCACACATATCTGGACAATGCGCAGGACAGAGATTGGATGAAGGCAGCAAAAAAGCTTGCGAGGCTCAACTATAGTTTCCCCAGCCTTCTTAGCCGACCGCATCCACATGGATGGGTGGCACCCGTGCCATACATAGGCGCGTTCTTCAAGCGAGTACAAAGAATAGGCCAGTCCTGGGGAAAGGTGGGCCCATAAAACTAGAGGCTCAAGGCGAGCAGCACCAGGGGTTAGCGACGCGTCTTGGGGGTAATCTTGGACAGGGTTTGGGAGTGCTGGGTGGGACACGAGATGCGCGCGAGCGGGAAGAAAACGTATGGGTTATGATTGAAGTTGTGAATTGGGCATCGGATCCGGTTTGCTTTAGGGTATCCGTACTTAGGGTGGAACTAAGTAGGTTGGTGCAATCATCTATGTAGGGTTGCAACTCAGATACGGAAACGAGGATGGTCTGATGTCAGTCAATCACTAAGTCAGTCACATGCGACTATAAGCCTGCTGAGCAGTGAGGGAGACGAGAGCAGCATTCTTAAGTTGCGGTTGGTGTTGTGCACTTATGCCAGACAAGACAAGAGAAAGAGTGTGTGTTTGTGTGGGGGGTGGGGGCATGATTTGTCCGATGAATAGACAGATGGGTACGGAGTAGAGTGCGAAGAAGGTCGTGTTGACAGCTGAGGTAATTGTGATGGTTCTGCTCCGAGGCCTAGATGTACTGTTATTAGGCTGCTTTCTCACTTAGCGATGCAAAATAAGGCAAGGTAACCAGACCAGAAGCAAGTTGGCTAAACAGAGCATCTACCTAGGTTAAATCGAGCTAGCTACGCAGTGCGGCAGTATGCAGTAGCCCCGGGATACCAAAGGTGAAGTGTTGCTTTATTCCTAATTGAAAACAGACACGCGACTTGACTGGCTCGGGCCTCCAATGCATGAGGGCTACAGAGCACCACTTGTCTCTTAGTGAGTGCTCGCAGCGTCCAAGGATACATCATGCAAGGTGGATTCCACGCGTTCGAGACCATAGTGCTGAGAGATTTGGGGCGAATTTCTATTTCCGTTTCGTTAATCATGGGGCGCGTGCACTATCAACTTGCCGCGCGCAGCATGAGGAGCGTCCTTGACCTTTCTCTCACTACTAAATGCCAAGAGCACGATGATACTCCCGAGAAGCATTACATGTCTAAAATTCATTAATATCAGTGACATGTGTTGGATCGAGATATGTAAAGGCGGTCGGTACTCCGTACATAATCCCAATCTCAGGGGTCTGGCCTGGGGACGTGCCGCAATCGCGCTTTTCGTAGTCCAACATCGGACTAGAGTGTTTAGGTACATCCGATCCACTATCCACGTCTCCATAACGTGTAAGGGCCCCCATAGGTACCTGGTCGGGTCCTCGACGCGCTGGGCTGCGTTCAACACCACAAGCAATTGGTACTGCAGCACACCCTCACTAAATTACCACGACTAACCGTGGCTCGTGTCTCGACGCTCCTGCTTCCCCACCTCGCCCGTTCCTGAGAAACACTGCCTAGCCTCTCTCTCTCTCACGCGCTTCGTCATTCTTCCTCTTCTATATCCTCCAAGGTTTCCTCTGCCTCTGGGAGTATCTCCAATTTCTTGTTTTGTTAAACCACAGTGCCTTGGTGTCTTGTGTACTCGCCCTCTTTCCCTTCACATACCTTCGCGGCTCGTTCGACTACATCGACCTTGGATCATGACTATCGTTCACCACTCCTAGCTCAAACCACCGCAATGCCCGCCTTCGATGCATCTCCTTCGGTCTCGACTGATGCAGCACCATCCTCGTCCTCCCCGCCCTCAAGCGAATTTCCCACTCAGTCAGAACACGCTGCGCAGACACCTACAAGACAAGCCGTCACCGACCTAGCGCAAACTCCCGATGTAGCGCCCTCGTCGTCAGCTAAAACAGACGTGTCAAATGCCGACTCTGAAAAGCACCCCAAGGGGAAGAGGAAGAGGACGGCGTAAGTCGCCGTGCAGACACTGAATGGAGCTGTGCTGTGTGTTTTGCGGACACTAATTCGTTCCTCAATCGTGCGTACAGTGCCAAAGACAAGTCCATCCTCGAAGCTGCCTACATCGCGAACCCGAAACCGGACAAGACAGCGCGTCTGGACATAGTGAAACGCGTTTCTCTTAACGAAAAAGAGGTTCAGGTAAGACGTCTACCCTGCTGTGACGCGTGTTCTTTGCTGATCTTTGATTGTTAGATATGGTTTCAAAACCGTCGACAGAACGATAGACGCAAGTCGCGTCCGCTCTCTGCCCAGGAGATTGCTGCTCTTCGCTACGGTGGCATGCAAATCGTCTCGTCGGACCCTGTTACATATAGTCCCTCTCTGCCCGAAGAGAAGGCTTCGCCGGTGGCAGACGCTGCTACCATGAAGGCGCCTATGCCAGCAGAAACCCCAGTCAAAGCCGTATCCACAACGGTTGAGGCGCATGAGCGACTTCAACTCGCAACGCCGTATATTCCAACGACCAGTGCTGCTACCAAAACCCTGGAAACGCCAACATCTCAAGCCACAGACTCTTCATTGCCGCAGTCAACCGGATCTTTCTCCTTTTCCAGCTCTATCGGCTTTCTGACAAACCGTTGGAACCCCACGAGTTCCTTCTCAACGCCCTCAACGCTGAACCGCAGTGTTGATAATACCCCCAAGTATGCCTTATCCAGTCTGTTCTTCGCATTCCTACTTACACGGCGTCAGATCCGAGCAGTGCCCTCCCTCATCTTGCTCATCAGTCGCATCTGCAGCGCGCATTCTACCCCCTCTTCAGTCTTCACAGCAGTCACTTGTGCGGCTCTCACTTTCCCTCGAAGGCAAAGCCGAGCTCGTCTCCAACGAGACTTCGCCTCCTCGGATGCAGCCTACTAGACTGTTTTCAGAGTCACCAGCTCTACCTCAGCCTAGATTGTCTCGACCACTCCAGCGTAGTCACAGTGCACTCCCTAGCGTAACTCTACCTCCCATCACAGCCCTTACTGACTTCCTACCACCTACGTTGGGGCGTGGTCGATCTCGTGACGCGCACGCGTGGGAACTGTGCTGTGACGCCGACAGTCGCGATGAGCTTACCGCACAAGCCGAAAATGAGTCCAATGGCTCTGCCGTTGCCGCCATCAACCTCCTCCGTTCAACAAGCGGTATTCTCCAGAATAATAATTCCAAGCGGAACTGCCCAAGCAGCAGAACAACGCCTCGATCACAGCAGGCCAAGAAGCCTAGACTCAGTCGGACGTCTTCCAGCATGGCCAGGATGCAAACACCGCTCGGTGATGGCGAGAAGTCGACGACTCAGCTAAACGACGAAAACATCTCAGGCGACAAAGTAATTGTTAACAAGTTGATATCTCCAGGCGACTCTGATAAGGAGAACTGGAGCCCCGATGCCAACGGTAATCCGCGTCAGACGGTGCCGGCATCTGATGTCAGAAGGCCATTGCCGAATATTGCCGGTAACAAAGCCAATGCGAGGCGCACGGGGCGGGCTCTTCAAGACTTTTCTATGCCTGCTATTTTCAGCGGTAACCGTGCCAGGACGATGCCGGCTATGGGACGTCGAGATTCAGGGAAGGATCTGACAATATTTGAAGATGGCCGCGGCTCGCCTGCGCCAAAGGAAACAGAAGAGGTAGAGAAGTTTATGCGTGGCGGCGAAGTCAGTCCAAGTAAGAAGGGAGATATGGATTGCATTGCAGGTCTGCTCTCCCTCAGCCAAGGAGCTTGGAGATAGAGACTCCTAGTGTGTTATTCCACACGGTTTGGACAATCGCGATCCGTTCCTGCCACTCAAAGTCCCCAAGCCCCCACATTCCAAGCATCCAAAATTGGCCATCTTTGTGATAGAAGTAGCGGGATGGTTGTTGAAAACCACGAGTGTGGTATCTACTTCAGCGGGCTGTGATATGAAGCCTAAAAGACTAGGACAATGAACGAGCTCTAGATGGCGTACGGCCCTGTCAGAAATGGATGAGACAACTACGCTTCTGAACCCTCAGGTTTCTGTCTGTTTCTTCTGCCGCTTTCTTGCGAAAGCCACAGCCAGGGGGCACTGCGGGGGAGAGTGTGTGTGGAATGCCTCGGTTCTCAAACTTGGGCACGGTATGAAGGAAGCTTATTCTTGGTATCCTTAAGTAGACGACAGCTTTGCGAAGCCGGGTGCGGTTACGCCATGTTTGTTTACGGATTAGGGAAGCTTTAATGACGCCACAGCGGAACAAGTAGAAAAGAGAAATGCGATCCAAATCATGCAAAACACTGTGTTGCCGTTTATCTTGACTGTAGTGGTGTTGGGCCTGTGTAAGATGGTAGTAGTGTTATTTTACGCCGGGATATAGAATAATAGAGCTACGTACACAAAGGGGCCTTTCTCGCCTTTGAGGATAGAATATGCATAAAAGATTTTCTATACTGTTAAGTACGTAAAGACCCTTCAGTAGCTAGGTTCCTTCATTATACAAGATTTCGTAGACATACCATTGTGACATCTACGCAAAAGGACACATAACTTCTGGACAGGTAGTAGGCCCAGAAGTCAGCCACGCTTAAGTGGGCAAGTCGGTGTCGTGTGTCAGCACTGTGACGGTATTCTATAGTGTCCATTTTAACAGAGAGGTCTGTACACCCGTAAGTTTTTTTAAAAAAAAAACAAAGAGAAGGGAGAGTTGGTCTGAGTAACATGTTGTAATAAACCTCAGAAGGTCGTTTGTCGCACGTATCGCATATGAGCAGCTTGACGGCACGTCTTACGTCTTCAGCCATGCCCAGCCGTCAACAGTAAAAATGGTCCACTGGCTCCAGCATCAACCTGATGCATTGCGTCTGTACGGAGCGCCACAGCTAGACTAGGCCCCATAATGGAGTTGGAGTTGATAACAAGATCATCACTAACATAAAGATGGACATGGGCTGGCATTCTGTTTGTTGCCAAGTAGTGGTATTTGTTGTTTGGATCCTTGACCAGGCTTGCTGGTCGGATCAACCACAACCACGGCAAGGTCCGATTTGGCTAATACGGGAATCTCCCAAAATTTATATACTTAGAAGCAAGCTTGTTTATCTCGGTTCCTCCTTCCTTGTTTCTATACTCCTCGCTAAAGGGCGGCGGCCCACATATGACGGCCAGCCTTATGAAATATTTACCATGCTAATGCCAATGGTCAGATTTCCCCACGTCTCTGCTTCTCTAATGCGATCGAAATGCACAGGCGTGCGCTCTCCCTTTCTCTCCATGCTCGAAATCCGCGCTCGGTCTATCAAACAAAATGATCGGGAAACGGCAGTAAAAAGCTAACAGCCAATGTGTTCCTTGGCACCCGATCTGCCTATGGTGGGAACAATGAAATAAAGACGAGAGGTTCTTCTCTCTTGAGATGAACCATCTTCCTTGGTCGTAATTAAGAGAGTAATGGGGGGAGGATCGTCATGATCTTCGCTTCTTTCCTCTCAGCCTCCACGATGTTCAGCATCACATACCCAATAGGCTCATCTGTCTTCTCAACGGGCTCGCGCTGATGCTGCCATCCTCGCTTGCATAGCACGCCGAATCCGTGTCAATGTCCCACTCCGGGTCATCATCCTTGCCGTCCTCAGACGGGCAAAGGCTGCCGTCAGCCGAGGGGTCAAAGCCCTTTTGCGTAGCGGCGCGTGTGTTCCAGCGGAGAGTGCGGGACACGCTATCGAACCACTCCGTCTGGGTGCGAACGACGGTGGGAAATGGGTACTGCGACGCTGTGATTGTTACGTAGTCGCCCTGCTTCAGCTCGACCCGACCCTTGCCATCGAAGGCGCAGTAGGCCGTTGCACGTGAGTTGCGTGGTACCGATACGCGGAGGAGCATCGTGTCGGAGAGGACCATGGGGCGGAACGATAGAGTGTGCGGGCAGATGGGCGTGAGCAGGATGGCGGGAATGTCGGGGTGTACAAGAGAGCCTCCAGCCGAGAGAGAGTAAGCGGTGGATCCTGTGGGCGTCGAGAAGATACAGCCGTCAGCCTGTACCACGGTGAGGAGTTCATCGTCGCCGTACAGCTCCAGGTTCGAGACGTAAGGTGATGGGCCGCGGTCGATGACGAGCTCGTTCAGCACCTCGAACTGCTCGCCCTCCTCGGCCTCCTGACCGAGGGTGCCGTCTCGGTATACAGTGCAAGTGAAGCGCATGCGGAGATTCACGCGCATGCCCTCCTCTCCCATAATGCGGTCCAAGTGCTGCTTGTACTTTTCAAACTCGAAGCTCGTCAGGAAACCAAGACTACCCAGGCTGAAGGACAGCACTGGGGGGACAATGCGCTGGAAGAGCCATGATGTGAAGAGCACAGTTCCGTCCCCGCCAAGGGTCAGAACCAGATCAAACTTCTCAGGCTGGCTCCAGCACAGGTCGGGTGTCCAGTACTTGAGCATGTCCCGGAAAGCAGAGTTCTCAGCGACAATGCCGTTGGCATCGAAGCGACGAGAGTTGCGCAACTTGGCGTCAACGAAGACGTTGACACCAACATCGAAACCGTACCTCGGGGTGCGAAGCAGCCAGGAGGCGAGCTCCCGAGTAAGGTAGACGAGCTGGTTGTCGCGGGCTTTAGTGACAATCATGACATTTCGGACAGCACGCTTGATCGGACGGCGCTGGAGCTGCTTGGAGACCTCGCGAACACCAGTTGCGGTCTGCACTAGCCTCGAGTGAGACATGCAATCGTCGTTCTTGATCTCCTCGAGGACCTTGTCGATGTTGACCGCATCGTCGAAACGGTTGTGATAGAAGCAGGGGGACTGCAGAGACGGCAGGGCGGTAGTGGGGGTAAGGTTACGGTTGGCGAGCTCGTTGAGAGCGTCGGCCAGTTTCTGAGATGAGGACGTGGCAGGTCGGTTGTCGACGCCACTACCCTGTTGGGATAGCATGCCTGTAAGAGAAAGAGCCTCGGGTTTGTTTCGACGAACAACCGAAGCCAATGCTTTCATAATAGTCTGGCGAGGAACTTCGTGGGAAGGCGCGCGACGGTGGCCCTTGGGAGGGTGATGGGCGGTGTTGTTGGCGTTGGAGGGCCGCGACAGAGGGGGCGGCAAGAGCTCGGGGTAGGCGGCAGTGGATGTTATTGAGAGGGAGCTTCTCCTTATCGTCGATGATGAAGACGCAGCAGCGGGAAGACCACCTGGGGCACAAGATAAAGGCTCCTCTGCTACCGATTCAGCATTGCGATGCAGTGACTGAGTAATGAGGCCAGATGTCGAGACGGACGAAGAGAGCGGTCGATCATGGATGGCGTTTGAGCTCTTGGGACGGTCGGAAAGCGAGCCCGTTTTAATGACTCGTTCGGAGGACGAAGACGGCTGTTGTAATGGCGGCGCCGCCGGCGGAAGCGGATTGGGATTACTGAGGGCGGGGTGCAGGGCTGTGGGAGAGGAGACAAAGCCCGACATGGTCAAAAACGGTGGCTTCTTCTGCCGAATCAACCGGGGATCCTTCAAGTGGTAGTGGCCCAGGGGGAGTAAGTGGGAAGAGTGTTGCCGCGAAATACTACAGCGGCGGCAATAATAACAGAAGCCTATGCCGGGGGAACAGAGGAGGGGCTGTTTCTCCGCTAAGGCCGAGCGACGCTAAGGGAGAATCGAACGTGGGGCTTCGGAAGGAACACTGCAGTAGGTACCGATACAAAGGTACCCCAGCAATAGCGCTAGCGACCGGACCAGGCGGACAACCGGTGCGATAGGTCGGGTGGTGTGCGGTTGTAACGGTAAGTGAGATGAGAGGCTTGGGCGTGTGACGGATAAGGATGCGCGTAAATGTGTGATAGTCCAAGGCCTTCACACACTGTCACACTAGTATGAAAGTGAGAGAGAGAAATTTGGGTACCGGCCGTAGGTTTTGCTGCTGTGAACTGGCCGAAACAGAGATAAGCCGTAGGCTTGCAACACAGATGTGGTGCGAAGTGATCCGGTGAGACCAGGCTATTGTCGCTCCTTGATTGCGCCGTGTGTAAGATGTGTGTCTCGTCCCTTATGCGTGTGCGACTCGATCGTCGGTCAGAACGGAGATCGCCTGTCCTTGCGTAAGCTTCCTCAAAGCCAAAGCCAAATAAAGGTACCACGGACTACTGTTGGAGCGTGGTCAAGTGGTGACTCGGGCGCGACGGGGCTGACGGGATGAATGACGCTAGCTTGAGCAAGATTTGGCGCCTCGGGACGGAGCACTAAATCAGACCGAGACTTTCTTGTTCCGGCACTGGTCGTGTGCTGTAATGGAGTGTTGACGCCAGGTCTACGTCCAATATTCCTGATTGCGACGAGATGGGTTGGTGATGAATTGGTGGCTGCAGTATGTATTATCAATATTGAAGTTCTGTAGTAGTCGCTCTTTTTGCCGTTGCTGATGGAGAAAATGGTGCTCGAATAGCTACAAATGCTGATACTTAGAAGCCGAGTTGCCGTATTGCCAATGGGATATGGGCTTTTGGGAGAGGGGGGGGGGAAACAGGAATGGTCGGGTGGAGGGTGAAGAATCGCGATATCCAGCAAGGTGCGGCCAGTGCTCTCGCTATGAAAGAATAGGAGTGGCGAAAAAAGGGCTAGCTATGCAATGCAAACATACAAAAAGACTCGTAGGTCGCTGGTGCAGACAGATGCGATGCGATGCAGGCAAAGAAATGGGAAGTGCGTAGTGGCGGAGGAGGTGTCCCAAACAATAGATGATGCAACGGCCGAGGTAATTGCTAGAACTACCAGAGCTCTGCTTCGAAAGAAGGGGGGATAAAGGGAGGAAGGGAAAGCGAAACGAAAAGCGAACAAGAGAGTGACCAGACTACCTGACGAGAAGCAGAGACACCAGTAATTCAAGATCCGACTCAGCAGTGCGGGAGCTTTAATATTCCATCTACCTAGGTACGATAACCAGGCATCTCTCGCTTCCTGCCCCTATCCCCCTTTACCGTCCAGTTTCCAGTTTGATGCCGATCGAATCACGCATGAGGATGGATGCGATGCGACATAGGGCGCTCCCGCCACGACGTCTGCCCCCAAGCTTGCGTTCCGCACCCTGTTCTGTTATGTGACTACTGGGAGTGATCCACTCGTTATTCCATGAGGTACATGCAGATACACTGGGTACCCGCAAGGTAGGTAGGGTACCTAGGTAGCTAGGTTGGTGTACCTGTCAAAACCCATTATTATCCTGCGTTTCCGTCTTCCTCATGCGTCGTATACTTCTCGCTTCCCATTCCTCACCCATATTCTTATCCACAATGTCCTTGTCACGCGTTGACTATTAGGCTCGCGTGCAACTTGCCAAACCCCTAATTAGCCATCAAACTACCATATTTCGCCAATCGTGTGCTGATACTGTCTACAATAACCCAGCACCCGCAGTACGCGCCTTTGCCATGCATGTCTATTGAGGTACGTACCTACGGTATACGCATACTCTATCGGGTTAGGTAGCTCCTTTCAGACCCAACCTGGTATGGTCTATGGAATCGGTACGTTCTGCGAAGTGAGAGTCCCCAAACTTGATGGTCAAGCGGGCGGTACGTACCCCTGCCCGACGACCCCCTTCTCGATCCCTTCCACCTGAAGGCTCCTTACAAATAGGCGGAAGGAAATAAGAACAGGGGTCGGTCTGACAACGGTAAGGCCCCCCCCCTACTATGTATGGTTGGAGGATTGCTACTACCTATGCCAGATGCCTGGATGCGAGTTAACAAGCCAAGCACAGGATCCCCATCACCGGCAATGCTGAAGAGGAAATACAAGACACACCAATTGTATCGTCTACCCGCTCGGGTCGCCGCTCGGGTCACACTTGTATCGGTACCGAATACCCATCTACTCAAGTCCGGGTTGTGTTCAGTAGACGATCCATCGCCACCAATAATAGCGCCGAGTCACTTCAGACCCGTGCACGACTTTTAACGTCGGAGGCCCTTGGGATTCGGAACAGCTCCCCTCTTTTCTCCAGCGAAACAGAGCAGGACAACGACAGATGATGGGGCATCCCGAACGAGTGGCAGTGACGCTAGGCGCTATTTGTAACCAATTGGTGTACAAGATCATCATGCGGCCAGACGTACTGAGGCTGAAAGAGGAGCATTCCATCCAATGTGTCGAGACGGACGACAAGGCACAAACAACGCGCTTCGCTGGCTGGTCGCGACAGAACGACGCCATGTGCTTTCATTCGCCCTGTACTACTCGACCGGTGCAGTTTTGCGCCTGGGACGCTCGCTGCCAGGCAAGGAAGGGTTGCAGTGTTTTGAAGAAACTGTGGGTTTTGGAATGTTTGCCATCGCCTCAAATCATAACTTGTATGTCTCACAGACTGATCTAGTGTACTGTTGATGACAGGCCCCTGCGAGGTATGGTAGAGCCTGCAAAGCACAAGAATCTGCCGCCGGGTCGGGCCTCAACTCCAGCCTGGCACGCAGACAGCTTCTTGACTTAGGCTCTGTTCCTGGGCAATGACAGGCCTAGGTAGATCATCCCATGGTGGCGCCTGTATTATGCTACTGCGTCCCGAAAGCTCAAGCCTTGACTATCTGCAACTGCTGAGCCTGTGCCGTCAACCTTCCGAGATATGAAGTGCGGTTCGTCGAGAACAGGACAGAGAGACGAGAAGAACCCACAGGGTGAGGGAGACTCGTGACGGTGGATGGCGACGATGGTGTGGTGGCTGTTAATCATGGCTGTCGTCCGAGATGATGTGACATTAGCCGGCTCGATGGCTATGGAGAAGCATCGAGGAACGACTCACTTAACTGGAAGATCATGGTTGTGGGCAGTGAAAATGTGGAAAGGGCCAGCCTCTGTAGGGAAGATACAACGACAAGACTCAGGCCAACACAAGGGGAGCCGAGAGCCAAGCCTCTCTTCAGAACGAACCGTGGCTTAGCCAATATTGTCGTATTACCAGCGGTGGGTGCGAGCTGCAACTGCCTATGGGGCAAGATTCGGTGGTCCTGCGTGAGGGTTGGTTTGCTGCATTCTGTTGACATGCCTTTGTCGTCGTCGTCGTCGTCGTCGTCGTCGTTGTCTTCGTCAGCGTTACATAGGTACACTAGATTAAGAAAGGAGTCGAGTCCTGGTTTGGACTTGTTGCGGATCAAACGCCGTCCACTTTTCTTTTGTCCTCCCTCCTTCGCTTTGTGACGTGGGCAAGGGTGTGTGTGTGTGTGTGCCAGTGTGGATGGGTGTAGGTATGTACCTTGGTGCCCTCCCCTGTAGGTAGGCCACGTAGTGTACAACAGGGCTAGCAACTGCCACCTGTCGCAGCAAGGTACCTATATCAAAGTCGGTCTGCATACGCTACTGGCTGATGGATGCTCTAGTGCCCTACTGCGTATGCTATGCATACTTTGGGTGGAGGCTGAGAGAAGTATCCTCTCCGATAAAGCAGCTAGAAGCGCACCCAAAACGTCCGGACTACACACCGGCAACAGATCTTGGCCCACTGCTCTGGAACGCAGCCGAATTGGCGTGTTTTTCTTCCTACTATGTGCATTTTTCACTTCCCATATTAGAGAACCAGCAAGTGGGGGAATCAAAGGCGAAGAAGGACCGGAGGACACACCACACATGAATAGGGGAACTTGGCATACCTAGGTAGATATGTCGTTTTCCCACCCGTTGCCCATCCATGCCAAATCAATTATGCTTAACCCCCACCCAAAGCTCTCCGTGGGTAATCAATCTGTCATGCTACCCGGATTCCGATGATTGTGCTTGGCAGCGCAGGGCCCTTTGAGCCAATTGACTCGGAGAAAGAGGGTAAGAAAAAAGTCGAGGCGGCCTGGTAGACGCGGGTCGTCTGCTCAGGTATGCACTGTCAAGCACACTCTACGCGGCATCAAACTCAAGCAGGTGTGTAAGGCGGCCGGCAGAGAAGGTTGGGACAGATGGGGTATCATTATTTGTGGAAGATAGAACAAATACAGCGGTGCAGTAGGTAATGCAAAACTGCTTTTGGTGTAGCTTAGGTGGCTACGGAGTTGTTTCCAGTTTGGAGATGCCCCGGTTGGAAACACCATGCAGCTCCTGGAGTAAGGCCTGCCAGAGTCGTACCTGCCCCTCTTCATGTTCCCTGAAGTCGAGCTGAAACGCCGCCGTACGCTGCGGTCTAGCAAATCCCAAACGGCCCCAAACCCTCGCCATCCCAGCATATTAGCAGACGACCCACTTCGTCATGACACATGACTTTTGGATCGCAGTCCGTCCAATGTCGTTTTCGCTCGTCTTCCACTGCAGGGAATACTGATCCCTTATCGCCTCATCATGTTGCTGCTGCTTCCAGATTCTCCATCCATCGTGACATCTGAAGACCTGCACGGAGTATCCGTAGTGCCGTTCAACACAATGGCCTGCCAGCCCTTGGCCCCTTGCCTTGATGGACGCTCATCAGCAATCGCCTTTGCCACCCCCTGTCGGCCGTCTCATCTTGTCACTTCCCCCGGCGTGCCATCCTATCAGCCGACACCTGGCCACGTCTTTCCCCCATTGGCCGAGGAGTCGATGTGTATGTTGCTCTCGGGGGTGTCGTCTTCGCTGTCGAGCGTGCTTTTCGATGTCACTAACCCCTCCGGATCGTAGCTTCTCTGTAACCACGTCAAGGCCTCTCTGGTTGCCCAGCTGTTCCAAGACCCCTGCCTGTTTCAATGAATGAGCTGATTCTTACGCAGCTCTGGCTTCCATTACTGTCCGGATGAATTGCCGCATGTCGTTCCAGTCTTGACCTTCTTCGTGCATGCCTGAGCCAAGTTCCGCTTCGCGATGCTGGCCGCAAACCTTCTGGCCTGTGCTGACCACTTTATCCCACTCGGCAATGGTAAAGGCTCCCTCGCTTTCCGCCAGCAGCAGGTCGTCCTGCGATGTGAAACTCAAAACATGGAGAGATTTTGCATGATCTGCCTCCAGAGGAGACGGGTCAGCGATGATCTTGCTGCCGTCCTCTAGGATGGCCAGCGTGGTGCATGTGGCAATAGCTTTCAAGGGCACGGCGGCCGACAGCAAACTCAAGACGGCACTGTGGAACAGAGCCGGCAGGAGGGTCAAGCTCTTTGCGCAAAGCAGCTAGTCAGCACCTATCTTTGAGAAAAGACCTTACGCAGTAACCGCCAGTTTGGATATCGAGCCTAGCACTTACCGACTGAGCTTGGACAACTTTGCTGTTCGCGTAGTCATTTTGGGGGGTTTCCGTCACCTGAAGTGTGATCTGGATGAGGCATCGAGGAAAGTTCTTGACGGGAATGAGCTGACGGAGGGCGGACTGCAAAATGTTTTCGAGTTGGCGTTCTCCCGTGCCTAAATACTCATCGTGAGCGTGAGCAAGTACTTCCGCAAGTTGCTAATGACCAGGGAGTCTGACCTCCGACCCCTGCAGCAGGTCTTACGACAACATCAACAACCGATTCAAAGGGGTTTTCATCTCGTCTTTGCACTTCCATCGGCCCATTGACGGACGAAACCACGCAATAACCGCCCCTTGAGAAGGTTGCCGAACCATCTGCTCGTGGCAGGTGTGAGATGCGAGCCTGGGGGTTTAAGTTTTGGGCCATGGCGAATAGTGACAATGGGTTCTTGTGGTTCGATCGTGGTCAGATAAACTGAGTCCTGGTCTTTTCCGATGCGTCTGGGCGCCCGGGAAGAATAAATAAATTTGCGCGCTGCCGGAATGGTTGAGTGACTTGATTGCCTCACTTCGGTACCCTCGAGGAAAGAAAAATTGAGATGAAGCTGGTGAAGCAGCGAGTACGTACTTGTTTACTAAGATAGGCGCCCCACCAATGGCAAATGATCCGGAGGTGAGAAGGTACAGGTAAGTAGGCACCTTGGGATGGTGAGGTGGTGGGGCCGAGGCGATTACCTGCGGAGGGGCAGTCCTTGAACAGCTCTATTCGTACAGTTCTAGGCGGCAGATGACGCCGGTGTCTCAAGTGCCGTTCCTCCTTCCGCTGGGGAGCCGTTCAGCTTCCTCTCTAACAACATCCCAATAAACCATCCCCGAATTCACTTCTGCCACAAAAAGGCGGACCATCACCCCTATACAGCATGGCCTCAGTAAATACAACATCGCAAGTTGGTGGATCGTGTTTGCCCTCCCCAAGCAAAACGATCCCCAAGCTCGAACCTCGCCGTCGTCGCCCCGGCCCCTCCAACCCTACGCCTCGCCCCGAGACACCCGCGTTACCTTCGCCGCCCGACCTCCACGATCATACATACAAGGTCCCTTCGAGAAGGATTTTATCCCAGAAAGACCATGAATTATTTCTCTCGTCGCCCACCTACAGCCTTGTTCTTGCTTTTGTCTTCAACCTCTCCGAATCCGTCGAAGATGCACCTCGATCTGCCGTCAAAGACAGCGAAATCAGCACTACACTCCAGGCAATTCTGCGAATACTCGAAGAAGCTGACAATCTTGTCAAGGAGTCGCCACCAGATGATCAAGGCGGCTCGCGCTTTGGAAATAAGGCCTTCCGAGTATTCCTGGATTTGGTAAAGGATAAGGCTACCGTATGGCAGAGTCAGCTGGGCATCAGCACGGCGGCGAACGATGAAGTGGCGGTCTACTTGGAACACTCTTTTGGAAACAGGATGCGAATAGACTACGGTTCTGGACATGAGCTCAACTTTATCATGTGGCTGTTGTGCCTTTACCAGCTTCGAATCATCGTCAAAGATGACTTTCGGCCCCTTGTGCTCAAGGTCTTTGCGCGATATCTGGAACTCATGCGCAACGTACAATTAACGTATTATCTGGAGCCCGCGGGCTCTCATGGAGTCTGGGGTTTGGATGATTACCAATTTCTACCCTTCTTATTTGGCGCTTCGCAACTTCTCCATCACCCCTTTATCACGCCGCTGGCGATCCATCAGGATCTCACGCTTGAGGAGTTCAGCCACGATTTCCTGTATCTCGGCCAGGTCAATTTTGTCAACGATACCAAGACGGTTAAGGGCCTGCGATGGCACAGTCCTATGCTGGACGATATCTCTGCCGCCAAATCCTGGACCAAGGTGGAAGGGGGCATGCGTCGGATGTTTGTTGCGGAGGTTCTGAAAAAACTGCCTGTCATGCAACATTTTCTCTTTGGCTCGCTCGTGCCGGCGGTGGATGGCATGAGCACAGAGCAAGACTTCGGGATGGAGAACGATGAGCATGAGGGGGGAGGGTGTAGGAATTCGCCTGGGAACGTTGGCAAGCACAAGCACCAGCATGTGGGCTGGGGCGATTGCTGTGGCATCAAGGTCCCGAGTAGTGTTGCTGCGGCACAGGAGATGAAGAAAAAGGGAGTTCGCGAGTCTCTTCGTAGGATACCATTTGATTAGACGAAGAACGTCACAAGACGAGCTCCGAAGCACATGGGGCCCAAATATGAATGTTTAATTTTCCTGTCAGGAGCATCCTTGCTTCCTCACTACGGATCCTAATTTTCATGTCAGAGGCCTACACCAATCAACCTCCTCATTATTCTCTATTACTATTACTACTGCCAAGATCGTTGTTGTTGCTCCCTATGTATAGTCACCCTGTTTCGCAGGTAGCAAGATTGTCGGGGTGAAGTCTAACAAGACTGCTCTACCCCAACAGCCCCAGCTCCCGGAGACGAGTCATCCCGGGGAGGTGCGCCCACCTCTCGTCGGATGGAGAGCCGCAATTGAGGTCAAACCATATGTCGGGGTGATCGTTATCGATAGAATCCAAGGCGTAGGCGACGCTGCTACCATAGAGGTCGCATCGCTGGACGTTGAGGCCCCTCTCGGGATAGAAGCGGTAGGCTTTGCAGCCATTAGTGGCGTCCATGACACTCTGCAAGATTGTGCGTCAGTAAGTCTCTCCATTGATTGCAGATGCTTGGGAAAGGGCCAGGAACTAAGGGCACCTACAGCACAGAATTGGTAGCAGCCCTCCAAGGTTACGGGTACACCGGGCGCATTCTCTACGAATCGCGCTAGGAAGTAGTTGCCCACAGGTAATCCGTGAACGCCGCAATGATTATTACCGGGCTTCGGTTTACCGGTCGGCGCGTCTTCCTGGCAAACGGTCTTTGTGGGAATGATGGTCGAGGTTGGGACCGAGGTAAGTGGCGCGATGGTGACGGGGACCATGGAAGTATCGATGACGCAGCTTTCTGTCGGGACTGGGAAGGATGATGAATAAACAGACTTCATTGTCGTCGTATTGTATGTAGAGTATGCGATACTGCTGGTTTTACTGAGGACAGGAGTTACCATGGACGTGGTGGTCGAGTTGACGTGCGAATCACTGGATGTGGCGGTGGTATGAGTGGCAGTAACGTTTGAACCGCTGGTCTCATTGTCGCACGGCGTCTCCTGAGCTGTGCTCGTCGATGCTCTCGTGGGCCACGGCGCAGTTGAGTTCAGCTGCGTATTGAAAGCGGCCGAAGTCGGGTTCAAATGGGTCGTTGTGCTTGGGTCATCACTACAGGGCTCAGTCGTCTGTGAAGGAACAGCGGAGGTAGTGTTGTACCAAACGGCCACGGAGGTGACTGTGCTGGTCGAACCCCCGGTTCCCAAAAACGAGCTTGAGTAGTGATACGGGAGACTGGTTGTATTGTCAGGGCAAGGCGTCTCAGAAACCGTTGTGAACGAGATTGTCGTCGAGGCGTGCGACGAGTTGACAGGCAGCGTATATCCGGTAGAGAGACGAAATGAGCTCGAAGATTCATTCCAAGCAGGCCTCGAGCTTGTGGAGTTTGCAAAGATCTGCGATGACAACGAGGATGGAGGAGTTCCCGTGCTGGTGCTCCTGAAAGACGTCAAGTTACCACCGTACGAAGTTGTTGCCGTAATGTAAAATGTGACGTCGACTGTTGTAGTAGATGTTGTGACGCTCTGAGGACACCCTGGTGCGTGGATGGACGTGATATTATACGGCAGGCTGAAGGCGCTGCTACTGGGTGCGCCCGCCGTCCCAGTGCCGGCCGACGACGTCGCGTTGACGGTACCGTTAAAGTGGGGCCCTGACCGGCCCCGTGCGGCGACCGGATGGGTCCATTCGCCCAATTGCGGATCTGGTTGGAAGTTTCGACCTTGAATGACACGTGCGACGGCCTGATTCTTGTTAGCAACCTGTGACGGGATATATTTTTCTTTGACTTGCCTGTTCCTCGGAGACCTTCGATGCTGCATTCACTCTTCTGGAGTAGAGTAAGATGGCACCCAGGAGTCGGGCGTACCGCATTGCGAAATATGATGAAGCCGCGTGAGCAAGAAATAAAGCCTGGGAAGGAATGTGTTCGAGACCGAAATCTGCGGGTTCAATGATGACGTGGTTGAATAACAGTTGACTGGTGATGTTGCAATGGGAAAAACATCAACCCAGAAGCTGTTACTCGATTTCGGTTTTATACGTTATGACCTCCTCGGCCGGGTCCCTAGGGAGTTGGCGGATATCCTTCGAGACAGCAAGAGCTGCACGGTGACGAGTGATGAAGAATAGAGGGAACACTATGAGTGCTGTCTATTGAGAGTCGCCTCCTAAAATATGGGGAAGGGGAAAAGATAGTATTGTGTAAGGGGGCCGAGGAGCACCGCCCTTGGGGCGACCCACAACTGAGACACCCTCACGTTGGGCAAAGCAAGTGGGTTTATGGCAGCTTGGACGACAGGATGCCCTCAAAAGGGATCAAATTCTCGTGAATGTAATGAATATCATTGATTGACAGACCACCTACGCCCGCCCTCGAACCATTGGGTCGAGCCCCATAGGGAGAGAGAGAAAGAGACAGTGGGGCTAAGCAATCGTAAAGTACAGTACCCAGTTATGATGACAATGTTTTCGTAGTGCCCTTGAAAGGTGAAATGCAGTTTAGGGTATCAGAAGGAGTTCACTGAACGCCGCCATGCCCCTTACCTATCAGATGCCAAATGCAATGCAAGGAAAACCGACGCTCTGCACAAGTGAGTGTCGGGAGGTAGTTGTATGCCGTCTCGTGCCCGAGGCGTACCAGTTCATTGCTGGAGACAAGTTCAGCGCCCAGCCACATCTGCTCGGCTGCCTTCTGGAGCTACAGCATAGCTCCAGCACACCTTTTGTTTCTTTCAATCTTCCCAAATCGTTTCCAGGTCGAGATCTTGCCGTCGTTCAGCACCGCAAACACTCCACCTTTTCCGCTTGTCCCGTGACCCAAAGCCCAACGTTCTGCCCCGCGAAGGTAGGTCCAGGCTGCTTTTACCCTTATTTTCTCCAGTATCGCCACCCTCGGCAGCCTCAGCAGCAGCCTTGAGCTGAGCGATCCTCTCTGCTTCCATAGCAGCTTCCTCGGCATCAGGTGAGTCTGGTATGGTCTCGAGACTAGAGATGCTTGGGCTTCTCGACCTCGTCGAAGTTGGGGTGGAGGGAACCGATGAAGACGGGAACGACGGGAACGAAGCGGAAACACCATAGCCGTGAGAGAAGGAATCGTATCCTCTGAAAGACGGCGAGGCGGTTGCAGATGTAGGCGTAGTGGGCATCGGAAGCGATCCAGCGCTAGAATGGCCGGGATGTCGTAATGGCGAAGACGGACGACGGTGTCGGGGAAGGATCATGGAGGGCGTTGTTCCCATCGAGCTTGGGGAACTGTTGCGCTCAGTAAGCTTGCGATCCGGCTCCAAGACTGAGGTGCGAATGGGCGAGGTGGGAAACGCCTCGTCGACAGGCTTCCGCGGGGTTCGAACGCGGTTGGGTGACCCGGACGGGCTGGAGGGGCGAAGTTGAGGAGAGAACAGGATATGACCAGCGGCATTGACGCCGGGCATTGACTGTGTGCGAGATATTGGGGGAGCCAAGCTTGCTGCAGACCTCGATCTCGTGTGATGACCAGAGAGGGGCGAGGTCGTACGGGGCCGATAGGGTAGAGGGGTAAAAGTCCAAGACGGGGCAGTCGGAGAAGTGGGACTTGGATCTGTTTGGCGGCGCAGAGTGGGAGGTTTTCGCAGAGGTTCGGGCTCGGCAACGGCAGAAGGGAGGAGGGCCGGGTTCTGTATGCGGAGCGAGTGAAGAGGCGAGGATCGGAACTCCTCCATTCTCTCGGTCTCGGGAACGGGTTCCATGGTGAACGACGGAGGGCCCGAGATGTCAGGTGGGCGAGGGCGACATTAGCTGCAGGAAATGTGGGAGAGGGCGCGGCAAAACAATAAGGCTCGTCGCGTGTTTGCACGATCTGTTCTAGGGCGGCTGGACAATTGAGAAGGCGAAAATACGGTTGCAGGTGTCAGCGACAGATCGTGATTGCGTAGTGTCGGTTTGGTGTTTGGTCTCGTGGTCGTTCGACAAGGGAGGAAACTAAGTGGGTTTCGAAGGGAAGGTGTTGAAGATTGTCGAGGGATCTCGTTTTCAGGAGGGTCGAGGAGGTAGAAGAAAGTCGAGGGTATTGGTATCGGCAGAGGAGACCTTAGTGGCAGCAGGGGCGAACAAACAAACACAACGGGCAGCAGACACAAGGCGAGGGGGCGGGAGAACGGGCGGCAATATGGAGGATAAAGGGCAGTGGTGTTAAAACCGAGTCACACATTCCGCGTTGTAGATGAAAAGAGGTCCCGACCGGCTGACGAAGGGGTCTTTGGGTCTTTGGGTCTTTGGGTCTTGTGCTAGAGAACAGAAGGGACGAGAATGGGGTGTGCACATAATATCTTGGGCTGGAGGAGGAGGAGGAGGAGGAGGAGGAGAGGCGCAGACGATGGAGAGGGGATGGTGCGATGGGCAGGTTGATGAGACTGGGGCAGCGGTGGGCAACGGAGGTGGAGGACGGGAGATGGCAGGCAAAGCGGGAAGGCAATGCACTGTACAGGCCGGTAGGAGCAACAGAGTGGGTAAGTACCTGAGCCGGGCTAGGCTGACCTCGGTACCTTGGGGTGGTACGGCTACTGTACACTGAAGCAAGGTATCGTCTGTCGAGCGGATAGTGGATAGGTACATGGTGCCGAGGCGAAGAAAGGGGGGTAGGGTGTTGTTTTAGGGGACTTTGAGGGGGAAAGGGATCAACAGCCTAGGATTATTGGTCAAGGGCGCTAGCGCTTTGGGCCGTCCGCAACAACACGGCCCAGCGGTCTGCACGAGGAATGCTCGTTTTATTCTTGTCTGCCCCCAGTTGGGTCGGTAGGTACATAGGTAGAGAGCCTTTCTGCCTGGACATCTGTCTACTTCTCTTTCCTCCCCCCTGAAGCGGATACGATTGTTGCTTGGTAAGAAATCAATCTATTTGGTGTCGCTTAGCCAATGCAACTGTTGTGGAAGAGAATAAAAAAGCTCCAATGGACCTAGGAAGGGGTTGCTGAGGATGCAGGAAATTAGACTCGATATCCAATAAGACAACCGGCAAAAGGGGACGCGACTGCATCGTATCCATCAACCAACTCGAGGCTGATCAGTGCATCAATGCATCAACATCTCATTGCTTGCTTGGTGGATCTCGGCCACTTATTTGACCAAGCATTTGGGTGGGATTGCAAGGACGCTTTCAGCTCTCGTTCTCTGCCAGAATACCATCATCCTAGACCCGGTCCTTCCAAGCGTCCGCTACGGCGAACCACCAGCTTGCTCCTGCAGGGGCGGCGGCTTGCATTGGTTTATCGGATGCTTGTGCTGATTGTCCTGCATCGCGCGCATGCACAAGTCTGTCTTACCCCACTGCAGACGCATGTGCACTACGATGCGTGATACAGCGTCTCTTGTGGTACGACAAGGGAAAACAAGAGACAACAAGAGGCAGTGGTGACAGGAAAGCATGACCAACCCAGTAGCCCCCCAGCCACCGCCCCCCCGGTGCCCCAGCCAGTATTATGAGGGCTTAGCGTTGGACCACCTGATCGACGTTGAGGGGAGGCAATCTTAACGATACTCGCCCTATACGTACACTAGCAACAAGCCATTGGATTTTGCATGCTTCGAGGTGCGGCGGCCACACCGCTTAGGTAGGCCCCGTACGGTGCAGGCTCGGGGCCCAAGAAACAAAAGAAACAAGATGCATATATAATGCATATCCGTACATGGATATAGGTACACTTCTCACTCCACTGCTTCTTGTAGGTATTCTGTCTGCATTGGCCAAAAGTCGCCCTGCCCGATCCCCGGAATTTATCACATCCCAGAAGAGCCCAGTACGTACTGTGTACTTTAGTTAAGTAGGTGCTTTCTTGTAGGTACAAAAAGCAAAGCAGGCACCTTAGGCAGGTACCGGATATCTGGGCCGGCGAACGCTTCACTTGCGCATTCTGTCACCAGCTATCATCCCATCTGGCATTAGATCACTCGTCCTTATTTGTTCTCTTGCCGGTCCTTGATCTTGGTATTCGTCCTCTTGACTCATCGACCGCTCGCCCCAGACCCTGGAGATAAGGACCATCCACCGCCTTGCTTGCGCAAAACACCTTGGTTCACACCTCATATTTTCCGACGATGCTAAGGCTCCTCCTCACTTGGGTACCCAGGTACCTAGGCTAGGTACGGATATTCAAGGTACGAAACGTTTTCTTCCGCAACACAACGCAACAACAATAACAACAAACAACAATAACCATGACGTTCGGACTTTCTGCAGTCCCGCTCCAGTATGCTCTGCATTACACAGCTTGACAGCTCAAAGTACCCACTCTTCCTTCTACACCTTATTTTCACCGGCCCTGTCCGGCAGATGTGTGCTGTCACAATGATAATGATCTGTGTCTTTGCCTCATGCTTCTACTTTCTAGGCTGAACTGCTTGGCCCAGGGGCCCGCCCCATTCATGGCTAGCCGGTTCTGCCGTCGCCGTAGCAATCCGGGGCTATGTGAAGCGAGCAAGTTTGCTGTTTGCGGCCGGTCCAAACCAAGACCCTTCATTCCGTTAGATGGGAGTTGCGACAGCACGGAAACACCCTTGGCCTTGTGAACCCTGGGAAGCCCGCCTCCTTTCATTCGTGTTTCCTTGCAGCCGCTGCAGCAGAGCTTCGGCTTTCAGCCGCGTCCATTTCTCGCGCATCCACAGACATTCCCGGCATGCTTACCTGCCTTCCTGCCGCCTTGCTGGTTTTCCATGCGGGTTTCTGACCGCTTGTTGCAACTCGTCCCGATAAACCTGACCCAGCCGTATCTGATCTGTCTCGTCCTGTCTTCTTGCCGTCGGATGTCCCATTGCCTTTGGCAGCTGCGTACGGATACACCGCTCGGACTTCACTTCTGCCAACCGAGACTCCAATACCAACGACCCCACACGATCATTGTGCCATGACCCGTCTCCAGGCCCGGAAGGAGGTTCTGCTACGGGGAGTTATCGTTTTCTTATTTTTGACCGCAGCTACTCGCTATTACTCAGCCAGAGTCATTATGACTGGTTGGTTCCTTTCTACTTGTCTAGTGATCAACATGGCACCCAAGTGGCTTCTAGAGGCACCCTTGTTACTATATTCTAGTATCTAACCGCACCCTTACGTATCAACACCCATGAGTAATAGTCATGACAAGGGTGCCGTTCTACTGCATCGTTTAAACGAAGCGACGAACAATTTGTGGCTGCTTTTGAGCTCAACAAACTCCGTTGTGTCCCCGAATGCCGGCCCAAACAGTCAAATCGCATCGAGCGATATTTGGCGGCCTAACACTTTCTCGTTCGGTATGCATGCCACCGTGGATCCGACCTTCCAGTCTTTCCATCGATAAGAGCTGGCCGCAGTGGCATTGCATGGTTCGATTTTCATAAGATATTGAACATGTATCGGCGCGCAAAGGCGTTAGTGCCCATGTGCAGCCAGATGTCAACCTCAGGGTTCAACGGACGAAGGTCACACAGATTGATCGCCAGCGTCTTGGGCCACCCGAGGTCCGGAACACCTGTGGCAGCTCTGAAAGGCAGCAGCATGGGGCTTGTTCCGGGTGTTTCCTGCTCAGTAGTTCTGTTGCTGTACAATATGACACATCTACAGCCCTTGCCTAGGTGTGCTGGCATGGAGACAAAACACCAACATCATGCTATGGTATTCAGGCTACATCGCAACTTCCTACTCTCTTATTCGTCTATGTGGTAAAATCCCTGGTGGTACAAAAGCTCGGCGATGCTTACCAGCACAGCAGGGTGTATGTCGCTGGTTCCGCAAAATACAAGGCAGCTTTTACAGGAGCATCCGCCTGGGGTCCTCGATGTACTCCTTAACCTTGACCAAGAACTGAACAGCCTCCCTTCCATCGAGAAGACGGTGGTCGTAGGTGAGGGCCAAGTACATCATGGGGCGAATCTCGATCTTGCCATTGACTGCAACGGGACGCTCTTTAACGGCGTGCAGTCCGAGCACAGCAGTCTGGGGGAGGTTGATGATAGGAGTTCCCATGAGGGAACCAAATACACCACCATTGCTGATAGTGAAGGTGCCGCCGGCCATATCCTCGATGGTAAGTTTGTTGTCGCGGGCCTGTTGTTGGATCACTGTTACTTCGGTACCTTGGCTCATGGATATACAAAGGAGCTCACCTTCTTGCCCATGTCTGCGATGGCCTTCTCAATACCCAGCATGTCCAGCGACTCTGTGTTACGAACAACAGGCGTGACAAGACCCTTCTCAGTGGCCACAGCCACGCTGATATCGACATAATCACGGTACACAATAGTGTCGCCGCCATTGGGGCCCTCGATAGACGCGTTCACGGCGGGGATGTCGCGCATAGCCAAAACACAGGCACGAGAGAAGGCGCTCATAAATCCGAGCTTGACGCCCGTCTTCTTGAGCACTTCATCGCGGTAGAGCTTCCGGAACTCAATGAGAGAAGACATATCAACCTCGTTAAATGTGGTGAGGGATGCAGCAGTATTCTGCGATTGCTTGAGTCGTTCGGCGATTCGTAGGCGCATGCGGTTCATTTTCACCTAGAAACACAAGTTAATTCCGCCGCTCGCAAGGATAAGGTATGAGGGCTATCATGGTAGAAGCATACGCGGCGCTCTTCACGACTGCCAAAACCTGGCGCGGCGGCTGCTGCTGTGTCCTTGGAAACGGGGGCAGCCTGCGACGTCTCCTTGGATGGGGGGGACGGCTTGCTGGTAGATGTATCTTTTTGAGGCTCCTCCTGCTTGGGCTCGGGTTTCGACTCCGTCTTGGGTGGCTCTGGCTTGGACTCCGAAGATTCAGACTTGGGCTTCTCTGCGGCCTCCTTCTTGTCACCAGTGTCCTTGGTCTCACTGGACCTTTCACCCCCAAGCTCCATTTTGACAATGTCCTGGCCAACAGTGACAGTGTCCTCCTCATTGACCAGGAACTCCTTGATGGTACCGGCCTCGGGAGCGTTGACAGCGACATCGATCTAGAGAAGAAAAGGGGGTCAGCAAATGCTTCACGATAATTGCGACTGCACGAATGGGTAAAGATACCTTGTCAGTCTCGATAGTTGCGATTTCCTCATCCTGCTCGACAAAGTCGCCAACCTGCTTGGTCCACTGCTTCAAGGTACCCTCGGATATGGACTCGGCCATTTGCGGCACCTTAACGATCTTGTCGGCATAGCTGCGGACGTGCTGCATCATCTGTGGCAGCTGCAGCGGAAGCTGGCGGGGCTGATACCGGCGCAGTGGCACCGAGCGCGCGGTCGCGACAAGTCTTCTCGAGAGCATCGTGACGGAGGGCTGAGAAATCGCGAGTATGGGATAGAGGGGAGGTCGAGATGAGAAAGAAAACGGATGGCCTATGATGTGTAACCAGGGGCGCGCGCGTGGTTCGTGCTTTTTTTTTTCTTCCTTCCTCAGGTTGTACAAGACACGAAGGGATAGAAAACGGGACGAGGATGAAGAACGGGGGATTTAGGACCGCGGCAATAGAGCTTGGGGCTCTGGTAGGGTGGAACAGGTCCCATTGAGTATTGGGCATGACACTTATATGTACTGTGTTTTTCCGGCTGTGTTAAGAGTATTGTTGTGTACCTACATAGTATGCGACCTTAGGGGGGCCACCTCAGATACGTACTTAGTCTGCACAAGTCCACAGGGTGGTGTGATTCAGAGAAACAGCCCTGGAAATCGAGGCCAATTGCAGTGGAACTCAACGAGTGCAGTTCGTTTCTTGGGTTGAATAAACTCGGTTTAGTAGCCCGAATACTGGCCATGGGGTTCGCCATCAAATACCTCTGTCGACTCTTGTCGCAACCATCAATTTACTGAAGGTGAACTATAAGACCGAAGAACAAATCGAGAAGAGGATTGGATTCGTCAGCGAATTCTATGCTTCAGTTACTATTGCTATGCAGAACTTGTCTCGTCTGAATCATTCTGCCAATTGACAGTGTTGTAGAACTTGATAGCTAGTTGTCTGATCACCTGTCCGAAAGCTCTTGAGCTACGGAGTACCTACCAGGCATATACACTTACTTGTACCGGTGGTAATGATAACCCAGTTCATCCGCAGCCGGTGGACTTTATGTTGACTTCGTATTTGGACGCACCTTTTGGCCCTTCGAGGCTCCGGTTAGCAAGCAAAGCCAAAGGGTGCCGTGTGGTGTGTTTCTCTCCTCTACCGCCAATGACTTCTTTGATAGATAGTTCTGGCGGCTGCCGCCGACAAGTTACCGTAGAGGCTTTGGTACAAGAATGGAGGGTTGCATATTTGTCTAGGACTGATCACGTAGGGCGCCATCAAAGGTTTTGGAAGAAGCTTTCGCAAAGAGAACCGGAGGTCGAGTAACGCCATCTTATCTGTTTGCCGCCAGCTTACAGGGTAGGCATGAACCTTCATGAAGTAGTTCTGGCGACATATATTTATGGCCCATCGCCCTCTGCAACGGAGCTACCAGGCTCGATGTCACATCCATGCTATCCAAGCGATTATTTTCTCTTTTTGGTCGGGTCGTCACCATCTACATCATGCGGAGGCTTTCATGGTTGGCTCTGTTTTGCAGGAATTTCGCGCGCTAGCTTGGAAGACATTTATTGTTGCCGTCGCTAGGCATTTTGTTGTACTCATCGTCAAGGCATACTTGATTCTGGTTACTATGGTGCTCATACAGTGTTCGGTACTTAGACGACGAATGGGGTCTCCTAACCGAGGCTCACCAACATTCGAGGCATCAGCGGCTGCCACGCTTCCGTCGCTTTCAGAGACTCGCCGCAGACGACTATTTTTTGACACTATCAATGGATTTCATCATTTTAAATACACCATTAGAGCAGACTCAGCCAGAAGAGGAGTCCCGTTCGTGATTCAGCATAATGGCGACCTTGGAGAATTCACTCTTGCCCCTACAGGTAGCTGTGGAAATGCAGTAACGAACTCGAATACCGACTCTGCTAAATTTCTCTTCTCTAGCAGGTCCCAGTAGTTGTGGGACCGAGGCTTTCGTTCTCGTTGGCAAAAGCTGATCGCCAATGTTGATGGCTTTGCCTTCTTCCTCGGCTTCATTCAGCAACTTTTTCATCTCACGGATTTCGATCTGGCAGCTTGAAAATTGGTATCATTCTGGTTACAAGTGAATGCTCTCTTCTCGAAGAGAATAGTCGTCTTGAATAGATACTGGTGGCCCTACGTATCCGTCCTGGCACTAACCATAGCCGTCACTTCTTCCTCTTCTGATATTCTGAAAGGATATACGGCACCCCGTTGCGCTGACATCCAGCCAACGGGGTTAGAAGAGCACCTCTGCGGGTTGCGTACGCCTTGTTCGAATTGGTTTCGTTTCTTTCATCTGTTTGGCTATTGCCTCTCATCTCAGGAGCAAGATGCCCTTTTGGAATGGCGGCGCTAAGCTAATGTTGCCAGTCCTGGCTCTCTATGGCCTAGCAGCCCTTCTCTCAGCTGCATCGTGTCGGTTTTGTACAAGACCGGGCCAAGAGCGTTTCTCGCAACATTTTCCCTGAACAAGCCCATGCTCGCCATTGTTGCTGTTGCATTCGCGGTGAGCACACTCAGTCACTGCCCCCTTTCAGAATGAGCTAGATCGTGGTTGACCAACTCAGGGCCGAACACCTTCATTGACACTGCAGAGACGGATGGTGTGATGACAGCCACAACCTTTGGACTGAACATATTCTTTCCCATCGGCAACGGATATCTCTGCGAAGAGGACGCAAGGAGTGTCTCTGCACAGAGGCACACCCACCAGGGCGTTTAGTTGAACGATTGATTGCTAAATATTCGAATTTTGCGCCAATTACGATGCCCTGGACTTTTGAACACCAAAGAGTATCTGGTTTTCTTCGCAAAGATCAAGGGCGTCGACAATGTTCAGCGGAATGTTGACATAATCATGGCAAAGTTGGGCCTGTCACCGTTTGCCAAGTGGCCAGCCGCTCTCGGGTGGGCACAAGCAAAAGTTGATTCTGCCATTGCACTGATTTGTATGCTCTGACCCTTTTCTGAGGTCCCAGAAACAGCACTTGGTGATCAATCTTAGGCGCACCTCCAGTCCTTGTATTGAACGAGCCGACGTGAGCCATGGACGCCGTAGCCAAGCGAGCGTTCTGAAAGATCATCCGCCAAATCTCCCCAAATCGCTTATTGCTGCTCATCTTAAGCTTCGCATAGCCTCTCTTTCTCATCTCTACATACTGATGTCAGATGCAGACGCATAGCATGGAAGAGGCAGACACGGTCGCTCACAGAGCCGCTGTCATGTCACGACGAATTCTTGCTATCGGCAACACACGAACACTGCGTCTGAGATACAACAATCTCTATTACGTTTGAAGACTTCCCAAACAGCACTGTTGTTCACAGTCGCGGAGATGACTTCCGTCAGGTCTTGGGTGCATGAGAGGGTGGCCAAATCAGGATCACTTTTCCGGGGTCCGGGACCCTGGGAAAATACGGGACTGAAGATGATCAGAACTAGAATGAAGATGGCGTCAACACGATTGTCGATTCGATTCATATGTTGGAAACAGCGAAGGGGGCACCGTAGCAATGAGTACTACTCCATCGACGGCGTCACCCTGGAAAGGGTGTTTCTTAATGTGATGAACAGAGTAAATGTGGATGAAGAGGAGAAACCTAAAGCGCGGTGGTAGAAGTTCTAGGAGCAGTTTGTCGGCGGCTCAGTTGAACACGATGAGCTAGCTTAAGCGATCTGGATCAGAAACACAGAACACCGTTACGCCACTTCCAATCCTTTAACATTTTACATAGCTTATAGAGGCTATTATACATGATAGGGGGTATGGGTTTAGAACACGATCTCAGCGATGTTGGAAGGTATTATTGGATGTCTCGACTGGCTAAGGGGCTTCGCTAGACTGGGCAAATGCATTTTCCTTCTCGGCAGGCGCAAAATCATCAAGGGCAACATGAGAAGACAAGCCATCTTTGAGTTAATCGTCAGCCTTATCAGCATCTTCAGCCTTAGGTGCCTCCATGTCATTCTTGCCGGCAGCAGCCTTGCGTTTCTCCAAGTTCTCCCGAAGACTCAAAAACGTCTTTCTTGTGCGGGTCTTGAGTGCATCGAGACGCTGGCACTTTCTGCAGTTGGCATCAACGCGGACACGGTTCATCGAATGAATCTGGCGCTCGGCGCACGCATTCTTGTCTTTCGTAGTGCCAGCGAGGAAGTCCTGCTGATCTTTGCAGTCAGAAACCTTCTTACCGATCTCGCTGTGGTTGCACTTGTAAACGGTTCCGCGATAGAAGCACATGGTTCCGGATGAATAACTTTGTAAACGTAGGGGTGAGCGAGTCTGTCCAGTTGGTTTTGTTGCTGAGTACTCGGCGAGTATGATATGAATTCCGAGGTCTGGTTGACGGCTGTGGATGTTTATATCCTTCGTAATGGCTACTACATGAATGTCTGAACAACATACATGTCCCCCCCTCCTTTCATGGTTTTTCTGGGCAACAATGGAATATTGAAGCATTTAGTGTCTCAACTGCCTTGTTTTAGACACAGGTATAGACAATTGTCGAGTGCCCTTACAGGCCCCAGTTCTGCAAACAAAGAGCCAGACGCAGGATATGTACATCATCGCCAACGGTTGTTAATAAAGTCCTCTTTGGGCAGTATTTGAATATTTTTGGTAGCCCCGATTTTTCAATCAATCCTCGAAGTGAGAAAGCCACTCGTTAACTTCCACAAACGTCGAGGCCCATGCAATACCACTCGAGGGACGGTGTTCATCAACCTGCGGTACCTCGTATCCTACCCTCCGCAGAGTTGTCATCAAGCTTGAGTCCGGCCCCGACGATATTACGACGCCACGGGCCTCCAGCAAACACTCTATGTCCGTTGTAGAGTCGCCAAAGTAGACTAAGGCCTCGGCATTCTTCACTCCCTGACGAGTAGCCAAGGCACGCAAAGCGCGCAGCTTATCCTCGCAAGTCATTAATGTAGTCTCTCGCGACGGTGGCCCAAGCACGTCTGGCCCAGATATACTTCCATCCATCTCGATTTCATTGGCAACAATATCGAAACTGTAGTCCGACAAGACGCCGCTGATGAAGGACCTTGACCAGTTGACAGAAACCACCGAGACGGTCCATCCATTGTCTTTGGCCACGGCCATAAGATCCGCAAACCCATCACGTAGCTTCACGGTCCCTTCCGTTCGTGCGACATCCCCAGCTTTCATAAGGTCTGCTCTTCTGATACCCCGAAATAACCCTGATTGCTCCACACGCTTAACAGATCGCAGATCAACTTCACTCAGGCCCCGCAGATAGGTGAGCTCTTCTCGGAGAGAGAGGCGGTCGTTTGCGACAGGTTTATATGTGGAAACATGGTGTTTGTGATCTTGACTGTAGTCTTTGAGTATCTGCTGCCATGCGGAGGATAGGTCGATGCCGCGTTCATTCTGGAATCGCAAGGCAATCTGTGCCAAGGTACCGATTGTGTCCTTTGTGGTGATTGTTCCATCGAAGTCAAAGACAAGGTTGAGCGTTTTCTGAGGCATGATTGCGATGGTAGGGACCAAATAGAGGCAAAGGGCTCTTCTGGAAGTGTATGCACGCCTGGTGTTGGAATGGATACGTAGTCACATCAACCGTGACATGTCGTATTGTAAGGATGAAGTTGGTGGGTTCCCCACTTTGAAGAGAGGCGATCTTCCAATCACGGAGACAACCGCGATGCTCCAAGACCGGGCGCATGATGTTGAACACTGCAGAAAACACTTCACCAAAAACGTTGCGAAAGCTTTTAACGAGAAAGCGGAATGTGTGATCTATTCGCCTCCCGTCCCGAAGCCTGTACGTCGAGTAGCGGCTAAGTATGTCTTTCGACACGTGGCGTAGCCCAGTGCTCCAAGGGTATCAAAGTCTCCAGGTCCCTGAAAGTAGCAAACCACCCTCGAAAATAGTCGAGCAGTGCCCATCCAAACGCCATGCAACGCCTTTCAGGCTTTGAAGTCCGCAAACCATGTGATAACAGTACAATCATTTATACAACATCCTCCATAGCCACTTCCTCATCGTCGTCTTCGGCGGCGGCTTCTTCTGGGGCGGTCTCGCTGGTTGCGCCGGAAGCCATACTTTTCAGATGCTCTTGTAGAGACCATTCATTGGCGTGGATACCCGATCGGTTGAGCACCGCGATCTTCTCCAGAGTCTGGCGCAAGAAAGCTTCGGGCTGGTCGAACCTGGCCTTGAGAATAGACATTTTCCAGTACTCGTACTTTCTGAAAGCCTCCATAAGACCGTCGAGAAGCTGTTCTTCCGACATACGGGCAGCTCTGTTCTCGGCCTTTTTGGGCTTTGTGGCCTTGGTGGGTGCAGATGTTTTCTGTGCTGCGTTAGCGGTGAAACACAACGCACTGATGATTTGCTACTCACGATAAAGGAGCCGAACTTCTCCACAGCAGCAGCCGAACCATGGTGTATAATACTGTTAGCTGCGCGCTGCTCCATGATCTGAAGCGTGTGCTTCGGCCTCTGGGCCTCGACCTGCTTCCGCTGTAGGATTGCTTGACTCTCGGCGTTATCAACAGGCTTGCAAGCAAGCTCGTACTGAATTCTAGCGGCAATCTTCGTTTTCTCTACGCAAAGTTAGACCTGATTTATGACAGCTGACGTGGTTCGAGCTTACTAGGAATCGCCTTGCGGTAGTAGGGCTGCCAACGACGGCCCTTCTCGAACGGCTTTTTCTCCACTTTGTCTGCCTTGGGCCGCAGAAAACGGGCTGGGATACCAGCGTTGGCCGCGTCGGTTCTCGCCTTGGACTTGGCCTTGAAGCCAGGCAGGTCCTCTTCAGTGAAGACAAAAGTGCTGCGCGCAAGTTCCTTGCCCATCTCCAGATCATATTCCTTGGGCATCAGTTGATGTTCGGCTCGGTCGGAGTTGAGTAGCATTTTGAAGCGGTGCTAGATAAAACAATCAACTGAGCAGCTGTCCAGTCCTTCACAGTCCGTCATACATCATACCTCAACGTTGCCATCTGGGCGCACAACGTCCCACTGTCGCATCGTGCCGACTTCAATCTCAGCGTCATCCGGTAGGCTGTCCCATGCTTCCCACAAGTCCTTTGGCACACGGGCCAAGTATGCTTGGCCAAAGGAGCCCTGGTCGCTATACTGGTCGAAGAACTCGAGATCGCCGGCATCTTCGTACAGGTCGTCGTCGTCAAGGGGAGAGGCCGTCACAGCTTCAGGATCGGGTTTGATGAATGGTTCCGGTTTGATGTACGTGGATTCTGCCATGTTGAAAGTGTGATCTGATGGAGAGGTACTTTTGGCGTTGCGGAACCCGCGATATTCAGTTGAGGTGTGAAGTTGATGGTTATCCGTAATGACGAAGGAATAGTCCAAGTTAAAGTTACCCACTGTAGCACCTAAGGTACCTACCTGGTAGGTGGGTAGATGAAGACTAGCGTAATGTCATGTGACATACTGACACTGGCTTCGCTTTAATCAAAGTAACGAGTTGAGGTAACTGCGGCTTCCAGATTAATACTGTACAATCTTCTTTGTAAAGTGCTTAAGGTACATAAGCATAGAGTAGACTCTATTGAAAAGAATATCCACTGTAAGCTACGTTTGAAGAGGATGTAAAGACCAAGAACTTATAGGCAAGATCGAAGCACAGACTAGTATCCGTACATGCTATCGAATGTGCGTCGATCCCCATTCCGGCCAGGGGTGTGAGCCCAAGCCGGCTCTGGGCAGCCACTCAAAAGGTGCATGCCCCACCACAAACCTGGAACTCCAGCGTCGTGACCTATTTAAAACCACCCGTCCTCCTGCCTTTCCATGTCGCCACGAAGGCTGACAACAGCAACAACAAAAGCCAAGCATCGCATTGGATCGGATTCTCCTTGTCACAGGGCCTTGAGGGCCTACTCGAACTCTTTTTGAAAGCTTTCCCACACCATCTGCGGCGCCAGTCTTCGTCAACAATGAGACTGCGATTCGGACCTTCATCACCCATCCCGAACCCATACGTTAGCACCAAGACTCGAATAACACGAAGCTAGTTTCTTTGTATACAGCTGCAACAGAAATCATGGCTCCTGTCAAATCGCTCGCCGAACTGTGCGTTGCGGTGTGCCAAAGACACATCACTGAACTGAGCAGTGTTGGAAACGGAGACACCCTTCAATACCATCATGTCCGCGACATTCTCATGAGGGTCACGAACCCAGCCCAGCTCCGCGAGATCGAAATCAACTCCCCTCATATCCAAGGCGAAACCTCCGAAATTTGGCTGCGCCTCATTAAAAAGGAGTTTCCAACGGAAAGCCACGATAAGAACTATGCCCCCAAGAACCCGTCGAAATGGTACAAGATATACGAACGATATGCCGAGGAACGCCGTCATGCCCAACAACAGGCCGAGGCTGAGTTGCTTGCGAGGGTCCAAGGCCTGCAACAGAAGAAGGATAACAATGTCAGCAGGATCGTTGATCCAAAGTTTGCGAGGTTCCTCCCAAAGCCACCCAAAACAGGACGGACTTTCGGAACGCGAGGTCGGGGAGGAAAGGAACTCCCCAGCTCCCTCAGCTTCGCGGCCGGAAGCAGGATGAAGACGACCACAGGCGCCAGTGTTATGAAGAAAGCCCGTAGAGAGGCCAAGGAGATTGTTGGCATAAGAAGCAACCTGGCCGTCCCTACAGGTTTGATCAGAGCCCCACGACTGGGCAAGGCTCCGCCTTCGATGGCCGCCGAGCATCGGATCTCAACTCAGCCGGTATTTCGACCCACATCTACCAGCAGCCGCCCTCCCACGCATTCCACATATGTCGCGGCATCCAAGACCACTTATGTTTCTGACTCGTCAGACGATGAGGGTGGCGATCTGTTCGGCGACGAAGGAACGCCCAGGCAGAAGGGCGGCAAGACCGGCAGCTCGGCTGGCCCCATCTCCCCCCTCAACAAGCCTACAGGGTCCAAAGATCGCAATCTCTCCACATCCGCCAGCTCCAGCTCTGGATCTAAACTCTCTCCTCCCTCGTTGAAGCTGCATTCGGCAGGTCTACGACGTGGTGGCGGCATTCTCGGAAATGCACCTCGGGCAAAGAGCAACATTAGAGTCGAAAGACCTCCGCCCAAACCCGAACCAGCCATCAGAATTGCAGAGCCGTCCCGCGCCCACAAAGTACTTGCCCAGAACAATGGCCCGCAGTCGCCACCGTTGCCCGCATTCCTTGACGAAATGCAACCGACTCGCCCGACCTTGAGTAACCAGGAGCTGCCTAGAAAGAGGAAGGCGGTTGACATATTCATGCCCAAGAAAAAAGGCAGACGCTGAGGCATTGAGTGGCCTTGCACATTATTGATTTAGTGGGGGGTTGAATACTCTTTGCGCACTTGTGATATATATTAAGGCGTTGAGAGACACGGATGGTATATGATATTGGAATTCAGGCGTCAGCAGGATTTGGCATATACCCACTTGCTTCAGAATGTACCCCAGCCTACAAGCTGTAGGCATCAACATAGGCCTAAGTTTAGGCATATGCATAACCCAGAGGTTGATTTTGAATATGCTTGGTGGATCGGCTTTTCAAGTAAAATATGAAGTTTCATGCATCATTGAACCACCGACGTTTGCTCCTAGTGGGCGGATGTTCTATCGCCGTGTCTTCCTAGTCACAATTGCTTATGTGTGGACCCCTGTCCAGATCCAGCACCCAAGTGCAAGGCTGTTCCTGTTCGTCACTGCATCTATCAAATTGCCCTTAACCCGTTGACTACAAGGGCCGTTCTTCCCCGAACAAGAGATGGCAGGCATGTCTCATTTCATCAGCAGCCTAGCCACTCCAGTGCCGCGCCAATGTTCTTGGGGCAAGAGAGTCATCGAGACGTTGTTCACCTTGGTCGGTACTCATTTACGGCTAGCCGATTCAGTTGCCACCACGCAGGGCAAGGACCAGATGCAATGTGGCACCGGCCTCGAGGCCATACTCGGATGCGGACTTGTCATCGACCCTATTGCATGAGTGCGCATCGCATCAGTCGGGTGTTCTGCCCACGTTGTCCAACTCGGAAGGACCGCTCGTGTTTAGTGCAGACTTACATTTGCTTGCCGCCATAGATCAACCTCTGCTGAACAGGGGGGATGCCCTCCTTCTCCTCCACCTTTTCCTTGATCTGCGAGACCTATTGTTGGACCGGTCAGACAATGCCTCTGTTCTTGAGCATTCCCTGAAAGAGATCAAGGGAGGGGCTTCAACTCCGCACCTTGTATTCGTTTTCGATATCGAGCTCAATCTCCTTGCCGGTCAACGTTCGCACCCTGTGTTGGTTCCCGCAATCAGTTTTATGCTGTTTCGGAGGAGGGAACCTCTCGCCACTGAGTGGTCGGAGCGCACGCACTTGATCAACATCTTGACGGATCAAAACTTGATTGGGAAAACGTGAAGATGTATTACGAATTCAAAAGCAGATGCAGGAATGTGTGTTCGTGGGTGGCTTCCTTTCGACGTGGTTCGTTCGTTCGTCCAGTTGGAGATGTGAGAGTTGCACGATTCACAGTCGAGCTTGCGAGGCGGGCAATGAGCAGTAGTAAGTCATAGTGGGGGAGGGGCCTTACTAGGTATGTAATATTGTAGTGTCGAACAGGGGGGTAGCCCAGAAATGCCTGGCCCCACGTCGAGCTCTTCCACACATTCATGGTCTGTGCTGCGCAAGCCAACCGAAACGAACTGTTGGCTCAGGTGTCTTATATGCAGAGACGAAGAATAATCTACGGAGTATAGAGGGCAAGTATGTGCCAATCACCATTTTGCAGCTGAATTAGATCTTGCCCTTGCCGGAGCGGCATTCATCGAGTGGATTGTGTTCCTTCTTACACGATTTCTAATATACACTAGCCCTTTCCTCACGCATATGCGAATGAAGGTTGTGTCCGAAGCTCTCAGGCGTTTTCATTATAGTACAAGTCTTCAAAGACCGTAGGAATACAGGGGATTTTTCTTTTTTGCACTCGACAAGTAACCGCCTCATTTCTGGTCGCGATCTTCAAACACGTTCAGGCCCAAGCCCTCAGAGTCGAGCAGCAGTCTGTTCTTGCTGCCAGACTCCTGCATCTGTTGAGCGATGGCACGGGCATTCTCGATCTTCTTCAGTTCGACATATGCTTTGCTCTTCTTGATGGCCTCTCCAATCAGCTCGGCGGAGCGGGCCTCACCCTGGGCCTTGACGACCATAGCCTGCTTCTCCTGGCGGGCCTTGTCGACAACGAAGGCTGCGCGCTGAGCCTCCTGCTGAGCAACCTGCTTCGCCTCGACAGCAGCCGTGAATTCGGGAGAAAATGCAAGGTGCTACATAGCCAAATTAGCACACAGACTTGAAGACGCAAGGAGCGAAAAGACATACTGTCAGAGACACATCGTCCAAGAGGATGTTGAACCGCGCGGCACGCCGGGAAAGGTTCTCGCGGACCAGCTTGGCAACCATCTCTCTCTGGGTGATGAGCTGAGAAGCGTTGAACTGAGCAACGACACTCTTGAGGACCTCATTGACGATGGACGGCAGTACTCTCTCGTCATAGTCGGTACCCAATGTGCGGTAGATCTGGGGTAAGGCCTTGATATCGGGTCTAGAAAGAACACGGCAGGTGATGTTGACCATCTGCAAGTCCTTGGTTCCGGTAAGGGAGGCGACGTTTCTAGGCTTCGCACGAACGTCGTAGGTGACGGGAGTCTCGAACCAGGGGATGACGAAATGAGTTCCTGGAGAGTAGTACCGAGTCAGTCTGTTGTAGCTTCAAAGTCGCGACAACAGCGCTTGCTGTAGGCACTAGAGGGGAGTGCTAGTTATACCTTCGGCATAGATCTCCTTGCTCACACCACTTGTCCTCCGGTACTTGATCGCTCTGTGACCACCATCGACGTTGAACAGCGCATTCTGAGCCAGAAATGCAGCACCTCCAAGAAGAACAACACTCGCCAGTCCCATACCGGCGCCGCGAGGGCCACCGGGCATGCCGCCGCCGCCGCGCTTCTGCTGCTGCTCGGCAACACGCCTAAGGCGTACGTAGGCCTCCTCAATGGGGCTTCTTCCTCCAGACATGATGAAGGCTGGTGGCAGGGTTGTCCGTCGAGGTGACTAAACAGCTCAAGGAAATGGAATGATGAGTCGGGTTGTCGTCGATCGAGTGGGCGTGGGTGCTGCGGCTTTAGACAATGCAGATAATGATGGGTGGAGCGGAGCTTTGTCAGTCTTCAACGTCACGGTCGCCTAGCAGAGCTCGAAAATTGGTGTTGGCCGGTGCTCTCGGCATGAGAGAGAGGAGCCACTGGCAGCCAGCGACATGGCACCTCAGGCAGCCAGCTCCTAGCCTCCTACTGGCCGTCATGAGTTTTTGGTAGCGCACAGACCACGGCTGTATCATCCGCAAAGCTGAGCTGAGCTACTCCGTACACTATGTTTATATAGCTGCCGCCTGGCGATAGCTCTTTCCAGCTGGTCGCCCAAAGACCGGACTGGCACTGAAGCAAGCGAATTCATCTATCAATGCCGGTTCTTGAACGCAGCAGGAAAAATACACCCATGGGCCTTTTGCTACCTCTCTAGATACGATACGACGGGCGTAACGCCGCTGACCGGGCAGGGTCATATCTACTACATTGAGAAGGCGTAGTAACCCTTCTTCTTTCCCAACAGGCTCTCTGTTCTGGTCCCTATCTCCCGTGATTCATGCATGAGAACACCCTGCCGCAGCATGAGCTTGTAGCTCTTGGTACCGAAGAAGGGCTAACTATCTTTGTTGGTTACTCTCCACTACGCTCTGAAGCCGCATGATTTTGTCCAGGCGACTCGGTGTTTTTCTTCCTGTTCTGAGAAAACACCCTCTTTTTTTTTTTTTTTTTTTTTCTCGACGCCCCTTTTCGTTATATAGGTCGTACTGTCAACTCAACCAGCAAATATGTCCTCCACAACACAAACTGCTACTCATAGTAATGGCACGGCTGGTGGTGCTGTAATAATCACAAGCCGGCTCTTCATTCGGCCCTCCACCCTCGCCGACGCCCCGGATATGGCACGGCTAGCCAACAACCTCAAGATAGCAGGGAACATGCGGAACACCTTTCCCTCGCCTTATCTGCTCGAGCATGCCGAATGCTGGCTCAAACTCTGCGTAAAAGATCCGGGCAACAACTTCGCTGTTTGTAGAGCAAAGGACGGGGCTTACGTCGGCAATATGGGCATCATTCGGGGCAACGATGTGCTGCATCGCACCTGGGAGCTCGGCTACTGGATTGGCGAGGAGTACTGGGGACAGGGCTTCGCAAGTGAGGCCTTGATAGCTCTCTGCAGATTCTGCTTCGAGAACAGCCCTGAACTCTTGAGGTTGGAGGCATCCATGTTTAGCACTAACACGGCGAGTCGGAGAGTGCTCGAGAAGGCTGGTTGGACACACGAAGGCACCAAGAGGCAAGCCGTTGAGAAGCAAGGCCGAGTCCTTGATCTGTTGATTTTCTCGATTCTTAGACACGAGAGTCTCTCCTGACCTGCAGCTTTAATTGAAGTGCGTGGCGCGAATGATGGTGAGGTGATGAGGACATCAGAGATAGGGATCAATATTATGTCGGTAGGACTGGAAGGAACTTTAGCGCCAAGAAGACAGCCCCCAGCTACTCTTGGAGCAAGCAATATGGGCCCAACAGCGTGGGAAGTCTTGCGCCCATGGCTTTGTCGTCGTCTCATCATCGGGGGCAACCCTTTTGACGACAGCGTCACTAGCTGTAACAATTCATCACCAAGCACGGCTTCCATATCATGAAACTCCAGTCTCGTTGATATCGGGGAGAAACAGAAACGGTACAACTTGGCGATAATGCAATGCATGGCTGTGTTACTTAGTACGCCATCATTTTCAAGATCCGGACCAAGCATATGGTTACTGATACGTGTGACCGGGACCAGGAAGCATTTACAGTACGCTTTGATAGGTGAACTAATATCAAAATTGATCTTCCTTGAGCCGATTTACCTCGTCGCCAGTGTCGTAGGCTTTCACTATGCTTACCGTGTCGTCCGATACTCCATCAGTTGTTATCTCGTTGATGTGTGTATCAAGGCCGGGGAAATTGCAACCTGCGAAGACCGGAGTGACTAGCAAAACCCATGATTATAAGCCTCTCTTGCGCTAGGATGTTGGCAATACGAATCAAATCGTATCTTTGAATGCAACAAAAACCCTCTCCCAGATACCATCCAGGACTGAGTCACAACTACGAGGCGTTTCCTCTTGAGGCCGCACATGTATACAAACCACTCAGTATTAACATGAGCTTGTAGGCTAGGACGGAAACGTTCCGAGCAGATGGGCGTAGAGGAAGGTGGGGTCCGGGGCCAATATGCAGATGCATCAGATAGAGACCTGACTGAGAAACGTGGACTTGACTGAAGATGCTAGAGGGGTCAAAGAGGTAATTGAACACTCGTATCCATTGTGACGAACTCAATATATCTGCATTATTCATTCTGATATTGTGTCTACTTGATTTCTTCACGGTCACTATTCCTCGTCGTTCGTAGCCCATTTAGTAACGCAGTTTCCCTCGTACCCCTGAATGTTAGACTACTTGCAATACAATGGTGACGAGAAGAGAACGCAAGTGCAGTAGTTTCGCTTAGTAAATGAATCAGGTGATGTCTCCAAAAGAAAGTATGCAATATCTATCAGGAAGGTTAATCTATTGCATCCAACAGCGTCTCTGCAGCATCGATGCCCTACAGCGGAGAGAGCACAACAATCGCCACTGATTCCTCACCGGCCTCATGACTTGTCCTTCGCCTCCAAGGCACGCCTGCCAAACCTCTTAGTCCAGGATGCATCGTAGTAGTTCAACTCAACAGCTCGTTGAGGCAAGCTCCTCTTTCCGGGGTGGACGCTTGCCGCTGTGATATTTCCACAGTCTGGCCGCTTCAAGTCGTTTCCAAACACATCGACAGCCCAGATCAGAACGCCGTTCGTCCAGCCGAAGCCTTCGACCACCTCGTACTCCCCTCCACCTCCGGCGACATTGGTTGCGTTGTCGCCGTATTTCTCGAACATGGTGCCCACGTTTTGGGAGGACAGCCCCTGCAATTGGGGGGTCTCGCTTGTGGAGCCTCCTGTTGCATACCATGTGCAAAAGGTCGAGTCCAAATAACGTTGTCCGAGACGAAGGGCAAGGCTTTGAACGTCGCGCCATGAGGGGTCTGATTCGCCAAAGGTAGCGGGCGTTTTACGCAATCCTTCCATGAGAATGTGCATCAGCGGTGGCCAGACATTCGGCTGATCCCACTGTTGTCCGGTCACAAGATTTGTGGCCGGGATGCCACCCTTTTTATTGTCCAGATACTTCTCCACGCGCTCGAATGCCTCCTTCACAGCGTAAGGGTTGTTCTTGAGGTGATCTGGCGCGGCTCCCGTCCAGAAAGGATAAAATTGAGCAACTGAGAAGACGACTTGCTGCTCCGAACCAGCAGTGTTAGTTTCGACATCGCTAGCATCGTCATCTCTAGGGATGAAGATGTTTTGCGCCCCCGCAGTGATATTGTAGTCAAAGTAACTGGACAAAGTCGAGTTCCACATCAGGTTATACATCGCATCGCTACGTTTGTGTGCCTGTTGAGTCCAAGAAGCCGCTCCAGTGCCGTTGCCTGTAGAGGTTAAAAATGCCGCAATGGTTATCTCATTCCAGTACATGATGGCATTGAGATCCACCGGCACGGTTTCGAGAATGTTCAAAGACCGCAAAGGGAAGTAAACATCCCTCTTCGCATCCGCAGGTCTAGCAATCCAGCGAGAACTGTAATCCCAGCCACTTTCGGCACCGGAGGCCAAGTTGGCGTATAAACGAGCCTTTTCGGTCTCGTTCAGAGTCTCAACTTCTGGGTATATTATCCCGCTTGTTGAGTAGTATGAGCTGTTTGTAGCAGTAGTGTAGTCTTCTCGGTAAGATTCAGGGCGGGGTTGCGTGTTGGCCACGTCGTACCTGGAGACCCGGCGGTCAGCTTCCGCTTTAGTGTCCTGGAAACTGAGCCGACTTACCGGCTCAAAATGTAGGTATTGCCATCCTTCCGGACTTCAACAGTTCGGTTGGTGGTCCAGAACTCATGTTCTTTGATCAAAAGCGGAACTGCCCGGTCGAGAATGCTCCTGTCGTTGGTGTACTCCACATACAGGCGCACCATTTGCGCCAACAACGGAGGCTGTGAGCGATTCAAGTAGTAGACACGAGCTCCGTTAGGCACAAAGCCAAAGTTTTCCACAAAGTCGAGGAAGTTTTCAATGGTGTTCTTGGATATTTCGGTAAAGGCACCACCTGTTCGCAATAGCCCCTCAAGAATCCCTATCAACGAGTATTAGAAAAAGGGAATTGCTTCGAAGGAACGGAGTTCCACTATACAATAGCTGTCCCAGTAATAAGGCTCACGGAATCGCCCTCCAGCAACCACAAATGTTCGATTAACTGGAATAAAACTGTTGGGAAACGAAGTGTTGCCGCCCGATCCGACGTAGGTGCGGGTGAGGTCGGGCCAAATGTCGATAACCTTTTGGGAGAACTCCTTGATTACAGTGTCGTTGATGTTGTTGAGAAACTTCGGGTCCGTTATCAACTGCTCCTTCGGAACTTCTTTGAGCTCGTTGCCTGCCTGAGCGAAGTTGTCGAGCAGGAAGTCGTTGAGCTCGGTGTTGTTGCTTAGTGGCTTTGCTAGTTTGTTGAAGGCGGCTTGGATAGCTTCCAAGGATTTGGTAGCAGGCCTGCAAACAAATAATGGAGGTTAAGGAAGATCAATTATGAGTGTTGGGGGGGGGGGGGGGGGGGGGGAGACCCCAAAACACGCTTACATATCCACAAATGTCTTCGAGTCAGAGAAGGGTCTCGCCAGCTCTATCTCCTTCAATATTTCGCCATGACAGTAGATGGGTGAGTCACATGGGGCAATGACAGAGCCATTCTCGTAGAGAGCTTGAGCTGCCTGGGGTAAAACAGAAAGAGCTGCAAGGGCCAGTGCGATATTGATCATGGCGTCCAATAGAGCTCTCAAGAAGAGCTATCCGTCGCACAGCAACAAGTAATATGAGACGAGAGGAGCAAGAAACGTAAGGGAGAACCTGGCGACTTCGGATGACGAGGTTCACAACGAGGTATATATGGGGGAACGCACATCACATAACACGTGGTGAGCTACCAATACCAGTGCAGCTTCGCTAAGAGAAAGGGGAGGGGGCTTGGACGGGTTCGACGTTGCGAGGGATCGTCAGTAACCAAGACAAGGCAACGGCAGAAGAGCGGGAGGGGAAGAGTAGCAGGGGTAGTTTCCGGGATTGCAGGCATTGAAATCAGACGATTGCACCTTACTCCCCTACAACCTCCGAAATGTATGGGCTGCCGAGGAGAACCGTTGGAATGGGGATATGCTGGGTCCAAGTCCATTCCAGCGCCATCAAAGTCTTAGGTAGCGCATCATGGCTAGCGGCACGGCAGACGACACGTTGGACGCCACAATACGCAATTACCTACGAAACGAGACAGAATATTGGCACACCGAGCCAGGGTTTAACGAATCTGGCTGGCTGGCCCGCTAGGTCCACTTGTAGATAGCTAGGTAGTCAGCTCTCCCCGCATTATCCATCTTTCTTGAGGTAGAGCTACTGCAAAGGCGTCATACGATAGGTTGGCTGTCGGGTTTCTCCCAGCCTCTCAGATTGTTTCTCGGTTCTGGGGAAACGAGGGGGGCATGTAGGTTCCAGAAACGTCGACAGGTTCGATGAGCTGCAGCAAGGTAAGGTGTGTGCTAAGGGTATTAAGGCTTGCATAGGGTGTGGGTGACGGGCCTACTATGTCATTACGCTGGAGCCGTGGAAGGTGACGTCAACAAGGATGGGCAAGAGAACCAAAGCACAAGGAATGGTTCACCTAGGTATGCTCTGGGAACTGTGCTGGCGCTTGCGATAGTCCCGACATTTTAATTGGAGAGCCGAGCGGGCCGACCTATGCGGAGAACCTCGGCACCCTCGGAGCTTTTCTCCACACTTCCCCGGAAATGGCCCCGGACAGGCCATTGATGATGTCTCACTAACGCTGTCTCACGCTCGCCCGTGGTCAGCTATGTCAGCGGCGGTGGAAGCATCCTTGGGGTTTACTTGGCTCGCTCTGGTCAGACGGCACATTTCTTGGCCTGTTTTTGGGAGATGCTCACAATATAGCGCGAAAAAGACAAGCCTGGTTCAGAGACTCAGCAAGGCCCTGCGGCAAGGCATGGCTCAAGGTTGGACGAGGTATACAAGGCTTTACAAGATGCCGCTTGAGAATTTGCCGGTATAATGTCGTCGGTACCTCCAACCTTGAGTATGCCCTGTGCAAGTTCCCGGTCGTCCGGGTGAACATGGAACCGAGGTTCATGGTGTGCAAGACACTAAATACTTGGAACTATTACTTTTTTCTGCAAAACCCGTCATCACTCGGAAAGGGCAATTTGGCCCTATGAAAGCAGAAAATGACAATCTGAGACGGTCAGTAATCATCTGCATTTGCTATCAATCGGATATCAACCGAAGCCGTAGTTTCTGTCTTATTCATATCTTACTGGCCTTTTGGTTGCAAAGGAGTATGAGTAGTGGCTTCAAACTACTCTTCAAGTTCCCCACACTCGGGCGGCGTTGTATGGCTGGGTTTCCTGTACAAGCATAAAATGGCTTAGTTGGGCAGGCCGTTAACATTGTATAGCTGAGCGGAATCTCTTGAGAAATCAAACCGGACAGTCGAAGGTCGTTGGGACTCTGAACGTAACTCGTGCCAAATGGGAACACCCTCCAACCTCCAATGCTCCCGGCTTCGCTCGTAGGCTAAAATACGACTGAAATATTGCCCCAGAGACAACTGGCCATTGGTAATATGAAGAAGGTAGGTTATGTTACTGTCGACCCTGCTTAATGTCAAAAAAGGAAAGCGATCGGGTTTTACTTCCAGAATCAAAGCCATCCTGCTTCATTTAGCTCTGCCTATTTTTATGAGTAGAAGAGAAAAGTTGAGAAGGGAATGCTGTGTTTCGTAAGAAGCATTCATTACTAACGCCGTCAATCAGGTATGTAGCCCATCAAAGATCTGGTTTCAGCGATTATGCTCCTCTGTTATTGGTAATCATTATCGAATCACTGGGAGAGCATCTCATCGGGGCTTGTAGATGTTTGCTGGCCCGTGACTCTGCTTTGCCCCCGAGCCATGACCTTCCAAGGCTTGTCGAAACACTCGCTCTAGTCTTGGGAGAACCTCATCTTCGTTCTGGGCGATCTGGTAATGAACAACCAGTCGGTTCCCAATCAGCTTCAACCCCGCCTCTTTCCCAAATGCAACAAAAGCCTCTGTGCTGCATCCCGCGGCGTCCAGGTCGAGCCAACACATGTTGGTCTCCACAGGATGAGTGAGCTTGCCACCCAGGCTGGTCCAGAGTTGCTCAATCTTCTTCGCAGTGGCGTGTGATGTCTTCAAAAGGCCGCCTTCACCGCTGGGCCCCCTTCCGAATGTCTCATCAACGGCGACTCTGGCGGGAGCCGCCACAACTCCAGATTGGCGAAGGCCACCTCCAATGGATTTGCGTACCCATCGAGAATGCTTGATGTGTGCTGCACTGCCCACGACGATGCTACCGATCGGGGCACCGAGGCCCTTGGAGAAACACAAGCTCACAGTGTCAAAGAGGGAGCAGTACTCGGACAAACTACCGGCACCTGCAGCAACAGCCTCCCATAGTCTGGCGCCGTCGCAGTGAAGCTTAATGTCGTTCTTGCGCGCAAACTCGGCTATCCTCTTGACCTCGGCCAGGGGCGTAATCACGCCGTTAATGGTGTTCTCCAAGCTGATGACTTTGGTAGGGCAAGTGTGGACATCGTCATCGAGATCGGCAGTGGCCTCGATATCCTCCAACGTCAGATAGGCCCCGTTCCGTGGTACGACGGGCTTGACCATTGCTCCACTCAAGGAGGCAACCCTATCAGGGGAAGATTAGCAGGCTTCATAGACCACCATATGTGAGAGACATCGACGAACCCGCCCGCCTCATACTTGATAATGTGAGCGCGATGATCGCACAAGACACTGTAGGGAGGCTGTGTTAAGAGGCTCCGGAGGGCCAGTTGGTTGCCCATCGTTCCCGAGAGAACCATCAGAGCGGCGTCCTTGCCGGCAAGCTTAGCGACATGAGACTCCAGCGCGATGGTTGTGGGGTCTTCTGCAAAGACATCATCCAGCAAGCTGCAAGACTGGATCGCAGCAAGCATTGAGGCCGTTGGGGTAGTCATGGTATCACCTTCTCGCGGTTAATCGAGGGTACTACTAGGGAGGCGGAGGAAGGCGGAGGGAGGCGGGGAGGTCTTGAACTCACTCCGCAGATCGAATCCCGCAGCACCGAAGTGGCCAACCCAGGTGTTCTGCTTAAAGGCACCCCCGCTAGTCACATCGCTGACAGTGGAAGGAGACATTGTTCCCGATGACGGACGAGGCGACGATGTGTAAAAGGAAAGCCTGGCGCGTGGAAGAGTGCACTGGTTGAAGTCGTGAAGGGCAGTTGGCAGCCGTAGCGGGGTCGATCGGCTATAGCATCGTATAAAGGGCGCATGCAGGCCGGACGTAACTGTGGGTGCTCCGGTTAGCGTTCCGAGCGGGTTCTCAGGCGGAGGGAGATCGGATGAATCATGATACGGCGGAATGCGCCGGGGTTGGAATGAGTTGCAGTCCGCGGCGACGAGACTTGGTAGACTTGCAAGGTATTCTGACTGTGCTCATTTTGTCTATGTGGCCAACACGGGAGTGATTTGCGACAGATTGGTTCGATTCAAGGGCTTAGCAAAGATATCTCAATGGCCAATGGTGACGGGAAGGTGAAAATCAATGGAACCAACCCTCGACGTCGCGTCGCCAATCTTATCTCGATCTCCGTAGGAACGAACCGGCCGGTTCAAGAGAGCGATCAGACAAGCTGATAATGCCCCCCCCCCTGACAACCCGAGAGTACCGTGCACAATAACCGATAGGGGCCCGTGCACAGTTGAGCTGACAGTGGAGTAGGTGATAAGGCTCTAACCAATAGATACGCACATACATGTTATAAGGGTCTATAGGTCTAAATTAAACAAGAATTTTTGTTCTTCTCGCTCCACATAGTCTAGCAGTACTTTTTCTTCAGGTAATTCTAAAACAGCTTTGCTAGGGAGGGTTAGAATGGTCTATCCCACCCTGCTTCCTCTGCTGCGCTCTAGGTTAGGATAAGCCAAGACTATCCCTTTTTTCCCTCTGTTTTTTCCCTCTGTTACCTCTATTGCCCCTATTTTTTTGCCTCTATTTCCACTTTCTCCCTCTATCTATACCCTTATCTATTGGCTATAACTGTATCCATTGTCAGCTCAACTGTGCACGGGCCCCTATCGGTTATCGTGCACGGTACTCTCGGGTTGTCAGGGGGGGGCATTATCAGCTTGTCTGATGGCTTGTTTGAGATTGGGATTGGCCATCGCGTTGGGGTTGGTTGCGGGGTTTTGGAGAAGTGGAGAACTTCTTTTTCTTTAAGGTGAATGTTCAAGTGGTCTCGAGCATTGTGAGCCAAAGTCCCAACGGATGACAGAGAGGTAGCTGTAGCTACTACCCGAACCTAGGTGTACAGACTTACAAAAGCCGAGCCGACTCGAACAGACAGATGAAGATCGATAGCGTTTCAGAGAGGTGCTCGAGTCACGGACCGCCTAATTGCTAAGGACGTGTCGGATTTGGCCCCTGAAGAGCCAGCTTGGCGCAGCTTGAAACCCTAGGGAGCGGGACAGTAGCAGACATACCAAGCAATGACGACCCTCGGTCATGAGCCCATACACAGCTTGCATTTGGCCAGGTTCATAGCTCCCTCACTCACGACAATCAGCTTGAAGGGTGAGAGTGCGGTAGACAAGCTCTGATGAAGTGGCATGGCTTGCCTGGGAGACGGGGTTTGGAAAACATACTACATATGTATGCTCTGAAGCGCCGTGTGAGACATGATTTATGAGTATCCCCTGCCTAGCTATGACAAAGAAACACATGATGTCCACCGGTGGAATTCCGCCGACGATACGGATAGATGGCGCGCCCTCTATGGCTCTGCGCAGGGGCGGTGTGGTGTTACTCAGCAATCAGTGCTGACAGAGGCACCTAGTTGGGTAGTATTATCCACTAATAGGTACTAGTGTACGTAGTTAGTAACGCCCAGCCAAAGCTTCGTTCAGCCACGACCCTGCAGACAGCAACGAATGACAGCTATCTAGCCCGGCTTGGCGGCACCAGGTCCCGCTAACCGTCTCACTTTATTCCATGTCATTTTCTCAATAAATGGCCGACGAAGCATTGGTCCACCCCCTGATAGAGCACGATATCGCGATGGTTCCCCTGACTTGCAACCGGATATCGGCCTTTGATTAGGCTGCTAGTGACTGTGGAAGCTAAAGCTGCTCGTCCGATGTATTGACTAGACTGTAGGACCCCCCCCCCCGGCGTTTCTAAAACAGAAAAACAAGAGTGCAAGTGCAACCAGCCTCCCCTGGTGACCTTGGAGACACGGCGATAGCCATTACCTAGTTTGCTAATTCTCAAAACGCAACACCGGACGACGCAAACACGACTGTGACACATGAGCGGGAGGGGGCTCTTCTCTCCAGCTTGCACAGGACTGTGGTTCCGAGAAAGGGGTGAGTTCCTTGGTCCGTCTGAAGCGCCGTCATCATGCTCCTCTTGTCTACTTTCAGTACCTACCTGGTGTAGCTCGTACGGCAGCGGCAGCCATGGTGAAGCCTGCACCTTCTACCCCTTCTGCCTGTCCGGGTACAGTTCATGCGAAGCCACCCTCTATTCCTAGCCAGTGGGTAAAACAGTGCTCGAGCCCGTCCGAGCCTCGACACACAAACATTCGCATCAAAGGGCCGCCAACTCACTTACTTATACTTGGAACCCGCACCTTCTCTAGCCTTCCTATGCCATACCTTGTCTTCCTTTGTTGACGACTGACCCGCCATCCGGAAGCTCTTCCCGGAGAGAGAGAGAGAGTACCTAACTCACCCTAGCCCCCTCCAACTCGCGCCTCCTATCCAACCTACCGAGTCTTCCTAGAACCTTCCTTGCGGGCCTAACCACTGACTGGAAGCCAAAACCCCCCCCGTCGCCATACTTCCTCTTCCACATTCGCATCATCAGCAATGTCGACCTAGAAGCGTTACAACTGCCCCGCCGATTCCATCACCCCCCCTCCCCGGGGACCGGTGTCGTGCAGACAGGACATTCGACCTTGTCAGTTCTGCCAAAGGCACTTGGACCAGCCAACTGTCCCGTACGGTCTCGCCTACAAGCTTGTCACACCTTCTATTCCGTGCGATGGTTTTGCAGTGGCACGTGGGGTCGCCGGTCCTGCTGAAAGCTGTGCTGGCCATAGGCGTATGCTTGATTATCTACATTAGCCAACACCCCGCCCTCGACAGGTTCGAACATCGGATCTCGGTGCTTGATCTCTCCCTGAAGCTTCCCAAGGGTGGGCTGAACTTTAGCAACAAGAGCGATCACCATGGCTTCTACTCCTCCGAGGCCGCCAGCCAGTTCTGCAAGCACCATGGATACCCCGTCTTCACGCCCCAGACGGAGTCCGGCCAGCGGAAAGTCTACGATCTCTTCATGGTGAACACGGAGCTTGACTGGATGGAAATCCGTCTCAACGTCACATACAACTACGTCGATTACTTCGTTATTGTCGAGTCTCCCAAGACTTTCACTGGGAAGCCCAAGCCACTCACCATTAAGGAAAACTGGGAGCGGTTCAAGCCGTACCACGACAAGCTCATCTACCACGAGCTCGAGTTTCCCTCCACCTTCAACCCGCGTAGGTCTTGGGACTACGAGGACCTCCAACGGAACGCCATGTATTCCCAGGTCTTCCCCAAGCTCGTCGGCAGGCAGGCACCGGCATATGGGGACGTCATCATCGTAGCGGACGTCGATGAGATTGCCCGCCCCGAGACATTGCTGGTGCTGCGGACGTGCCGGTTTCCCCGCCGCCTCACCCTTCGCAGCCGGTTCTATTACTACAGCTTCCAGTTCCTACATACGGGGCCAGAATGGGAACATCCGCAGGCGACCTTCTATCAGGGCTCGCGCACGCTCCTGCCGGCGAACCTCCGGATGGGTGACGGCGGATTCAAGCCGCTTTACGAGCTCGAGAAAGCGGATCTAGGAAACGCGTGCTGGCACTGCTCGAGCTGTTTCGCAACGGTCGATGAATTCCTCACCAAGATGGCGTCCTTCTCGCACGAGTGGATGAACGGCGAGAGGTTCCGCGACAGAGACCGCATCGCCGAGGCCATCAGGAGCGGAAAGGACTTGTGGGGCCGCGACGTTGACCAGTTCGTGAGGCTGGAGAACAATACGGACATGCCGAGCATCTTGCTCGAGCAACCGCAGAGGTTTGGATACATGGTGAATCGGGATGGACCCTCGGCCGGGTTCACCGACTATCCATGACTGGTTTAGGTGCATCTTGCTTTTTATTTTTTACTTTTATTGTTTTTTATCGTGAAACTGGTCGAATGTATTGCCCTCTACGTCTAGAGAGTAATCTATCGATCGGACTTTATACCATAAAGTGTGGAGAGCCATGAGTGCCATTCAGGCAGCCTCCCAAGCAAGGAGTTGGCGGTTGGACATAACGAGATTTGATTGCGGGTGCGGAAGCATTACTAGGTAGTGGTTAGCAGAGTTGAAATAGCAGGCACAATTAACAGCTAGGCAAGTGTAAGTGTGTATTTACCGTGTGCCCAATCAAGTTTCGTTCTCAAACAAACAACGTTGAAGGGTCGACCGGTTTCTCTACAGACAGTCTTCTCCTCATTATCCCCCCTTCCCCAACAGCTCTGTCCTAACCGATCCAATGTGGGGTTTGACTAGCGGCGGGAGTAGGTGTCCACAGAATTGGCAGCTCGTCTTGTGGTAATTACCTAGTTAGCGTACAGAGCAACACCAGGCCATCCCTGACAACTCATCGTGGCATCGCGCTTTCGAACAGTCCATCTCCATACACACAAATATGCCCTATTTTTTTAACCCCCTCCTTACTTTTCTCTATCCTTCAATCCGCGCTCTCTCCCCATTCTTTCTCTCTTCTCTTCTTCATCGCAGTCTCCCCCTCTCCCACTCCCACGACGACACCTTTCACTTGATATTGCACGCTTTCCCAGACAACCCCCCCCCCCCCCCCCCCCCCCCCCTACTCAGACGGCATTAGGGTGTCTGTATTACTGACATTCTCGCAACCTTGCGCCGGAACTCCGCACTTGGGACTGCCGCACTAGCCCATAGCCTCCTGGATCTATATACAGCGAAGCTTTTAGCCACAGTTTCACTATCACCCTTATCTGACTGAACCAGCGCCTCCACTGGGATCAACCGCCGAGATTCATGTATTCCTCCGAAGTGCTAACGCAGGGTGATTTGCATTAACTACAACCCAAACACAGAGAGGGCGCCGATTGAGCATGCGTCCCTCACGTTACTGGGTGCTAATTGGAGTACCTAGGACGCTCGAGTATGATACAGTGTCCAATCTATGGAGGGGTGCTTCGTGCCGGAGAGTAGCACTTTCTGTCTGTAAGACTTATCGTATCTACACCTCCGGACGGATGGCCACCTAGCAGTGGTAAACGAATGAGTCGAGTTAAGGTACGTTCGTTCTATCAAGGAGTGCCGACAGACACAAACATGCCTGTCTTGCCCAATCCATCTATAGTAGGCGGGCGTGGCCAACGGGCACGCGCTTTATTTGATGGACCCCTCCGAGCGGGCCGCGATAAGTACTACGACTTCAGACTGCCATGCCCTAATAATAATTTATGAAGTGACCCGGGACAATTATATTAATTATTTCCGCAGGTGGACTCAATTATTGAATTACCCATCTGATAGAGGCGCATTTCTTGATGCGACTCCATCCGCATTAAGCCGATGGTAGACTGGATCTGAACTCTGAGGACCTCTCTCTCTCTCTCTCTCTCTCTCTCTCTCTCTCTCTCTCTCTCTCTCTCTCTCTCTCTCTCTCTCTCTCTCTTTCTCTCTCTCCTACCACCCCCCTCGCCGCCTCTACATAGTAATCCATCCCAGCATGGGGCCCTGCAGGAGCAGGTGTGCATGGGGAAAGAGTCGGTTGGCCAACCAATGATGGCGCGCCAGCAGCACCTCCCTTTGGGGGAGGGACCTAGAAGCCGATGCATTGATGCGTGATGCGCTGGCACTTTTCTCTCTCTCTCTTATCCCCGTGTGCAGTTGGTCTTCCCTGCTCCTTGTTTGTACCTACTCTGTGCTGCACTGCCTACAGCATGGTCGGTAGCTCCAGAAAGGAATGGGCAGAAGGGAGAAGAGAGAGAACGATGAAGCAGAAACATATCATACCCATGAGTCCCTCCCCCCTCTATCACTCATTTACTTCTTTTCCCGGACGCTTCTCCTCTGTACCACCATTTCTATTTCTCCCCGACTCCCTTTACGCAGTAGAACACCGGTTGACCTTTTAACCTCCGTCGTCTTATTCCATGCCGCAACTCTCAAGTCTCACCCACATCTTCAACTAAACCACCGAGGAACACCCCCATCCCCCACCATGCCCCAGAAGGACTCCGTCGCACCTGTCTGTCTCGAACCAAAGCTGTTTTCACTTCCGCTGTAACCCGTTCTACGGCCATCCGATTCACGCAGATAATCAAGCGATCCCGCATCAGTCATGATATTCATTCGTCTACTTTCGTAGCGTCGTTATGGCCGCTCACCCGATCCTACATCCCCCGCTCCGCTAGCTGCTCTCTACTGCGTGTATACTGCCGTAACACCAGTGCGCTTCGATAGCTCTCTGGTATGAAGCCCTCCTCAAACTAGGAAAAAGAAAAATTACCCGCCCGACAAAAAATCTCAACCGAAAGGCAAGTGCCTTGCTTCTGCATCATATCTTCCGACATCCAAAGGACCGCTCGAGACAGCTCCGGTCGCGATGTGGTGGAAAATGCAGATGGGGCCAAGCAGGCTCACTGGCTCTACGGAGTACTGATGCTGTCGCAGACCGATCAACGCCGGATAGTTCGCAAATTGTAAGACACGTTTGGATACAACACCTCTTCAGCACCGGACCTCCAGCGCGCGCGCGCAATATGCTTCATGGCCCTGTCTCGAACCGCGACGCCACCGACTGTGTACGATCGCTTACTTGACATCTAGCGATGCGTTTAGAGTGGGCGAAACAAGGTCGAGATGCCATAGACCGAGACTCGCGACACGCGACAGCCCTCATACCTCATCTATTCGCCCACTTCATGAGCCACTGGAGGACGGCGTCCAGGTTCGTCTCTTCCTTGGCGCTGATGCCATAGCAACAGACCTCGCGGTGGCCTATGGATTTGAGATCAAGCGCATCAATCAGCTCATCGACTGATAACTTTTGCGGAAGGTCCGACTTGTTTCCTAATACGAGAAGTGGGATCTCTCTTAAAGAAGCTTGGCCCATTAGTGCATGGAGTTCTTCGCGGGCCTGCTGCAACAAATCTACATCGGCGATGTCGACGATGAAGACGATGGCGTTGACGCCACGGCAGTATCTCTCCCACATTGTTCGGAACCTGGGCTGGCCGCCAATGTCCCAACACTTCAGTGTAACGTGCCCTCGTTGCACCCGCTTCATGTTGAATCCGACCGTCGGGATCGAGCTGCACGAGATCTCAGTTAGCCGAAGATGCCGCTGGCGGAACCCAACCATGCAAAGCACCGCACGCTCGTCGCTGTTGGGGCATCGGGAAGGTGAAAGGTCGCTTACTCGATCGTGAACTCGCCGCCCTAGAAGGAAAAGGTTAGCGATGGCATGACTATCCAGAGATGTCGACTTACTGCGAGGACTCGGAGTAGAGATGTCTTGCCCGCGTTCTGCAGACCGATCATCGTCACGTCCATCTCGGTCGCCCTGTCATCGCGGATCAGCACAGGCGCGGAATATCACCATCAAGGCTGATAGGCAAGGTGGGCGCGATGGCAGCGGGGCAGGGACAGGGCGCGCGGGCCGTCAAATCGCTGGGAATCACCCCGCTGTCCGTCGTCGCGAACACAGTGCACTCACCAAAACGTTCTCAACAACCAGTCGTAAACTTTCCGGAAAAGCCCCGCCATGGTTGGGGATGATGAGCACGAGTGCGATGGCAATGCGCTAGAGTGCGTAGAGGGGAAATAGGATTTGGAAGGCTGACAGCAACTGGGGGGTGCTTGTCGACGGTTTGCTTGCGTTTGATTCAGGCACGGCGCAACGGTAGGTAAAGTCGCGCAACGATGGAAGCCGACGGTTGGCGGCGGCGGCGGCACGGTGATTGTCTCGTTCAAGAAGGACGGCGAGACGGTGAGAGAGAACACTGGGTGTGGGGTTCTGGGTCGGGAAGTTTAAGTATTCGATGCACTCAGACGTCCTTCGAAATTAGGAATAAAAAATGTCTCGTATAAACCGTGGTAGCCGACCAAATGTCGCAAGTCGAGTCTCGCGGGCATGGATGGTTGATGGGCGGCAGGATGTTGGCTTTGTGCGATGATGGGGGCGGGAAAAGGTGCAGAGTCGCTCTTTCTCGTTGGCGGGTGATGACAAGCAAGCAGCGGTGCAGGTGCAGGTGCAGGTGCAGGTGCAGCAGGTAATGGAAACCAGAAGAGAAGAGAAAGCCCAGGTGACGCTTGACCTTGTCTGGTCTGGTCTGGCCTGTCCTTGGGGCGGAGGAGGCACGGGTGAGGTCCCACCAGCAAAGACGCAAAGACGGGATGGGGAGGGGTTGTGGGTGCAAGGTCTTAGGTACTGGAGCACCCTGGCCTGGCCTGGTCTGGGTCCGGCTTATGGTAGCTGGGTAGGTAATTGCTCGGGCACAAACTGTAGAATGAGCCGTGCTGGAATTGGAGTAAGTTGAGGAAGCGACCCCGGATAACCACGTTGACAGGGTCTGCAGCGGTTAGAAGTCGAGGACTGGGGTTTCATTCGTTTGCTTCTACCGGGTTGATGTGGATCTCGCAACGGTAGACGCGAAGAAAGGGCTGAGAAAGGAACGGATCGTACATATATACTCCGTACCGACCGGGTGTATGTAGGCAGGCTCGGGCATGTACCTTATGTGCGCTTGGAAGTAGTGCAGCGACGACGACAGCGGCGGCAGCAGGAGCAGGGATGAGACGCGAGCGCGGCAACGAGAATAGACAAAGTCGACAAGGACCAGTGTCGAAGGCAGGGGGTTTCCAACCACTGAGTCTCCTTTTGCCTGTGACGAAACTTCTGGGGAAAGCGGCCAATACTCCTTGGGATGCTGTGGGCACGAGCGCAAGCTGAAATCGCCTGAGATGCTCAAAGGTGCCAAAACTGGGTGAACGGATGGCACCGGTGCTTGTACTCGCTGCGGTGCTTGTGAACGGACGATGGTGAAAGGTAGATGATAGCGACACGGTGCGATATCCGGGCGACGGAGAAATCAGCCCAACGTAAATCTCAGAGGGGTTGTATCCGACCGGTGTTGGGAGGCCGAGGCGCTGTGTCTCAGGCCGCTTAGTATCTAAGGCAAGGCTGGAGACACGGAGAGATTGCAATGGCCTGTTCTCCTCCACCAAGTAATTGGACCCGGGGTTAAAGCAAACAGGGTATCTCAGGTAGTCGCAGGTGGACGGGTATCTTTAAACTGAAAATGTGTTTGTCGAGAAAGGAAGAAGGCCGAGAGGGGGAGGGCGTGTGATAGTAAAGGTGTCGCAGGCGGCACAAGGCCAGATGTGACATTGGCCTACCTAGTCTAGGAGCTGCGTGCGGACCGTGGCAGAACAGCGCGATTGATGGAGGGAACCAAAGTCGTCACGGGCGGGCGGCGTCTAATGACGTCGTGACCGGGATGAGAGGTGCGGTTGTTTACGAGTTGGTAGCGGGCGGTTCGCCGACGACGGCGTTTGTTGGTGGTTTAAACGTACGTGTCCAAGTCTGGGAAGCCAAACAAAGCAGGCCCAGACGTTGCTGGAGGAAGATGCGGCTGGGATCAAGGAAAATGAAACCACAGGCTTTGTGGGAAGGAGCAGGACGCCGGGCATTTAGCAAAGATGACAGTTGGTCGGCTAAGGCAGGCTGAGGGACCAGGCAGTCAAGTGTGGTGTCCGTCTGTCTGTAGGGTCCCTTGGGTGAGATGAGATAGTCAGCCAAGGCATCGAAGGGCAATTTGGTTCTCATAGGTAGGTGGTAGGTACCTCAGGGAAGAATACCCCGGAATTGGCAGGTGCCTTGAACCTGAGGAAGGCGAGAGATGAAGTAAGAGCAGGTAAACTAAGCTGAGCCGGGAGGTCAAGACACGTACAAATGTAAAGTTCAGAGGCGGCTGAGGCGAATGCACCCATCTACCGAATGCACGCTGTAGACCTCAAGTATGAATGTGCGGTATCAGAGCATCAATCGTGTAGTCAAGCGCGCCTCAGTTCCTGGGCTTGGCTTGTTAGGCCACGGCCGGTGCAGGTTGGGCTGCAAGTCCCCAGCTGCTCGCTATGTAACTTCTGCTAATCGGGGGTCGCCGTTGGCTCATGGTGCAAGCTAAGCTTGGTTTCTACCTAGTGTTGCAAGTCGCATCTTTGGGAGACCACTCGGTTAATTGGTGGATGAGTGGATGGGCGGATGGATGGATGATGATGGCAGGGGGATGGAAGGTCCCAATCGAAACTCGCACTGGCGAGAACGAGACGCCGCGGGGAAGAAACGACGGCCACTAACGCAGACGCAGCATGACCACTTCATGCACGCAGACCTTACATTGCCTTGACGACATACATGCATGTATACATACTTCCAGGCTACTACTGCTGCCAGACCTGGCTTCGTAGAAATAATACCTGCCGGGGGCCACTGCCTTTGTTTCCCCTGTTGTCGGTCTGGACATCATCAGACTTTGGGGGCAATGAATCCTGACCCGTAAGATTCATCGAGGCCATTGCCTCTATCCGGTCTACAACCTCGGCCACCTGACGGGGTATCAAGAGTCACACTATACCCTTCTCCGGACCCTGAAGAGCCGTCGAGTGTCGACATGCCGAGTCCCGCTGCTCATTCCCAGCTGTAAGGGGCCATGTCACACCGAGTAACCAAGACCGGGTCACTCAGATGTCACAGAAATCTTGTGACATGTTAGGGATCACGAACCATTGGTGACACAGAATAGAGAGAGCTGCACCGCAGAACTATGTTTTGCTTTGATGGCCAGTGGAAAGCCGCCCAATCCCCGGTGAGATGCGGTCGACGGCTTGCCCGAGGCAGGGGAGTGGAGGCCGGACGGGAGGGTGGATCGACTTCGGTGCGTGTCGGATGCCACTGGTCGGTGAACTCGCAGAGTCCCCGTCCGAGACCAATTCCCGGGTTGCAGTATGGGACCCGTCTAACAATTGGAAAGAGAGCCCCGCGAGGCCGATAAGACGCCCATGCCCGCACTATACTGATAACGGTAAGCTACCTCACCGAAGACACGCCATGATTGGCTGTCACAATTTTTTCCGCTTCTGCGCTCCACAATTATTTTTTTGTTTTCACCGGGACCAGACCGTCGCATCTTCTTCTCTCCGGTCCAGCAATTCCGGCGTCGCGGGAAGAAGTTCATGCTCACCTCGTCTCTGTCGCTTTCGTCTTGCACAGAAAGCCGATTTTCATCCGACGGTTGCACCTGCATGACATAGCCTCCGGTATGGTGTCGCACTCAATCTCGACATCTCGCCGCCTAGCTAACTGTTCTAGTCGTAGGCAAGCGAGCGAACGAACATGGCTCCTTCAGCGACCAGCACCGAGTGGGATCACCAGTACAACACTCTCCGCCGCGAGAACCTCTTCCGCAACCCCCCAAAGGATCACACGGCATACCCTGCCCTGCAAGAGGCCGTTAGCCCTCACATTGATTCCTTCAATGCCTTGTTCAGGACCGACGGCAAGAGCCTCCTCGCCCGAGGCCTAGAGGACATTGGCACCAAGACCTACCTCGACGGTGACGACAGGGCTGGTCTGGAAGGCAAGAACCGTCTGTCTATTCGCATCAAGAGCGTGGCACTGCAGAAGTCCCAGCTTCCCCCCTCCAATAAGTTCGCTAGAAATCGCGAAGTCCTTCCCGCCGAATGCAGAGAGCGCCACTGCACGTACCGAGGCAGGCTCTCGGCCACTTTTGAGTATAGAATCAATGATGGCGACCCTAAAGAGTTCGTTCGTGAACTTGGACAGGTGCCCATCATGGTGAAGGTAATCAAGGATATGGAGTTCCGCGACTCAACCCGGCGCATGCGGTGCTAACATTATGTCCGCAGTCCAACAGATGTCACTTGGAGGGAAACTCGCCAGCACAATTGGTGCAGAGAAAGGAAGAATCCGAGGAACTGGGCGGTTACTTCATCGTAAACGGTATCGAGAAAATCATTCGAATGTTGCAAGTCAACCGCAGGAACTTCCCCATGGCGATCAATCGACCGAGTTTTCAGAACCGAGGCCAAGGCTACACCCCCTACGGTATCATCCTCCGATCCGTTAGACCCGATGAGACATCTCAGACCAACGTCCTGCACTACTTGAGCGATGGCAACATGACTTTCCGCTTCTCTTGGAGGAAGAACGAGTACCTCGTGCCAGTCATGATGATTCTCAAGTCGCTGGTGGAGACGAACGACCGAGAAATCTTTGAAGGACTCATTGGTCTGTCTGGATCCAAATCGTCCAAGAATACCTTTTTGACCGATCGTGTTGAGCTGCTCCTCCGAACCTACAAATCCTACTGTCTTTACAGTAAGACCGAGACGAGGGCCTACCTGGGCGAAAAGTTCCGCGTGGTATTGGGTGTGCCAGACACCATGTCCAACTACGATGTCGGTACCGAGTTCTTGCGCAAGATTGTCCTCGTACACCTCGGCAACATCAATGTCACCGAGAAGGAGGACAACGACAAGTTCCGGATGCTCCTTTTCATGATTAGGAAGTTGTATGCTCTGGTGGCTGGCGACTGCTCCGTCGACAATCCCGATGCCGTCCAGAACCAGGAGGTCCTACTGGGTGGATTCCTCTATGGTATGATCTTGAAGGAGCGCCTGGAGGAGTTCCTGACCACTGCTGTCCGTCTTTCGCTGCGAGAATGGACCAGGAAACACCCTGCCACGCCTTTCACATCACAAGACTTTGCCAAGGAGTTCCCCGCCAACATCTTCAGACACGCCAACGAGAACCTTGGGAACGGGCTGGAATACTTCCTTTCTACGGGTAATCTGACAAGCCCTTCTGGTCTAGACTTGCAACAAACCGCCGGGTTCACAGTCGTCGCAGAAAAGCTTAATTTCCTGCGTTTCCTCAGTCACTTCCGAATGATTCATAGAGGTGCCTTCTTCGCTGAGCTGAAGACGACGACGGTCAGAAAACTTTTGCCCGAGTCTTGGGGGTTCATGTGCCCTGTACACACCCCCGATGGTGCTCCTTGTGGTTTATTAAATCATTTGGCTCACAAGTGCAAAATCATGACGGAAGCTGTCGATGCCTCCAAGATCCCCGGTCTTGTCGCAGAGCTGGGTGCAGTTGAGACATCTTCCGCCGCGACAGATGAGAGCGTTGTCATTATGCTTGACGGCAGAATTGTTGGCTTCTGCACACCCCGCGAATCTCTGAGAATTGCAGACACTCTCCGCTACTGGAAGGTTGAGGGTACTCATGGTGTGCCTTTGCAACTCGAGGTTGGATACGTTCCCCCTTCCAATGGCGGCTCTTATCCTGGTATTTATCTGGCATCCGCGCCCGCGCGTATGGTCAGGCCCGTCAAGTATCTTCCCCTCGACAAGGAGGATTTCGTTGGCCCTCATGAGCAGCCTTACATGTCCATCGCTGTCGTTGAAGACGAGATTGTGTCTGGAGAGTCTACTCACGTGGAGTTCACACCCACGAACATGCTTTCTATTCTTGCCAACATGACACCGTTCTCGGACTTTAACCAGTCCCCGAGAAACATGTACCAATGTCAGATGGGTAAGCAAACCATGGGAACACCAGCAACCGCTCTGCGATACCGAACGGACAACAAAATGTACCGGCTGCAGAGTGGTCAGACTCCCGTTGTACGATCGCCTCTGCACAACGCTTACGGATTCGACAACTTCCCCAATGGCTTCAACGCTGTTGTGGCGGTCATTTCGTACACTGGTTACGACATGGACGACGCTATGATTCTAAACAAGTCAGCACATGAAAGAGGATTCGGACACGGCACCATCTACAAGACAAAGAAAATCACTCTCAAGGACGAATCAAGGACTCGATCCGTCAAGAACATCTCCAAGCTGTTTGGTTTCGCCCCTGGTGGCTTTGTCAAGGGACACTACCGTGGTCAGCTTGACGAGGATGGTCTGCCCTATGTCGGCCGACTGGTTCAAGAGGGAGATGTTCTCTGCGCATGGCACACAGTGTCAGCCGACTACAGCGGCAAGTTGGTCAACCTCGACGGCCAAACGCATTACGAGAAGTACAAGGATTCGGAGACGGCTTTCGTCGAGGAGGTCCGTGTGATTGGCAGTGAGACGGGCAACGAGCCTGCTCAGACAATCTCCATCAAACTTAGAGTTCCTCGATCGCCCGTCATCGGTGACAAGTTCTCTTCACGTCATGGACAGAAGGGTGTTGCCTCTCAGAAGTGGCCCGCCGTCGATATGCCCTTCTCCGAGTCTGGTATGCAGCCCGATGTTATCATCAATCCGCACGCTTTCCCCTCTCGTATGACTATCGGTATGTTCGTCGAGTCACTTGCCGGAAAGGCAGGTGCTCTTCACGGGCTGGCCCAAGATTCGACACCATTCAAATTCAACGAGGAGAACACTGCTGCCGACTATTTCGGTCACCAGCTGATGAAGGCTGGGTACAACTACCACGGCAACGAGCCCATGTACTCTGGTATTACCGGAGAGGAGCTGGCAGCGGACATCTACGTTGGTGTGGTTTACTACCAGCGTCTGCGTCACATGGTCAACGATAAGTACCAGGTGCGAACAACGGGACCAGTCGTCCCTACTACTGGTCAACCAATCAAGGGCAGGAAGCGTGGTGGTGGTATTCGTGTAGGAGAGATGGAGCGTGACGCGCTGCTCGCTCACGGCACGGCCTTCCTGCTGCAGGACCGTCTGCTCAACTGCTCTGATTACACACGATCCTGGATCTGCCGAAGCTGCGGCTCGTTCCTCTCGGTCCAGCCGACGGTTTCGCCTTTCGTTGGTAAGAAGAAGCAGGTCACGACAGTTCGCTGTAGAAATTGCGCAGTGCCTATTGACGCCGGCGATGCGGAGAGCGCCGCCAAGGTTGAGGGCGAGATATGGGAGGATGGACAGGGTAACCAGTGGGTTGGAGGCGAGAACACCACGGTTGTTGTCGTCCCAGGCGCGCTCAAGTTCCTAGATGTGGAACTAGCGGCTATGGGTGTCAAGCTGAAGTACCGTGTCGACTCTCGCGATGCACCTCGCAAGGGCCCACTGAAGCCCATGTCATCATTACCTTAGATGGATGGCGTTTGATAGAGGAAAGGATGAGGCGCTACCTGGTAATTCAATGGCGATTTGCAATGCAATTATGGATAAAAGCTCAGCACACGACTGCTTCGTGATTTAGATAGATGGACCCCATCGACATCTTCAACCATGGTACGCAATATGTCTTTGATCTTGGTTTCGTCAACAACAGCTGGGACCAAAAGACCGAGATGTTTGGCAAACAGCAATACGGTGCGAGCATAAATGAATGGGTGCCAAGACAGCGTGACATCTGTTTGTACTGGATGCGAGGGCGTTTGCGAGACTCGGTCACTTGCACCACACAAACATTCATGTTGATATCGTACAAACAACGTCGCTGTCCGTGATGTATGGGGCTCAAGCATTGTTTACGACCTGAACCTGGAAATGTACATAGTAGCGTGCTGTGATGCTCACATACACTCGGGCAGCGATACACATGAGGGGTGGCATGGTTCTTCGGGAGTCTGCAGGCAAGCAAGGATACTGGTCGGTGAGCGTTCTTGCGTTCTCGGGTTCCCAAACACTCTGGGTACGACGGGCATCTGCCTTCACTGGTAGGCCAGAGTGTCACCGAGAAGAGGACTCTATGGGAAGAGCAGGCTAAGACTGTTGGGGTTAAGACAAGAGATCCTGCTCCGTTTGAACCCCTCCTTGACGGCCAGTTAAAGTCACCAAGTAGCCTCTCTTATCTTATGGATAGATCCCCTCACATGACTGTTGTGTGGGACGTTGCGCTGTCTTCTTGGCGAACGCCATAGCTTGTACCCTTCAAAGAGTCTCAGCTGAGTTGTCTTAAGCAAGATGCACCTTCTGTAAGAATTGACTCAATGCCAGGCCGTAGCTATGGAAGGCATACCACAGATGGTGGGAACCGTGCCTTTCCATGTCTTCTTAGCACACATATGGGACCCATCATTGCTCTTGCCTGTTACTTGGCAATTTTTAACACTTCGGCGCTTCCTGATTTACTTCTTCTCCAGACACATACCCACTTCTTCTATAAGGAAGCAGCTACAAATAAATCACCTACCTAACGCATACCTCGGATCATCACGGCTATGCAGCGTGCCTCGTGCCCTTTGTTTTGTTTTTCGGTCATTTAAATATTCTCGGTCTCGGCTCCTGTTCTTTTTCCGATACTAGCATCCTCCCCTCCCTCTCGGCCGTCTTTGCTTACACGTCTTTACCTCCCGTCGCACCTGTAATGACGGATTTTGCAGAAGTTAGGACCCGAAGACTTCCTTGATCTCGAACTGAAACCGAAGAATTTCTTGTCTTAATTCTACCTGACTCTCTTCCCGGCAATCGCGTTGCTACAGAAGACGTCCGGTTGGCTTGGACATCCTACCTCATCTCTATTCACTCCCCTCGACCCCAAAGATTGAATACTACATCCAACTTTGACACTTCATCTCACAGTTTTGCGTCCCTACTGGCTGACTTCCGTCAAAGGCGGGTGGCGATGGCGTCTCGAATTGCCCTGTTACTGTCCATACTCGTCGTCGCCACGATCGTATTGGCCTCACCATATTCACCGACATACGATTATGGCTTCGACATGAGGAAGCTATCCAAACGCCAGGCGGAGCAACCCATCATTGTCGCCAAGTTGCCCTCTGTCAACGGTACCGTTCCTGTCCGGCAAGAGATCAGGCAGATGAAACAGAACCCCTTTAAATGGAACCTGTTCCTCCTTGCATCCAGTATGTTACAGTACACGGACCAGGACGAGGAGCTATCGTGGTACCAAATTGCTGGTAAGCGTCTTGATTCAATGCAACTAGACACACTTTTGATCTGTGGCAGGTATTCATGGTGTTCCCTTTGTTCCTTGGAATGGCGTCCCAGGTGTGGCAGGGGGCGAGGACAGAGGCTATTGCACGCACATGTCTGTTCTGTTCCCATCATGGCACCGTCCGTATCTTGCACTGTACGAGGTCAGATATCATCCTGTTCTCGTTGTTGAGTTTGCGTATGTCGTCATAATCACTGACATCATAACAGCAAGTTCTTTTCCGGCTCGTCCAGTTGATTGCCTCGTGGTTCCCAGACCCTACCGAACGTGTCTTATACCAAGCGGCTGCAGACGACTTTCGCATTCCGTACTGGGATTGGGCTACGCCGCCGCCACTGGGGGAAACTACCTACTTGCCCGAATTCGAGGAACCTGGAATCCAAGTGAATGGTCCGAAAGGATGGCAGTTCATTGCAAACCCGCTGTATAGTTACAAGTTCCGACCGCTGGATCCAGACGTTTTTTCTCAAGGCGACGTAAGCCATGGCACCCAGTCAGTATGCGAGCATATCTACTGACAGCACAAGTTCCCGCGTTGGACACAGACTATGAGAGCGCCCTTCGAGACATCAGACAATCACAGCGTTGCACACGCGATTGAGCATGCGAGACCAGCGCTTGAACAACGGCTGTACACAATTTTGTCGAACTACAAGGACTACGGACCTTTCAGCAACAAATACTGGGGCACCGCAACAAACCAATCCCAATATGACTCCATAGAGTCGCTTCACGATGCCATGCATGTCCTGGTTGGCAACCGAGGCCATCTCTTCTATATTCAATATTCGGCATTCGATCCTGTTTTCTTTCTCCACCATACGATGGTAGATAGAATCATTGCAATGTGGCAAGTCCTGTATCCAACGTCATGGGTAACTCCCCAAGTTGCAATGGAACACTCCTTCACAATGCCGCCAGGATACGTTCAGGATATATTTACGGAACTCAAGCCCTTCTACGCAGATACAAACGGCACTTTCTGGAATTCAGCAATGGCAAGAGATATCTTGGCCTTCGGATACTCGTATGCTGAGATCAGCTCTAGTCCTGGGAATGATCTGGCCGAAGACCAGGCGCGCCTCATAGGAATCATCAACCGGCTTTACGGATCTTCTAGCCCCTCAAATTTGGCCCAGGAGCGGGAAAGATCCACTGCGGGGATGGATAAGAGTGCTCTTGCGCAGGCTCCGAAAAGGACTATCCCAAGTAGCCATGTCACGGACTTGTTGACAAATCCAGAACTCGTTGCCAAAGTGGTTACGGAAGATAACGTATACACCGAATGGGTTGCCAACATACATGTCAAGAATGGGGCTCTGAATGGCTCTTTTGTTGTTCATTTCTTCCTCGACGATGCCCCCAAAGACATTAGCTCTTGGACAGCTGCACCAAATTTTGTGGGATCGATGGCGGTATTTGCGATGAAGAACATGGACTCGGGTAGCCATATATCCGGGACTGTTCCTTTGACGTCCGCTTTGATGCACCTGGTATTGACGGGAGCCCTCTCTGGACTTGATCCTAAGGACACTGGGCCTTACCTTGAAGAGCACCTCCGAGTTCGTGTTGTCGGCGAGGATGGAGTTGAGAAATCCGTAAACACCATTGGAAGCCTACACATCCAGGTTGCGAGCTCACAAGTGAGAGCAGCGAGGAACAATTCTGAGCTCCCAAGTTGGGGTCCTGTGGTGGAAAGGTTTGTGTTGCATCGCGGTCAAGGACATCCGTACAAACATGTTATGGGAGGGTAATGAGAGTGAAACCCGGATTTCCGGATATATATATCTACTCAGACATAGAGATGCCTTTTAATGTGTAATGCGCCGCGAGCTCAATCTCGGAGGGTAACACTTTTGATATCTGTTCATCTGTTTGCCGTTGTTTGAGAGAAGTAATTTGAGATTGGAACTTTGAGAGAGCCCATAAGTCGTTTGGAGAAGGTCACGTGAACAATGCTGGTTGGCGTGGCAGAGGCCTGCACCCCCAGGCCACGGTTCCACTTCCAGATACGGGATAGGAACTTTTCCGAAGCTTCAGCCTTCTGTGACCTTGGGATAGTCAGGTTTACGTCCGAGACGCGACAATCTAACACCCAGCCGACCTCTCATCTCAACGAACAACACACGCGACGAATCGACATCGCCGCCGCCGCCAACATGAAGCTCGTCAGGTATGTCAATCATTTCCCACGCTTGCCTTCATACTTGGTGCGAGTGCTGAGCTCTCTCGCTGTCAAGCCCGACGTAACCCAGGCCAGAGGATGAGCTGACATGAATTTCCCACAACCAGATTTTTGATGAAGTGCGCCAACGAGACTGTGACAATTGAGCTCAAGAATGGTTAGCAAACAATATCCCATCTCTTCTGCCTATCAACAACGCAGTGTAGTGCAAGAGATGCTGTCAGTTAGGCATCAGCTAAAGCGTTGGCAATAAACAGGCACCATCGTCCACGGCACCATCACCTCCGTCTCGCCGCAAATGAACACGGCGCTACGCACGGTCAAGATGACGCCCAAGGGTCAGGACGCCGTCTCTCTTGACACGATGAACATCCGCGGCTCGACGATCCGATACTTTATCTTGCCCGACTCGCTGCCGCTAGACACGCTGCTCATCGACGACGCGCCGAAGCCCAAGAACAAGGCGCGCAAGGAGGCCGACCGCGGTACTGGCGTACGCGGCGGCAGGGGCGGTCCCAGGGGAAGGGGAAGGGGCGGCGGACGTGGTCGCGGTCGCGGACGGGGTTAAGTTGGCCAGGGGTTACCTTCGAACAGGATGTGTCATTTCCCGGCACATCCGAGGTTCGACGGGCGCCGAGGAAGTCTGTTATTACGCCTGGGAAAAGTTGACAAGGCCGATGGCTGGAGATGACCTGGAGGGGGGAATTATTGCGGCCCCTCAGATACGACGAAACCCGCAATCACTTTTGGGCCTTGCACTTGTTACCACAAAAAAAAGTACCTTATGCATCAAGACGAACCGGATGCTCTTCAGGCGTTTGGGTAGGGGGAGGTAGGGAAATCAAGAAATCAATTCGAGCATAAAAGAGAGAACTCTAGCAAGTCGGTGGAGGCGACGGATGTCACTCCTGTTCAGGGTAGCTGCATCTGGCATACGCGCGAATAGAAGAAGTCCAGACGAGAAGCCCGAATCAGATTTACATTCCCAATTTATGGATCGTGCCGCCTTTCATCCCTCCACACCCTGATGATCTGCAACTTCTCCCATCCAGCCTTCTTCCCGCTCTCCCCCACCGTGACAGCCCTCCACCCAGCCCCGAACGCCTCGATTCGGGCCTTGACCTCCTCCGGTCTGTTCTGGGCGCACAACAAGATGTAGGCACATCCCCTCTCCGACAACACCCTTGGCATCGTCTCGATCAGCCTGTCCGTAGTCTCCATCCCGTCCCGCCCGCCGGCATACGACAGCGAAAGCAAGTACGAGTCCTCATCAAACGTCGTCTTCTCGCCGTTCGCGACCAGCGCGGCGGACGCCTGTGCAGGGAGTTCGGGGGATGGAACGTAGGGCGGGTTGAAGATCAGCACGTCAACGCTCCGCTCCCTCAGCGGGGCCGTGAGGTCGCCCATCGCGGCACCGAGCCAGGCCGGCGAGGAGGTGGTCGGGTTCTCGGCGCGAGCGCGGAGGACGGTGCAGTCCGTGGCCTTGCAGGCGTGCCCGTTGAGGTCGACGCCCAATGTGAGCACGCAAGCGGTGCCGAAGAGGGTGCGGGCATGCGCAGCGATGAAGGCGATCACGACGCCGGAGCCGGTGCCGATTTCGACGACGAGGGGCGCTGCTGGCGTGGGCAGCGACGAAGCGCCGAAGCGGGAGGTGAGGAACTCTGTCTCGGAGGGGGCGGAGAGCGTGTCCAGGAGGAGGTAAGAGTCCTCTGCCGGCTCGTAGACCCGTTCGAAGGGGACGTGCGATGTGTCCGGCGTGGGGAGCATGGTCGGAACCTAGAATAAGTGTTAGTTCTGTCGTGTTCAATCCCAGTGGGCACTGACTTGCGAGGGTCCTCGGTTTTGGTGAGACTTTCAAGTCCTGGTGCACCCCTACGCTGGGTGGTATCTTGATTGGTTCACTCTCGGGGCGCGCTATGCCTTATACCAACGAGCCGGCAGTCAAATCTGTCGACCTTCTAGATGAATTTAGGGGTTGATGCGTGGGAGTTACCTAGCAGGTTGAAAAGCGATTGAGACTCAAATTCTCAGAGGCGTGCATTCTGATGAAATGTGGGGTTTGCCAACAAACATCATCAACCAAGATCAAACTCACCCAGGACCAAGATACGGTCGGGCACGCATCACACAGTCACATACGGAAGACTATTCATGTGTTGGAGGTAGCATCAAACCATCTTTTCATCAAGTATTAGATTTTAATGATTACATATCTACTGTTACTTGCCTGATATGTAACAGCATCATCATCAGAGATGGCCAAGCCTAGTCAATGATGCCGTTGGGCAAGAAACTGACATAGTCCAATGGCGCTACCTCGGGGCCGTCGGGCGTTCCGACAATCTTCAGAGTGTCGCCCTTGGTGACCTTGACGCCGGGAAAGTTGATGCGGATGGCCGAGTGCCCATCCAGGAACTCGGACGGCCAATGGCCTAGTTTCTCTTCACTGTTACCCCTCCACTGACCGATGACCTTGTCGTTGATGTAGGCGACGTACGAACACTTGCCACGAATGACATCAAAGTAGTTAACGGCGAGCGTGTACGTGCCGGTCTCGAAACCGATAACCGTCGAGGCTGTTCCCGCCGTCGTGTTGGAGGTCGTCACGATGGCTTTGTACCCAGACGCTGCCTCAAAGGGGTCGACGTTGACGACCTTGTACCCCTCGAGGTTCATGTGCTCGGCTTCGATCCGGTACTTGTAGTTGCCCACGCGACCAGCCTCGTCGGGAATACCCGACATGTTCCAGTAGAAATTGTTGATGGAGTCACGCCAGACGAGCGAGTGGCCGGCCTGATACTGCAGCTTGAAGAGCACGTGCTCGTACCGCTCCTCGTCGATGAGACCCTGAAGGGACTCCCATTGCGGCACGAACGTCTGGGTCGTCGCCGATCCTTCGTAATGCGCGTCGTAGAAGTGCTGAATGACGGTTTTGCCGCTCTTCAGCACGTGCGTGTAAGGCACGTGGTGGAACCACAACAGGAGGTCATCGGGGGTCGTCTCGATCTCCTCATAAATGGCCGCCACCTCGGGAGGGTACATTCCCGCATTACCAGTGCCGTTCTTCACAGTACGGTCCATGCCAATGCTGTTGCCATCAGCGCGGGTCCACTGACCCCAGCTGTTGCCGTCTTGGCTTCTCGGGCTGCGTTTGAAATCAGTCTCATGGACGACGTACGAGGGGGGCAAAGGGGGTGTTTACCTAGGACCGTAGTGGGCGTAAAGAATGTCGGTTAGGGTTTGGATGCCAAGGTTACCGCTGTAGTTCTCGTAGGCGGGCCAGCTCTCCATGGACATGCTGGTGATAGTGTCGACGACCTTGCGGTTGAGGCCAAAGGTCAAGCGCGACCAGTCCTGAACAATGGCAACAACATCATCTGTGGGGTTCCACGCCAGTCTGCCGTAAGCGTAGAGGTTGGACATGGCGAGATGGCTTCCGAGCCAGGTCGAGTTGGCGCCGACGTTGATGACGCCAGCGTAGCCACCAAGAGGCCGGTCGAGGCGCTTGCCGGACAGAATGTCGCGGACAGGAGAAGGCTGGCCGTCAATCCTCAGGTCAAAGTCAAGGATTGTCTTCCAGAGAGGAGGAAGGTAGACCAAATGGTCCTGCTGGCCGAGATACTCTTGAGAGATCTGCAGCTCAATAGCCATGCTGGTCTCTTTGAGATTTGCGAAAAGGGGTGACACGGGCTCCCTGACCTGAAAGTCGATGGCGCCATACTTGATCTGAACGATGACGTTGTCATCGAACTGGCCGTCGAGGTGCTTGAAGAACTCTACCTGGGCGTTGGCGCGGTCAGCGTGCCAGTCAGACTCGTTCAGGGTGAGGTGGTCGTAAACGAAGGCTCTGAACATGACGATGCCCCTCTTGGAGCCGTGGTTCTTGAGTTCTCTGGCGAAGAGATTGGCGCCATCAGCAAGCGTCCTGTTGTAAGTCAGGGGACCGGGCTGGCCCTCGGAGTTAGCCTTGACGAGGTAACCGGCCATGTCAGGGATGCGAGCATAGAGCTCGTCCGTGATGCGGCCCCACCAGGCAATCACTGCATCGTCGAGGGGGTCGAATGTCGAGAGCCCACCGAAAGTCTGGGGCGAGGCGAAATTGAGTGAGATACCGACTTGGACACCCCAGGGACGGAAAGCATCAGCGATCCTCTTCAGCCCATCCATGTTATCTGGGGAGAGAAGAATGGGGTTGGCGTTGACGTTGTTAACGATGATTCCGTTAATGCGAGCTGAAGCCAACAAGCGGCCGTATTGGGAGATGCGGGTCATGTCGGTGACGACCTTGAGGTTCTCGAAGAAGATGGAGACACCTCCGTACTATTCAAGTCAGACGTAAGTCCCATCAAAGGAATGTCGAGGGAGAGGATGTAACTTACACCGCGCTCAATACTGCCGTGAGTTCCCGTGCCGTCCATATTGTCCCACTGGTTTGCCCATCGGACGGGAGCAGAAGGGTTGGTCGCGTAGGTAGTTTCGGTGAAGTTTCCCTGCGCCAACAAGCTTAGGTACTCGAAGGCGCCGTAGAGAGTGCCCCTCTCGTTCTGACCCAAGATCTTGACAGCACCACCCTTGATACTTAGCCAGAAGCCATCTTCAATGAGGTCAGCCTCGACCCCTTCACTTCCACAGGCTGCGATGTAGTCGTCGAGAGTGGCAACGACGACAGAAGAGTCAGCGCAAGCGTCTTCGCCGAGCGAGACCTCCTTGCCGAAAATGCCGTGGTAGCCCTTTGTCAACTCGGACAAGGCAGATGAGATCGGGCCGTTCTCAGTAGCATTGAGACCGACAATGGTGGAGGGCAAGGAATCAGCGACGCCGGCGGACTTGCAGTCGGGCAGCCTGGCATATCGTAACCAGCCTGCGAGGCCGTCCTCGGCGATGACAAGGCCGAGGGACGCAATCAGAAGAAGTTTCCACATGATTTCGCTACTGGTGGAAAGAGGTGCTGCTGGCAAGAATAACCAGTTACAGAAGCACTTGCTTCTCAACACGCTCCAAGGTAGGATCGGAAGGGAACCGGCTTATAAAAAAGAAAATCACCTCACCACACGCCCTGAGGCAGATGTGGTACCCAGATCTGCGGAAGCCGCAGCAATGGGAAATTCTTCCACGACTCAGACTTTGTTGGTTCCCATCCCGAGATCACTCATGAGAACGCCTTCAGGGCAGAGGGCTGGTAGCGACGATGGAGCCGTCGCATTCAGGCTAAAAGTGTGCTCGACATATTCAGCCATGGCTTGGGTGTGGGGAGGAGTGAGAGTACGGATTCCACACAGGCACATAGTGAAGATTAGACTCCAACCCAATCTGCGTGCGAGCATCTCCAGATGGGACCCATCGGGGTTGTGACCCTTCATTGCCCAGTCTAAACGACCTCAGTGCGGAGAGATTGGCACTTGCGAAGGGAAACAGGAACGGGAAGAGAGAGCAGCTCGAATTCCTGCAAGAGGAGATAATCTGCCGAACCAGGGGCAATGGGAATTGCTTGCTTGAACCCCGGCTATAATCAATTGCAGAAGGCAAGACAGAGGCGAAGCTGGCTGACTGTCTGACTGTCTGTCTATGCATGCCTAATCACCCAGTGAGTAAGCTTCAGGTGCAGGCAGCTTGGGCGTGAATGGCAAGAACGGGCAATGTAAACAAATTGGCGGGAAAAGGGAAGAGGAAAAAAACCAAGGCAAATGACAAGACTTCCCCGCACGGGGAAAATAGAAAAGCGTGGGGTGAGTGGGCAAAAAAGCTGGTGGCAAGTGCGGAGCAGCACGCGAAGAAAAGACAAGACGGAATTGACATTCACACAGCTTCGGCTTCGGTCGAGTATTCTTGCGGAGAGCACCTAAGAAGGTAGCTTAGTCTTTTCTCCCTTCCCCTCGCTTTCCTCCTGTCCTCATCACATAGATGATTGGATTCTGGGATTCGTGTATCACTTTTTCGGCCTTGTAATTCCACTCTCTGCTCTGCCGCACAACCTTGGATTGCGTACGACTCGAGTTCCGAGAAGTTGAGAGACCCCAGGACTGGCGCTCCATCACAAGGTACAGTCTGTTGCGTTGGCAGCGTCTAAAACCTATTTTTTAGTCTGTGCGTTAGAAACACTATTATAACCACCCTAGTTAGGGTCACGTAGGGGGGTTACCCTGCTAGGTGGCTACTTACCTATAGATTTGTAGATTTTTGCGTAGATACTATAGTGTAAATAGCCTTAATTGATAAGCTTGTTACTGTTATTATTGCTACTGTTATTAAATAATAGTGCTAAAGAAGGGGGTTATTACCCCTAGTAGTAAAGAGGTATTACTAGCGCTGCTAGCTAACAGTACTTAAGCCTGTAAGGCTGCTTGTAAAGGATTATTACGTGTAGTAATTAAGCGCCCTATAGTAATAGCACTAGCACTAGTAGTAAAGTTAATAAAATTAATAATAATTATTAAGACGCTAAAAAAATTAGTAGCAGCTGTAGTAGTAGTAAAAAAGTTAGTAGTAGTAAAGAAGTTAGTAGTAGTTATAGTAGTAGTAAAGAAGTTAATAATAACTATTAAAACGCTATAAAAGTTACTAGTAACCTAAGTAACTATTAATAATAAAAAAAAAGAAGTTAGTAATAGTATTAATAATAATAGTAATAAGCCTACTTATAATAATAAAAAGCCTATATAATAGGTACTATTTAAACTAAATTTATTTAATACCTTATTATAAACTTTATTACTATTACTATAGTAATAGTAAGTAGCTATTATAGTAGCTACTTTACTACTAACTAATATAATAATATACTTTACCCTTAACCTCTAATTTAATAGCGTTAAATTTATACTATAAGTCTAGCCTTTTTAGATAGTATAGTAATTAATAAGTTAGTTAACAGTAAGTATAATAATTAGGTTAAGGTAAAAGAAGTAAATCTTAAAGGATATAAAGGATTACTTTTAAAGGTAACTTACTAAGTAATACTAGCTTTTAAAGTTATAAATAATAGTAAAGTTTAGTAAAAAGCGTTATACTATATAGGGGGTTAATAATATTTACTATAGTAATAACTTTAGTAAAGTAGATAGGAAATAGCTAACTTTACTATAGTCTAAATTTAGCTAATAACTAAGTGACCTTAGCTATAAGACTTAAGAGATCTTCTTTAGTATAGATCTTATATACTCTACTAGTTTAGTTATATTAGTATTTAGTATACTATAATCTGCTATAAAGTTAAAAAGTAAGTAACCTAACTGCAGTAAGTAACCTAACTATAGTAAGCTAATTAACTATAGTAAGCTAATTAACTATAGTAAGCTAATTAACTATAGTAAGCTAATTAACTATAGTAAGTAACTAGATTATAGTAGCTAACTGTTATATATTAATTTAAGAAAAATAGTAATAAATTTAATAAGGGATAAAATTAACTAAGAGAAAAATATAAAGAGGGATTTATAGTATAATTTAATAAAGTATTATAAGTATATAGATTATATAAGTTACTATAATAATATAAGGGTAGGTAATAGTACTAACTAGTGTTTAGTTATTACTAAAGTCTACTATAAGTTACTTACTTATAATCTTAAAGCCTAGTAAGATATAATACTTTATTATAAGGTAAATATAACTTTAAAAGATCTACTGCTAGGCCTTATAGTTATAGTTACCTAGTGGCTAGTAAAAAAAGATAATACGCCTATATAGAGTAAAGTTATAAGTAATTTACCCTCTATAGTAGGATTTAAAGGAGGTAAAAATCCTACTAGTAGGCCTTCTCTACTAACTATAAATAACTTTACTAGTAACGTAGTAGTTAATTTATCCTTTAGTAGTAGAGAAGTTAGCCTTTTTATATAGCAGTAGTATTAATTACCTCTATAATAGTAGCTATCTCTAATCTAATAGTATTATTATATACCTATTACTTTATTAATTAACCTATTACTAGTGTATTTAGTAAGAGAGACTAAAGTGCTATTATTATTACCCCTATAACCTAGAGAGTAGTTACTTATAGCGTAGTTACTAGAGGTATAAGATTTTATAGGCTGGTTTTTTAAAGTTAAAGGGTAATAATAAGGCTGTAAAGGCGGTACTAACGCGGCCCTTTAATAACTATAGAGCTCTTTATTAAGCCTAGTAGTTATCTAGTGTATACTAAAAGAGTAGTATAAAGAAAAGGGTATACCTAAATCCCTTATTAGCACTATATAAAGGTTAATAAAGACTTTTTTACTTATATAGTAGTACTATAAGCGTAGTAGATATAACTTTACTAGCTCTAACTAATAGTATAAATTACTATATATTACTAATAAAGTTAATAAAGTTAATAAAGTTAATAAAGTTAATAAGGTTAATAAGCGGCCTGTTATAAATACTATAACTAATAAGATAGGTGACCTTAAGAAGGGCAGATTTAGTTAGTTAAATTAAATCTAGTGGTTATAACTATACTAACCTCTAGGTAGTAGATAGTCTCTTTATCTTCTCCCCTATACGACTAGGTAATTTATCCTTACTAATTATTTATATAAGTTAACGCTTTCCTAACTTTATAATACGTAATAAGCTAGATAACTTTAGCCTTAATAAGTTATATAGTAGTAAAGCTAATAACCTAATATATATAGCTAATAATAGGTTATTAACAGATTTATATAAAAGTAATAGAGATAAAGAGTAATATAATAAGGCTAATAAAGAGTAAGGTAGTAAAAGTAAATAGGTAGTTACTATAGTTAGATTTCTTTACTATCTATTAATATTTATTTTTTTCTTTTATTACTACTTTAATAATAGCACTTTCTCTACTAGTTATAAAGACACCTTTAATATTACTACTATCTTTATTAATTAATATATTATTAAATAACCCTTATATACTATTAAAGTTAATAAATAAGTAATAAAAATAGCCTTTTATCTGTTTTATATTATAACTAACCTCTACTATATAATTATAAAGTAGCTTATTAAAGTTATATAAATCCTCTTTATCTCTGTTCTATTCTAAGTACTGCTTATAAAGGAGCTTCTTAAGGTTACTAAATACCTCCTTAATAGGGTTAAAGTTAGGTAAGTATAGTAGTAAATATAATAGTTATACGCTAGCTAAATTATATACTTTTTAAATATCTTATTAGTAGTAGAAGCTAGTATTATTTATAATAATAACTAACTTTATAGTAAGAAAGGCACTACACTTAGGTAAAACCTTATCTTAAATCTACACTATAAACCTATTACTATTTATTATACCTAGGTATATTAATATATTAAAGATACTATTTATAGTAAGGGTAGAAAAGATTTAGTATTACTGCTTGCGTTTAAGCTTATCTTTTTAATATAGTAATAGTTTTTTTAGCACCTAACCTATTCTCTATATACCTATATATTTATTAACACCTAACTTATTAATAAATACTAATTACTTTAGGTAGTATTTATAAATAGTGTATATCTAGTTATACTATAGTACTTTATCCCTCTAGGTAGTAATAATATAAATAGACTTTAACGTCTACCTAGCTATATAAAGCTACTAACTAATTATTAACTTATAAACCTCTATATTAAATTACTTATAGAGGAAATCCTATATTTCTTTAAGGCTAAGGTTATTATAGTAGGTAAAAAGCTCTAATAACTTATATAGTTACTATACTTCTAACTTTATTTAGCTTTACTAACTAGTAAGATAAATTACTACTTAGCTAGTTATTTTATAATAATAACGTTATTACTAGACTATATAAGCAGTATAGCCTAGCTACTTAGTGATCTTTTTATCTATTTTCTTAAATAACTTAAGGATTTATACTATTTTCCTTTACTTATCCTTATTTAACCTTAGCGCTATTATATTTATTTAATATAGTATTTATTTAGTAAGGGATAGTAGTAGTAGGTAATAGCGATAGGGTTATTATAGACTTTACTCTCTTTATATGTATATTACTCCTATAACTTTATTAACTTAGCCTCCTGTTTAAAAGGCGTGCTCTTATAGACTGTTATAATAGGAGATAAACCTATCTGTAAGGCAAGTGTTAAAGAGATAATTAGATATGCGGCTAACAAGTGGCTTTATATAGGTCTGAATCCCCTTATTATTGTTGTTGTCGCTAGTATGCGCGACTTTAAGTTGTTACGACTATCTAATGTTAGGCAATGTTGATTTTGGATCCTGTCAGCCAAAAAACGCGAATTTGCATGGGGTTGTATTTATGTGGCGCGGGTGCACGGACTGAAAAATAGGTTTTGGACGCTGCCAACGCAACAGACTGTAGACCTCGGTTGGGCATACCCCGACCCCGAGGCTCCAAGCCATAGATCCATCATCGACTCCATCGACTCCATCGTTGGAGCCCTCTCCAACCCGGTTGTCGCCAGACACCCTGATTTGTTAATATCTCAATAGCGAATCCTCATCGCGCCTTGGCCCTGGCTAATTAACCGTTAGTTCTCTCATTCATCCGCATGCTTCCCATGTGGGGGCACCCACCTTCGCTCACTTACAATATGGCTTCATCCTCACATGACAGCGCAGCAAGACACTTCAACCCCGGCGTCCTGTTTGCTTGGCCCTGTCCCAAACTTGACGCCGTGTGTGATCTTCTTGATTACCCGCATCTGGTTGCGGTCGTAGAGCCCGTACAAATCGTGCGTCGGACACGGACGGTGTTCCGCCTTTTGGAGCCGAAGAGGCTGCTTTGCAATGCCGTTGCCAAATTGTCCACATGTCGTGTAGCCCATACCCGGACCACAGGGGAAAGCGACCTGGCCCCAGATGCATTTACACTTGACGTGTTGGTAGATGAAGACTTCGCACATTTTTCTTCCTTGCCTGAATTCGGCGTACGAGTCAAATGTTTTTTTTTTTTGGAGAAAATAAGCTCTTCGGTTGCCGGCTAGATTTGGTTGTACAGGGAAAGGCGAGGAGGTGGTTAGTGAATGATATTGAGTCGGTGTTAACTCTATTGAATGAGAAGTGAAAGATTCTAATTCGATTTGGTTTTGGCCTGGCCGAGTGTCACAAAACGCATGCATAAACCCACGCTGCTGCCAGCGCCGCTCATCAGGTACCGTCCCGTATCGGTATTCCATGAATGTTTTCTAAGCGTATCGACAGTGCAGGGCGCCAGATCTCAGCCCAAAACTTAAATCAACACACCCTCGCAAAGACGAGTTGTCACGCTATTTCGGTGACTGGGTCAAAGACATATCGCCATCACGAAGAGTGCCGCTCCCCCCGGTGCCAAAGTTGTTGTCAGAATAGTCCCCCGATTCCACCAATCGTGCCAAGAGATTCTCAATCCTCTGGGTCGTCAGTTCGAGCGCTTCAAGCCTGCTGCTAACGTCATGCATATCCTCGCTACCTGTAAAAGACCTGCGCAACTTGGACGAGACACCTGGGAACATAGAATCTCTCCTATGAGGTGACTTTTTCCGCATCGTGGCGTCCGTAACGGACCTTGTGAATTGCCGCCGGATCAGGTGGTGGGTGAGCTCGTCGTCCACTGCAATCTCCTCCTCTACGGACTCGGGTGGCGGCAGGTCAAACACGGCTCTGATGTCGCGATGGGCTGTTATACGCCACTTTTCCCAGAACCACTGCTTGACCCTCGGGTACAAGGTCAGACCATCCGACTTTGGCTTTTCTGGCTGCGGCGGCGGCCAAAGAAGTCTGCGTTCGGCCACGGCGATGATGAGTAGAAGCGGAAGGTTGACCAGCCTGACGCTCGCTACATGTATCTTATGGAACCATCGCGGAGTAAAGATGAATTTAAGAGGGATGAGAACGAACACTGCCAGGATGTTGAAGGGAGGTTGGTACGCGAATATTGCATCGCCCTTGACCCCCTCCAGTGTCAAGACGGCCTTGCGGAATTGGATTTCAGCAGTGGCGTTCTTAACAATGGTGCTGAAGGTATTGGACAACATCGATACAAGGATGGTGAGGAACAAAGTGTTGCCCAAGAAGGCGAAAGCCACCATCAGTACAGGGCCTAAGATTGGGTGGAACATAACCTGCAAGAGTTCATTGGAGTTAGGGCCACACTTGACAGTTCACTGATGCGTAGCTTACCGATTCATTGATTCCTGTTCCGTCAAGACCGAACCATATCCACAGCATCCACTTACTGATAGTACTATGACTTCTGTCAGTAATCTTGGGTTGCAGGTTTCTTCCAGGACGGCCTTACACTGGAGGGTGGGTGCCTTCGCCAAGCCAAAGGAGAGACAGGAGAAACCCGCCAAAGCACCACGCCGACAAGAACGTCAGGAGAACAAAGTCCGACATCATGGAGCGTAGTGAGAGGAACACGAGGTTGTCCGATAACAAGTTAAAGGCTAGCCGCGGGACCAATACCGATGCACCCATTGCGAGTACGTCGAGTGCCTGTTGCTTAGGGACAAGCTCACCAACACGCGCACCATGTATGCGGAGAACCGCATACACGATATATATGCCGATGAAGCCTACATCAAGGAAGGACCACAGGTTTTGCGTGTACACGTGCCTGTAAAAGTCAGCACCACTGGCATTTTTGAAGGGGGTATTGGTGCTCATACCACCCATGCTCCAAAATTGTCGCAAACTGATCAAGAGACCAACCAAAGGCATAAATGGCGAAGCAGCCTTCCAGAACAGTGAATGTTTCTGGTTTGCGTTCGGCCATAACGAAGAGATAAAGAGCGAGTAGGATCAAGAACTGGAAAACCTCTAGAACGTTCCGCGTACGGGGTACAAGAAGCCGGTACTGGTCAAGCAGTGGGCCCTCGCGGGGGTTATACAGCGATATGGGCTTAAGCTTGTAGTGATCCGGAATGATATCCATGAAGCTGGAAGGGGTGTAAACAATACGGCCTTTGTAAATAGCGTCGACACTGGAGACTGTTCAGCATTTCCTCAAAGCTTTTGTCTGGAAGAGAGATACCCACACTTTCTGGCAGGGGGTGGTACTGAGGAAGTATTTGCTCTCAGTCAAGATGGCAATCTCGAGCGAGGGAAGCATGCGATTATAGCTCCTATATGTCTCTGTTGATGCCGCCTCACGAATCCCGGCCGGAGCCATCTGAAAGGGCTCAAAGCCAGCAACCAGAATGTGTGCGAGGAGCACCAAGCCGTCGGGCCCTTCATTGTCTTCGCTGAAGCGTCTTAGGATACGTGTTGCCACCAGCTCACAAAGCACTGCGCGACTGTAGTTGACATTTTGCCGGTTGTTCAGGTGAGATTGTTCATACAGAAATTGAGCGCGATTGACAAGCAAGCAATAAACTAGCAAGCGAGTGTCAGCTTGAGCACTTCCACCACAGCGTCCCTACCGCCGCTTGCACCTGCGGTGTTGATCTTGACTTCTGCGAAGCACATGATGTCGTTGATTCAAAGAGGGAAGTCTGCACATACCGATAGATATATCGTCAAGCCCATACAACTTGTCGACAAGCGGGCGGACCACAGCGATGTTGATTCTTACATCACGCAGCTGCTCCAAACTCAGGTGATCTTCGACAATGGAGGTGATATCTCGTCGGATGCGGTGGATGTTTGTGTAGACTGGCAAATGGCTGTGAGGGTTGGGCATGCAGCCGTAGAGCGGGACTTGAATCTCAGAGCTGTGGCTGGGGCGGTCCCGTTGCAGGAGCGGTCGTTCTTCCGGGAGCTGGAGGCGCGTCCGCCGGCTGCGTTCCGACATAGTACAGCCTTGTTGCTATGCCAGTTGTGGAGCTAAGATAGGATAGTTATGCAGGGGGGGCGTGATGCGGTATGTGACCAAAGCTAAGGCTTGCGGCCAGCTAAGGCAGTTGATGTGCGGATAAAGGTGATTTTGTACGTAATATTTGGACCGTAGGGAGTTTGACAAGAGAGGTTGAAGGTGTTTGTGACAAGACCAGGCGAGACCCCAAAGTCGTCAGGAATGAACTAGGAAAGGGGTGCCCCCACGCTGGCCACAATCCGGAGTGAATGTTTGGTTGCTAGATAACCAAGGAGGGATGTTAACAAATGCGCATGAATTAGCAATGTCAGATGTCCGGTTTCTTGGAGGGATCTGCAGTAGGGCCACGGCGAGACCCGGTGCGTGTCGCTGCCTGGGAAGCAGAAAACAGAGCGACAGAGAAACAGAGAACCGAGTGGGTAAGAGAGTGTGTGGAAGAGAGTAAAGTTGATACAGATATTCGTAGATAGGACAGGATGGACGTGGATCAAGCGGGACAGGGGCGTTTGGGCTCCACGTCGTGAAGGGACGCTAAATAAGAAGGCCGTCTGTGGTATAGGTAATGCAAGCAAGCTTGAAGCCCAACTAGGTGGTCCAGGGTAAGGTAATATGGCCAAGGTTATCCGTGAAATCATGTGGAATGCATGTGCTGCTTGGTCGAATTAGCAGTCACGGGGTGAATCGAGGATGCCGGCAGCAGCAGCAGTAGCAGCAGTAGCAGCGACGCGCGACGACACGCTGGACGTCGAGGCTGTCTGTTTGGTAACGGCACGACGGATAATTGGAGCAACGGTAGTGAAAGGGAAAGGGAACCGGGAGCATTGGTTCTGGATTCTGGCGACAGAACTGGCTCAATCATCGAAATCGATGGACTCTCGTTTTGTCCGGTCTGGACTTTCATGAATGACGACATGGATGCCACGCAAATCCCCGTTGTGCTCGGACTGTCTTGTCTGCCTGAGCTGTGCAAAGCTTAGGTTACCCAGAATGCGGCGTACACTACAGCGGCGGTGCAGAACCCTACTTCGTACCTTGTGTCCAGGGTCTCCCTCTCGGTGGTGGGGTCATCCCACCATGTGTCCTACCACAAGAGAAAGCTATCGATCTAGGCTGCTCTATGCAGCACTTTTCTTCAGCCAAGGAGAAAAGAGCATGGCAGACCTTGCAGTCAGCGAACCCAGCATTTTTATCTGACAGAGCTGAGTTGGTGGCCGCCATCACTACCTGCCTACCTACCTTAGCTGGCTTCATCCAATGTGCCTCCTATCGGTTCCACTTTTAGCATGCGCGAGCCGCCGCTGAGGCACAGCCACGCGCAGTGTCGTCCATCCGAACAGTCCTCCTGGTAGGTACCTCTACTAGGTACGTATGTCTTGCTATAATCTTGCGGTGAACGAGAGTGGGGCTACGCAGGCGGTCACCTTCACGTGTTACCGCGCGCCCTCGGAGCAGAGAAACGCCGGAGCGGGAGCATGAACCGGCCCAACAGGCAGGCTGGCTCGTCAACCCACCACCGTTCAGCATCACTTACTCGCCGCTTCAAAGCTTGGCCGTGGAAAATTCTGGTTCTTCTTTCATTTTAGGTCAGGTATGGTAAGCTACGAGTTTCATCATCGATGCCTCCATTCATCCATCCGTTGCGTCTTTTCTTTACGCCTTACGTGTCTCATCAGTCTTTGCATCCTCAGTCCACGTTAAGCGTTCCTAAAGATACTGTTGGGCTCAGGCTTTTTTGCACCGTCTCGTCATAATGGCTAATACACTCTACAGGTTGACAGACTTGCGGAAGTTGTCACCGGCGTAGATGGCGTTCTCGCCAAGCTCCTCCTCGATGCGGAGGATCTGGTTGAGCTTGGCAAGACGCTCGGAACGAGCCGGGGCACCAGTCTTGATCTGGCCAGCCCGGATACCGACGACAATGTCCGAGATGGTAACGTCCTCAGTCTCACCGGAGCGGTGAGAGACCATGACGCCCCAGCCGTCGGCGTATGAGTCCTTGGCGGCCTGGATGGACTCGGTAAGGGTACCGATCTGGTTGACCTTGAGGAGCAGGGCGTTGGCAGCCTTCAGCTCAATGGCCTTCTTGATGCGCAGGGGGTTGGTGACGGTCAAGTCATCACCAACGATCTGGATGTCTTGGGTCTTGTAGAAGTAACTCCAGGCCTCCCAGTCGTCTTCGGCGAAGGGGTCCTCAATGGAGACAATGGGGTACTTCTTGCAGAGGTCCGAGTACTGCTTAGCAAGCTCCTCGTAGGTAATCCACTTGGTGGGGTCGCTGTCGGGGTTCTTGAAGTCGAGGTCGTACTTCTTGGCGTCCTCCTTGTAGAACTCGCTGGAGGCAACGTCCATGGCAATGTTCATCTTGCCGGTGTAGCCAGCCTGCTCAATGGCATCGGTGATGAGCTCAAGGGCCTCCTCGGCAGTCTGGATATCGGGGGCAACACCACCCTCGTCACCGACGTTGCCGGCGGACTGGCCATACCGCTTCTTGGCCAGGCCCTTCAGGGCCTGGTAGACCTCAGCACCCTGGCGGAGGGCCTCGGAGAAGGAGGGAGCAGCACTGGACAAGTGTTAGTTGACGTGACGAGAGACCAGCCTGCAGTGCAGCTCAAAACGAAAACAACTTACGAAGGAACGATCATGAACTCCTGGAAAGCAAGACGGCCACCGGCGTGGGAACTGTAGAGCCTATGTCAGTACGTCTTATCGGAACTGGTGTGGGACATGCTCACCCTCCGTTGAGGACGTTCATGAAGGGTACGGGCAGGACGTAGGGCTTCTTGGTGCCGGCCAAGTCGGAGACGTGAGCGTAGAGGGGAACACCCTAGGGGCGGTCAGCTTGAGAGGAACTCGAAAAATGCATCTCACGGGGGGCTAACCTTCTCAGCAGCACCGGCCTTGGCGACGGCCAAACTGACACCCAGAATGGCGTTGGCTCCCAGCTTGGTCTTGTTAGGGGTACCGTCGAGATCGATGAGGAACTTGTCGACTTTGGTCTGGTCCTTGACGTCAAGGTTCTCCTTGATCAGGGCAGGAGCAATAACGGAGTTGACGTTCTCGACAGCCTTGGTGACACCCTTGCCACCCCACTTGGACTTGTCGCCATCGCGGAGCTCGCAAGCCTCGTGCTGGCCTATGGAATAGACATCATCAGCCTTGTGTCACTTGCCATCTCTTGACGGGGTTAGGACGACGTACCAGTGGAGGCACCGGAGGGGACAATGGCGCGGTGAAGGCCAGTCTCGGTGACAACGTCAACCTCGACGGTGGGGTTGCCACGAGAGTCGTAGACGTAGCGAGCGTGGATCTTGGTGATGGCCATGATGTCTCGTTGTATGATGGAGTTGTTCCTAACGGAAGAAGGGAGAAGATGTCAGTGGAGGTCGTTGGGGGGGGGAGAAGGCTTTATATTGGCAGAAGGCAAGAAGAGGGATAAGTGGGTGAGTCAACAATGTGATAGGACCGATTGGGGGAGATTGCTAGGTAAGCTTGCGAGGACTCGCTCCTCGACCGGACAGAAAGAATTGCCTCAAGGTGGGATGGCATGGTGGGGTGATTCCCGCGCAAGCTTCCAGAGCTCCCAGCTGCTTTGGCAACCCATGGCCAGTTGCAGTGGAGAACCGTATGATGAAGACGACTTACTTGTGGGGTTTGAATGATGGAATCAGAAGATATCCTCAGCAATTGTTTGCGTGTTGGAAAATGAAGTTAGAATGATGGAGGAGAAGTGACGGTGACAGACGAGGAGGGGAAAAAGACAAGGCCAGACGGTGGGAGTATGTGTTTTGGAGGGGTCTTTTCCCTTGCCCAACCCCACCCGAGGTGAGGACCGTGAGGTACCTAGCTGAGGTGGTATCATAGCCACTTGTTACTTAAGTTAGGTGCCCCGGTACGCCTGTTGTTGCTCGCACCTTCCAATCTTTGGTGGGGTAGACATCCAGAGGCGCCATCCAATCGCTCTTTCTCGAGGCGAGGCGGGGCATCTGCCCTGTTAGAGCGCTACATGGATGCCAAGCTCCAAACAAGCCAAGAATATCACAAAACAGCTTCGTTTCAAAGTACTTGTCTTAGCACCGCCTCATCCACGACAAAAGCTGGACGAGCTATGTCCCGCGGTCTTGGTGAGGGCCACCGCTTCTCAACAAACCGAGCAATGAAAATACTGCCCTTGCGACACTGGGTCAAATTCAGACACACATTGCTGTCGTTGCCTCTCTTCATTGGGCCGCTCATCTATTTTCGCACTCCCAGTCCGAGACTTTTGACTCTCCCCCGTATGATTCAGGTCGAAACCCTCGGCCCTGGGCAAAACAAACGCCGTTGCCATGTCTTGACTGTTTGCTTTCTTTTTAGGTCATATCCTAATGTGATTGGCCAGCCACACCGGCCTACTTTCACGCAACGACTCTCCAACCACTGTCCGTTGACGGGTTCGAGTGGACTCTGGCTGGGCTAAATGCGTCAAAGTGCGTCCTCGACAATCTACAAGTCCCGACGTCCCGATATTGAAGAACGGTTTTTCCCCTGCACCCCGGTCAAACGACGAACTGCTCATTGGCAATTGAGATCAGAGAATGACATTTTTACCCCACTAGAGGTATGGGAGAAGCAGCCCGTCATGGATTATCCCGAGGATGTTACTCGGAATAGCCAGGTGCTAATGCGGTTCTTCCCGATCATGGATCCCGACCCCGTCACCCCGTCCAGCAAAGCCGGGGTAGAATTAAGGCTGGCAAGTCATTCTGTATGTAGCAGAGTGCCATGTAGCTCTTGCCCCGGGGCTCAGTGCAAATGACGTGTCTCTTTGTCCCAGGCACCGGCTCTTGACGTGGAGCTTGAGAGCCAGTCGGCCGGCCGGTTCTAGCTGAAGATTTCCACTTCCGCATCTCTGTCCGCTTTTGCCCGAGTTTTCGGGAACTCACCTACCAAGTTCCTTGATCAGCCAGATAGACTTCGAGTCATCTGATTCATCTTCTGGCCTGCAAGCTTTCCAATTATGCCCGCAGTCGTCAGTTTTAGCTTCCGCTGTTTTGGAGGAGGGGGAATTGGATTTGGGCGATTTCATTGCAAGAAGCATGGTTTGACGATCCGACCTACTTCTCTATAGGCTCGGAGTGATGTCAGCTAGTAACGACCTGGGTGCTTTTCCTCAAAATGCCCTGCGAAGTAAGAAAAGCAGATGCTGTGCTTCTTGTGCTTCTTTTACACCGAAGAATTGAAATGTAAAGCACCTAATATGGTGGACGCCTTCGATGTCAAGCTCAACAAGCACTGATCGCCATATGTCTGGTGCTTCGGTCAAGGATATCATTGATTGAGCAGAAAGCCCACAGCTCCGGAAGCTCATCCTATTAGCTGTGCGTGCAGATAAGTGCGAGAAGCTTAGGTACCTTCTATGTAGTGCAGTAGAGGTGGAAACATTCGCATTTGCTTTGAGCCCTTATACTACACTCTCGGGAGCTTCGGTATAACGATAGTGACCACAACGGATCTAAGGTGAACTGTCTCGGCTTCCGTAGATAATCCGTTCATACGGTCTTGGGCCGGCCGTCTGGCAACTAGGTAGGTATGGTAGGCGGCTTGAGAAACGCACGGGACGGTAGTGGGCCGGTTCGGGTAAAAATGGCTTAGCATGGCCCCGGTGGCACAGCGTGGACGGTAACAGGATAGCGAAAGACGGTGACCTGAGGCAGAAGATGTGGAGAGAGTTTTTCTCCGTCTCGGTGGCCTGCACGGCCTGCGGCGGCGGCCTTGCAATACTGAGACTGGAGCATTGCTTTGAACCGGAAGCCCCCTCAGTACAGACAGAGTACCTTGCCTTGCCATTACGGATACCTAATACCTACCACTGGACCCCGCGCCTCCGTTACCTTCCTTAGACGTGCATAGCACGTAGCAACAACAGCTGGGCGCCTAGACGCAGACTGACCGCTTTCGTTCCTTTGTGGTTTTGGCCCCTCCCCCGCCCCCTCCTTCAATGGCTTTACGTTTCGCTACAAAACGTACGGTCGACCTGACCTCACGCATCATCAACCCAGCAAGGAGACCTGTTGCGCGCATGTACGTGTTATCCGTCGCCCCGGCACAACAGCTGCTTCCCAGTTTTTCTTGGAGACGGAGATCCATTGACTGACCAAACATCCCAGTCCTTACCAATTACGAAAATACAACGTCTTCGCAACCCAGACCTCCGCGCCCCGAGCTACCCCTCCTCGACGAAGCATCCGAATACAGAACCCCCAGCGCATCGCTGCTACACGACACTGCTCCTTCAAAAGAAACATGTGCAAACACGGAGAAGCCGCTGGCGGTGGCACGCTAAACTACCCGCGCGAACTCCTTCCTACCAACGTTGTCCCGCGCCACTATGATCTCACCCTCGAGCCCAACTTCGAGACGCTCAAGTTCGACGGTTTGGTCAAGATTGACTTCGAAGTTGCTGAGGACTCCAGCACGGTTTCCCTGAACACCCATGAGATCGAGATCAAGCATGCCTCGTTGTCTCTGTCGGCTGCCGGCCAGCAAAGGAGCCTTAACGACCCCGTCATCACCTACGATGAACCGAAGCAGGTCCACAGTTTCGACTTCAAGGATAAATTGACCAAGGGCGAAAAGGGCACTCTTGAAATTAAGTTTGTGGGCGAATTGAACGACAAGATGGCAGGTTTCTACCGCTCATACTACAACAAGCCGGACGGCACCAAGGGCATCATGGCCACCAGTCAGATGGAACCCACCGATGCCCGCAGAGCGTTCCCCTGCTTCGACGAGCCGGCTCTCAAGGCGGAGTTCACTGTTACTCTCATCGCTGATAAGGCCTTGACCTGCCTTTCCAACATGGATGTGGCTGAAGAGAAGGAGCTGCCTTCTGGAAAGAAGGCCGTCCGGTTCAATAAGTCACCCGTCATGTCGACGTACCTTGTGGCGTTCATCGTTGGAGAACTCAACTATATCGAGACGAACGACTTCAGAGTGCCCATTCGAGTCTATGCCCCGCCTTCTGAGGATATCGAGAGAGGTCGGTACGCCTTGGACATCGCTGTCAAGGCTTTGGAGTTCTACGAGAAGGCCTTTGGTCTCCCCTACCCTTTGCCCAAGCTCGACCAAGTAGCTATTCCCGATTTTGCCGCTGGCGCTATGGAGAACTGGGGTCTAGTTACCTATCGTACTGTCGAGGTCTTGTTTGACGACAAAACCAGTGGTGCCGCGGCCAAGGAGCGAGTCTCGACGGTTATTACCCATGAGATCGCTCATCAGTGGTTTGGAAACATTGTCTCTCCGGACTGGTGGCACGCCCTCTGGCTCAATGAAGGTTTCGCCGAGTTTGCTTCTCGGTACTCTATGAACGCTTTCTTTCCTGAATGGAAGCTCAGGGAATCTTTCGTTCGTGAGGACCTCCAAGCGGCTTTGGGCCTCGACGGTCTGAGAAGCAGTCACCCTATTGAGGTTCCCGTGCACAAGGCTGAAGAGATCAACGAAATATTCGATAGCATCAGCTATGCCAAGGGCTCATGTGTCGTGCACATGATCTCCGCGTACCTCGGAGAGGAAGTTTTCATGGAGGGCGTCCGGAAATACCTCAAGCGCCATGCTTGGGGCAACGCCACTACAAATGACCTGTGGCAAGCGTTAAGCGAGGCCAGCGGCAAGGATGTCGGGTCTATCATGAACATCTGGACTCAGAACGTTGGATATCCTGTCGTCTCCGTCACAGAGTCCGGCAAGTCGATCAGCGTGGAGCAGCACCGCTTCTTGACGACGGGAGACGTCAAGCCCGAGGAAGACAAGGTTCTTTACCCCATCTCCCTTAACGTTCGTACGAAGAGCGGTATCAATAAGGATCTGATGCTCACGACGCGTGATGCCAAATTCGAGATTGACGATGCCGAGTTCTTCAAGATCAATGCCGACTCTACCGGGTTTTACCGGACCAAGTACGCCATTGACCGACTTGAGAAGCTCGGAAACGCTGCTGGGATGCTCTCCGTCCAGGACAGAGTTGGTATCGTGGCTGACACATCAGCTCTTGCAATTTCGGGCTACCAGAAGACCTCGTCCTCTCTGAGCCTGTTCAAGGCTCTTAGCAATGCGGGCGAAGCCGAGTATCTTGTGTGGGACCAGATTTTGACCCGTCTGGGCTCGATCAAGATGGCTTGGATTGAGGATGATGCCATCGTCGAGAAGTTGACCGAGTTTCAACGGAACATCGTTAGTGGCATCGCCCACAAGCTTGGCTGGGAGTTCTCCAGCCAGGATGGTCATGTTGAGCAACAATACAAGGCTCTCACATTTAGTGCAGCTGGTATGTCTGGCGACAAGAAGGTCGTCGATGCGGCGAAGGGGATGTTTGAGAAATTTGTCGCTGGGGACAAGACGGCGATCCACCCCAATATTAGGAGCTCTGTCTTTTCGATTGTCCTCAAATTTGGCGGTGAGAAGGAGGTACGTCGATATCGAGGTTCTGGCTCCCGAGACTTTTTGCTAACCACGACTTTAGTACGATGCCGTACTCAAGTACTACAAGACCGCCGAGACAGCCGACGAGCGCAACAGCGCGCTGCGTACTCTGGGCCAAGCCCGCGACCCTAAGCTTAGACAGCGCACTTTGGACCTTCTGCTGAATGGCGAGGTTCGCGACCAGGATATTTATATCCCAATTGGCAGTCTTCGTTCATCCAAGGGTGGCATCGAGGCCCTGTTCGACTGGTTGCAGACCAAATGGGACGAGATCTATGCCAAGTTCCCTGCTCAGTCTTCCATGATCGGAAGCATTGTTAGTTACTGCACAAGCGGACTTACAAAGCAAGAGCAGCTGGATCAGCTTGAGAAGTTCTTCGCCGAGAAGGAGAAGAAGGGTTTCGTCAGGGCGCTCTCACAGTCTACCGACTCGATTAAGGCCAAGATTGCATGGACTTCCCGTGACACGGAGGACCTGCGCAAGTGGCTAGGCCTATAAGCCATGTCTTTGACATCCCACTAGGGTTAGAAACCCGGTTAAAATAGACACATTGCTCAAATTGATAAACAGCACGACTCTTCAGTTGTCTCCCGTTATCCAAAGCCGTAGTGGTTGCCCGTGTCTCCTTGTACCACACACGTATTTTGATTGTGGGTCCCTGCCATCGACGCTTGTAGCGTACCCAGTGCGGAACTTAAAACTTAGTGACGAAGACTGCGAGTGCCGCTCTGGCATATCTCATTGTTCAAGGTGACTGCGACAGCTGACGCACCGAACCGCGCCCTTCCACTTTGATCAAACAGTTTTGTTTGAAGGTCTCTTGTACTTGAAATCTACCGCCCGGGCTTCCTCCAAAGATGGCGATGCCCCGATTCACATCTTCATGGCAGGTCCGCGCCGAAGCCGGCGAGCCATTCGCCGTGATCCGCGTCCGCGACCTGCAGGGCACGCTCAAGGCCGGAACCGACGCCTGGGGCCGCCTGAACAAGACGCAGCCCGTCATCATTTCGGCGGAGCTCTCGATGGCGCAGCCGTTTGACGGCGCCTCGGCCTCGGACACGGTCAGCGAGGACACAGTGCACTACGGCCACCTCGCCAAGGCCCTCCTTGCTAGTCTGGACGTGGTCAACTCGCTTGTCGAACAGCGCGGCAGCCCTTTCAGTCTATGGTTCGCGCTGTTGCACATTTACGAGCACCTGTCGGGGTACCGTCTGGATCACCGCGAACGGACGCCCGAGGACGTCGTGCGCACGCACCAGGGCGGGACCCTGAAGGCGCAGCTGGAGAGGGTGAGGTATATGGACGTCACCCTCACGCTGCCCAAAGGCTCGCTTCTAGGCGATGGTGTGAGCATCTCGCGGGCCATGGTCTTCAGTGCGGCGAAGCCGGTGGTCTGGAGCGAGACGCTCCGTATTCATGGGCTGCGGGTGCCGACGCTCATCGGCGTCAATGACAACGAGAGGAAGGCGAAACAGGTCGTCAAGACCGATGTGGAGATTGAGGGGTACAGAAGCAACGTAGCAGGGGAAGACGACATATATGTTGATGTCGAGTCCGTCATTGTCAGGGTGAGTTCATTAGTTACTCCCTCTCTTCGTTCTCCTACATCGTCCCCCCGTCCCCTCTTCTTGGCTCACGCATTGTTTCCCCACAACATCAGAGGTCTAATGCTGACATTGTGAAAAGACGCTGGCAGAGTCGTCATTTGAGACGCTCGAAGCTCTCGGGCCCGCCATCACTAGCAGCATCAGACAAGGCCTCGCAGGGCGTGGCGAGTTATTTGGCCTTTCCGGCTGGGTGATCAAGGTTGTCATGGAGAAGCCGACGGCCATCACCATGGCCGCCGCCTCGCGCGTGGAATACAGAGAACTCCCGAGGGCAAAGCCTTAGTGAAACCTTTGAAGTTACACGAATGAATTACAAGACTGATCTTCTATGCCACTCTATCGCGTCAAGAACAGGGAGGGGGGGTAAGGGATTATTTTGCAACCGTTCATTCTGCCAGTGCGTGGCCATTGATGTTTCGTCGTATGGAACAACACTCAGCAACCCTCGACATCCCAAACTACCCTCCCGTATACCCCCCTTCTCTCTGTTCATACCTTGAACTTGTCACACTGCGGAACATCTCCGTTGGTAATCTCCCGAATGAACTCAGGATCAGGGTCGAAGAGCATGACATGAAAATGTTCGACAGCGTGGACGGACTTGAGACTCCGCCAGTTCTTGAACCAGATGACCTTGAAATCACATTTAGCTCCAAGTTCCGAGTTCATTGCAGAAAGGGATATTGGAATGCAATTCTCAATAAAAGACAGTTCAGAAACCAGTGTAGACTCACCGTGTCGGGTTTCATTTTTGAGCGGAACGTCTTGTCCACAAAAGCGTCGATGTCTTCTCTCGCCCCCTCCGTCAGATCCCCCGTCGCCGGGTTCTCTTCGAGCTCGAATTTGGTCCAGACAACAAGATGCACGATCCGAGCATCGATCCCGTACGGCCAGTCGTTGTACAGCACCCTCCAATCCCCCTCCGTGTCGAATGGCTTCCCCACAGCTTGGAGCGGCTCCTGCCACCCCAGCCGGTGCTTCAAAACAAAGTTCATGACGCTCCCGTACTCTTTGATCAGATGATGGATGAACAGCCGGTACCGTCTCAGCTCCGATGGTACGCGCTGGAACAGGTCAAGCCTGTTGGTCGCCACGAGCCTGCGGACTTCGTCCCACGTCTGCGGGCGGTAGGCGGCATCCGGGGTTCGCAAGATCCCCACGTCCTTGGCCGAGAGGTTGCGGAGGCCCTCCGGGCATTCGTCCGTGCGGCTCTCGGGCGGGACGTTGACCTGCCAGTACGGCAGCGTCGAGGTCTCCACGATGCTTCCCATTGTGCTCAGAGTGGCTGGGTGATTCCTGACTAGCCAGGACAGCCTGGCAGAGAGAGGGAGAGAGGGAGGGAGGGAGAAAGAAAGAAAGAAATAAAGAAAGAAAGAAAGAAAGAGAGTATTGACTAAAGACGACGTCGTTCCAAGAAAGTGTATCAAGTGTGTCGTTGCGGGATACACGATCGCAAGGTAATTCAACGGTTGTCAGAGAAATGAGACAGCGAATTGGACCTCTTTATCAGAACGGGGGTGGACCTGGCCTATTAAGCTCGTATTGCATGCACTCTGTATTAGGTATGAACGACAAGTCTTCTCAATTGGCGAACTCGTTCGAGGTGTTCTAAGGGTTAAGTAAAGATTCTCCTGGTCGGCAACAGCACTGTTCTTGGATCGGCACATGGCGGCGTAAATATTCGACTCAAGTCTCTCACAGGTACATACATACAAACAAAGCAAGCATCCCGCGCCCGCTGCAAGGCCCCGGGATCAGGGGACCCTCATGCAAGTAGGCGGGCGTGCATTTGTTTTTGCTTCTCCAAGTTTCTTTTTCTCCCTTTGTCTCACCGCCAGTCGGCGCCGGCCGGGATGTTCTGGACCTCTCCGCGCGGAACTGCAGGTCGAAATTCCCGCCGACCGGTCTGGTAGCACAAGAACAGCCCTAGCAGGATGCATAGGTACCTCAAGATTCGCATCATCATGATTAGGTAAAGCAGCTGGTCTACTGGTCAATGAAACACCACGCAGTGTTGCCTTATTAAAATACTATCAACTCCATTCTACTACTGCCGCCGGTATGCAGAAGCCTCCCTTTTGGGGTGTGCTTAAGAGGGGACGGTTTTTGGTTTCTATTATTCCAGGGCGCTTTCAGATTGCCATTTCATGATGCTACAGAGCATCGCGTGACACTTGCTTTAGATTTTGCTCAAAATACAAAAAGCTGCCAGAGCCGCTTAGTGCTCAAGCAGACGCAAGCTACCCTGCACAACAACGTTCTCGAGGATGGATCCAGGAGGCACATCAATAGTGCTGCCTTCCGTCGCAACAATGATGACGGTACCCTTGAGCGTCACGCCGCGGCCAAGGTTGACAGCACCGGTGATGGTGAGGTGGTCCAGCTCAATAATCTTGGGGATGGAAGGAATGTGCTTCTGGAAGTCCGAGACCTTCTTGAAGTCACTGCCCAACTTGATGAGAGGGGCGTCACCGAAGCGGCTAGAGCTCATTTGGAGCTGGCCATGCTTAACGGTGTAGAGGTCGGACTTGACGAGCATCAGGTCGGAACAGGTCTTGACGGGCAAGAAGCGGCGACGAGGGACGTTGACACCGTGGGCATTCTTGAAGTGACGGATGGCGGCACCAACGGCAGTCTCAAGCTGGATGATGGAGATGTCAGACTCGCCCTTCTTGTCGCCAGGAATGGTCTTTCCGTTGGGAATGATTTCCATCTCGAGCTCGTCGTTCTCGACGACGCGCTTAATGGCCTTGAGGTTCAACCAGATGTTGTTCGTGTTGAAGTACTTGAACTTCTTGATGGACTTGAACTCGTTGACATGCTCCTTGGGCACCTGGGCGATCTCGAGAAGACGGACGGAGCCCTCGTAGTCAATGATGGTACCACCCTTGACATCGGCCTTGGTCTTGTTGGTCAACTCCATGATGTACTCGGACTCGGTCTCAACCATGTGCTGGAGGATGCGGAGATCGACGACGGCGCCCAGGTTGTCGACGTTGGAAAGGAAGACAACCTCGATGCCGCGCTCAATGAGCTTGTCGAGAATGCCAGAGTTGTAGAGCGACTCGAAGACGTCACCGTGACCAGGGGGGTACCAGTCGTTGATGGACGAGTCGTACTTCTTGGGGACGGGCAGGAGAGAATCCTTCAAAATTCTGGGGTATCTGGACTGGTTGAAGGTAAGGATGTCGACGTTGTGGCCCTCGTACTTCTTGATGATGGAGGCGGTGTCCTCATCCGTGTTGAACGAGTTCATGAGGATGAAAGGGACGTTAACGTCGTAGGTGCGGTTGAGGTACTCGATCTGGCGAACTGACAAGTCGAGGAAGGACATGCCGTCACGGACCTCGATGACAGACTTGGGACCGACACAACCCATGGAGGTACCGAGACCACCGTTGAGCTTCAGAACAGCCAGCTTGTTGAGGAACTGGACGGACTCGGAGTTGGCGAGGTCCTCGTAGTCAACGACCTGGCCCTGGGCGGGCGGGGCGATGCGGTCCCAGTCGCTGTATCCTCGTTAGCCTCAAGCTTGCCGTGTGTTCTTGTTCCAGTATAGACCTACACAACATTTCCCTTGGCCTTGTCGTTCAGGTAGCGGCGGAAGAGGGCGAAGAAGTTGTCCATCTCAGTCTCGAAGAGCTGTCACACGGTTATCGTCAGCGGTGGTGCTTGATGACCTGAGCCGGGCTGATACTGACCTTCTTCTGCTCGGGGTCCGAGACGGTCTCGGCGAGCTGGGTAAGGGCATTGCGCATCTGGGCGGCGGCGACACTGGTGGAGGTGTTCTCGAAAGCCTTGAGGAGATGTTAGCATCTTGCCCCCCGATTGACGTTGTGGAGGTCGTTGTGGTTCAAAAAGAACGCTTGCTAGACTGCCAGTGGTCTCATCCTCCGTACGAAGCCAGTCAAAGTTCCCCAAAGAAACCTCAAGCTGAACATCATACCAAAGCCGAGGTAGTGGTCGGTGCGACTCCATCTTCGAAGCTCACGGAAAGCCGTGATCGACCAGTGGCTCAGTTTTAGCGCACACCGCGGCCGACTGATAACACATGGAGGAGCGCAGATGCAGGCAGGCTTGGGGCTCAGAACAAACGACGTCTCGCACAGCGACCTGTCGAGGTGAGGAGCAAAGGCTGGGCGCAGACCTTGGAGGGCCTCATTCGGGGCAAATAGCAAATCGAGGGGGTGGAGTTTTCAGAAGCATACCATGTGAGACCTCGTCTTGCCGTGGTGACGGGAGCTGAATTCGGCTTCATCGCTCTTGCCCTGACCGCCCAAAGGGGACTTCAGGTGAGTGGGCAAAGCGCTCTTGATCGTTTGAGCCATTGTGGGCAAATTTTTGAAGGGGTTCGCGATATGTGAAGTAGAACTGTGTGCTGAGAGCGTGTCAACAACCGCAGTGAAGCAAAAAAACGGTCTCAGGCCGAACAAGATTGTCGTTTGTTGTGTTGGGGGAGAGTGTGGAAAAGGGGAGAAAAAAACAGGCGGGCAAGCTCGAGGACAGCGGGGTAGTGCCTACCTACCTTGACAGGGAACTCGCCGTGGGATTCGCGGCGGATAGATTGCTGAAAGCTTAGAGAGATATGCGTAGCCTGACGTAATTCGTGAGCTTCTCCATATGATTGGGGATACAGTCAAGCAATGTACGGAGCGGGCGAGGGAGCGGGGAAACGGGCTGGAACTGCGAGTGAAATGGCGAAGGGAGGCGCAATCTGAGGTGCTTCGAAACCAAACAGCAAAGCTGCTGCTGTTGTTTTCGGCCGCTGGTTGGAGCAAAAGGTGCGGTGATCGGCGATATGGCGAAGGAGCGGGGGGTTCGTGGAGGGGAGGGGAGGGGAGGTGAGGGGCGGTTAGGGGTGGTACTTACAGCAATAGCAACGACAACGATATCAACAAGCAACGAGCGAGCGTGGGTTGGTTAATTGTTTGCAGAGAGAGGGGAGGCGAAGGGGAAATCGTTAGAGTCGGTCATGAGGTGGATGGGGGAATTGTCTTTATAGCGGTGATATCACTGTGGGAACCTGGTCTGTTGCAATTCGCATCTGGCCAATTTTCATTTCATCTCGTCCCCAGGACGGGGCAGACACTGGAGGAAGGAGGGGCTACCGCAGGAGACACGCCTCACCACACACCCTTTCTTTACCTTCTTCCACCTGCCCCCCTCCCAGGGGGTGGCAGTTACCGCCACCTTCAATAGGTAGGAGGTACCTTCCTTGCCTTGCTGCTATACCATGCCACTCACTCCATGTTCGTATCCAGCTAGAACTATACCCGTCGTGCCTTCTTGTCCACGTCGTCTACCACAAGGCATGTATTGCCTTGCTCTGGCTTCGTCTCTTCACAGCACAGTCATGGAATGTCTTCTATACAATCTGCATCTTTCCTTGTATCTAGAAACATGCGTCAGCCCGGGGCAACCGCTTTTGCTCGTATTCCCACCGCCAGCTCGACCCAAATTTCACCCCAAGACCGGTCCCGATGCCTCCCACTCATCCAGTCCACCTCCTCCTTCAACTGCGACCCTCCCTCCACCGGGCCTGGCCACCGCCTTTCCCACACCCCTGTGGCGCGTTAAACTAGCGATGCCTAAACGAGAGAGGCTGCTGCGGCTGCTGCAGCAGGTGTTGGCTTACATGAGGGCAAATGGCAAAGAAAAACAACTATCTAGGAGACATTTCATTGTTTATCTGTCGGGTTGCGCATCCAGTTGGGCGTGTCCAAAGAATGCGAGTCGACCTCGGGGTTCCGTCAAGGCAATGAATCGCTGGTCACCAGGATTCTCACTGCGCTTCGTCCCATTTACAGGCCTCAATTCCGGCATGGTTTCCGTAAATATGAGCTCCCGGCTTAGACATACATGTCTAGGGCATAAGGCTCATGTTCATCTGTGTCATCTACGGAGTAGTAAAACGGAGCTCCGTGCTGGTTTTTCGTGGTTTACAGATCCAGTTCACGTCAACGCGCACCCACTATCGTTCAGCATCTGCTGCATTACGGATGAGGTCTCGGAACAGGTATTCCCTAGCAGCATGCACTAAAAAAGGTGCAAGACTCCATCAACTGCGGAGCCGAACCGTCTGCACTATAGATTCATCGAATGAATATCACAACCCCACCATCCAACACCCCACCAGCTGTAAAATGAGCTGTTGTTCAGCATGGCTCTCCGGGGACCTCGCCCCCTTGAGTTGCAACGCAAATGCTTCCTCTGAGTCGGCCAACAAGTGCTTCGGGGCGCACAGCCATTTCTCAGCAACGCCGCTTCTTCAACACTTCTTCCGGAAGAACAAGACAAAGGGCTCAAGCGGTCCGTCATCCGCCCCTTCTCGCCGACATTCTTCCAGCGACGTGCCTTTGTTCCAAATATACTGTTGGTCGAGCTGCCTATCGGCCGGAGACACCTATGCATCGCAACCCTTCCGCACACACCCTTTCGCATATTGCTCACCAGAAACTTGCCACCACCCTGAACTTCCCGACTTCGCTAAATTGGTCGGAAGCAAATATGCTCAGCCTGGCTATTCGTTCCCCCTTCCAGCTGCCATACTCATCGTTTCACCACTTCAGAAAGAGATTTGCTATTTCCTTGGTTCTTGCCTGTCCGTCGTCAGCGTCGGAGTCGAGTAACCAAGCCGGTCCTCTTCGGAATCTTTCCCGAAGATTCGCTCTTCTGGAGCCGATGATTCCAACCATGCATGACAGGTTTCTTGTTAAGTTGTTGAACCAAAAGCGCCCCCTGGGTGCCGGCATCTGCGCCCCGGGCGGGCCAATTCCCACTTGGCTTCCTGTTTTACGGTAGTCATCTCTCAACCAGTCCCAGGGGAGGGATCCATCAGTATCCTTACCGCCAGCTCGGGAGTTTGATTGCATACCGCTATGCAGTGGGCCAAGTTTGTTCAGGAGGACGGATGCGACCTAGTTTACTTTTCGTACACGATCGTCTCATCGCGGCGGCGAGCGATGAAGTTCTGGAGTTTTCGGCCATCGCCCGGGCCTTCCTATCCCGAACTTATTGTTCAGCCCCCGGGGAGCCAAGCCTGCGGCTGTCCGTCCAGCCCGACTAGGATGTGTGCTGTTTTGGTGTCTTGCTGTCACTCAAAAAAGACACCGTGCTGGTTGTTCACTCGCACCGCTAGCGTAATTTACGCCTTGAGACGCTATTTTCGATAATGGCATCCCTCTCCCCAAGTTCCGAGCAGTTTTACCCACGCCTCCTACTTGTTACAATCAAGCAATCTGCTGCAGACCCTGACATGAGCTGATTAGCTACCAGGGGAGTTAATGAAACGAAACAAACGAGGTGCATGTCACCATCCATCCGGGCCACTGCCATAATTAGAGCAGGTAAGATACCCAATCCGTCGTATATGGACACGAGGTAAGCCATGGACAGGCCACCCCATCAAATAAGGCTCTCCAATGCGTCCCACGTGGGAGGGGGGGGGGTTAGCTCTCACGCTTGAGCTTATACACACACCATAGTATGACTGGGCATCGAATAGGACGAACCGGTTGATAACAGTCGGATCGTCGAGAAGCTCCATCTGATCAGTATTGGCGACCAGATATGGCGGCTGGAATCAACTTTGGCCACCTCCTGGTTTCTCCTGGCTTGTTTCGACAAGACCTCACCCTGGGCCAAGTTATTGTTTCCGCTTGATACGCCGATGCTTTTGCAACGGGCACCACTATCGCAAAGCTGCATTCGTTGCTTGTCTCATTGTCATTGGCAACCGCTACCAGGTGTTCCTTGCTTGGGGATAGCCTCAAGGGGGGATAAGTAGCTGACTTGACAACACTTTGGCCAGACTCCCCGCAGCACATGCATACTTTCGCTAACAACCTATCAATTCATCATGCTCGTGAAAGGAGGCGATACTGGTCATTATTGCACTATAATCATAGAATACGCCCAAACGCCGGTACCCGATCACCGATGGGGGCCTCATTATAGTATCGAACCTTCAATGTCGCCGGCCGAACCTTCAAGGGGTATAATCGCTTCAATCGCCGGGGTCCCCAAACCGTGTCATTATTTCTTTTTCTGGAGCTTCTCCTTCTCCATGTTCTCCGTACAGACTGGGCAGAACCAGGTGCCGTTGGGCTCGCTCTTAAGACCTACGCACGACCAGTGGAACCACTCATAGGGGCAATCCTCGTTGTCGCACGCCACCATGTCCCCAAAGCTGACGTTCTGGCACGTGCAGTACTTCTTGTCGTCGCCAGCCTCATCATCTTCGGCATCGAGCATGCTGTCGTCGCCATCGCCATCCTTGCCGTCGCGCGTGGGTGTACCGCTAGCACGGTCTATACGACTGCGTTCGCCGTCATCACCACTTCCGCTCTCGGCATCCGACAGCTCGCTGTCCGCTGTCGAGGCGGGTGAATTGCGACTTCCAGGGGCCTTCTTCACGCGGGATAGTGACGATTTGTTGCTGTTAACGGGCTTCTTCCGACTCCCTGCACCAGGAGTCCCCTTCCTCACGCCAGACACGCTTGACGCCTTGATGGATGATGATCTGGGACCAGCACTGCCCGCTCGTACAGTGCCGTTTGGTCCAGTAGTGGTAGGCCCTTTTGGTGTGCCTGGGCCCAGAGACGAATGTCTTGCCAGATTACTTGATGTTGTGGGTAGGCTGCCCAATCCAGAGATGGATCGCGGTCCCCTTTTAGGCGCGCCACTTCCCGGACCTGCCGAACTCTCTCGCGCTTGACGGTTGAGTATCATGCTTGCAGCAGGCGTCGCAGGGGCAGAGGACGCGTGCTGTTGAGACTGGGCGTTGCGAATCTGAGGGTTTCCTGCGCGCGCCGTAGTTGGACTCGAAGAGTTGACGATTGGGTTCAACGGTGCTGGGGTAATGGCTGCTCCCACAAGGTGACTAGCAGGATTGACAGACCGACCGGATGGTGCAGAGTGGTTCGCCGCGCTCGGCCGGATCAAAGAAGGGCATTCATCGGGGTCGTTGAAGCCGGGCTCTGCACGGTCATAAAGCATCTTGATATGTTGATCGAGGTTTCGTAAGTGCTTGTCCATAATGATCTGCAGCTTCTGCGTCAAGGCGATTTTCTCAGCGGCCAGCGTATCGGCACGACTGAAGTTATCACGCATCTGAGACCGCATAGTCTCCTCGCGAGGGTTTGCCTCGTGGCTGCCATTGGCCCGGATCCATTTCTGTATTTTTCCATCGCGGTCCTCGATCAACTTGACGCAGTCATAGTACTGGCGGTCCCTGTCGGCGATTTCATCTTGTAGGAAGCGGATCTCTTCGGGGAGATTTTGGACGCGGTTGAGCCAGTCGTCGAGGATGATGGCCGGATCGAGGGCCTCGGCCGTCGGCATCCTTTTGACGAAGTCGATGGACAAATCGTCTCTAGGCATCTTTGTGTTAACGACGAGTTCCCCAAACACCCCGCGGCTGGGTAAGCAAGCGTTCGTTGACGGGTAGGGAACAAGCGGGCGACGAGACGGACGACGACGACAAGGTGCTCGGCAAGGACCACAAAGAAGGAGTGGGAGCGGGAGGTTTTGTATGCGGCCAAGGCAGTGTTCTTGTTCGAGGACGAGGACGAGGACGAGGGGACGAGATAGGTGCGTTGATAGCAGATCGGGGTGACGTGTATGGAGTGACGAAGGCCTCGTGAACCAAGGTCATCAAGATAAAGAGGGACAACGGAAGGTAAGAGGGTATTGGAGCAAAGCAGAATAGAGGCAGAGGTGGGGAGAGCAGAGAGCTAGCGGCAGGTGGGAATAGTGGCACACAGAACGACGGGGGCGGCGCGGCGCGGAACGTCCACCGTCGAAGGCTTCGGTGTGATGACCGAAGAAGGCGTAGAGCAACTGATGATGGTATGCTTTGGCTGCACTTGCCCTGTAGAAGGCGATGACAGAAGAGCCTTGGACAGGAGAGACTTTGAGAAAAGAGACCCCGACCACGATCCTCCGCAACGAACGAAGTGACTAGCTTGGCTCACCTAACGAGTTTCAAGACGGATCGGCTGAAGGGAAGGTCGACAAGAGCTCTCTGTCTCTGTCTCTCTCTGTCTGTCTGTCTGTTCAGCTGTGGTGGGCAAGGCGAGGCGAGATGAGGCGAGTCGAGTCGAGACGACGGAAGGGCCCTTGCTCGTGATCCTGGAATGTTTTTTTTTTTTTTTTTACGGAGCAATGAAAATGTCCCCTGCTGGGAAAGGTGAACTGACGGGACGTGATTTTTTTTTGTCCCTCAGGGACGCGAGGGTGGGGTGGAAAAGGCTAGAATCACGTTGTGCAATGGTGGTCAGTTCGACTTGGGGTGGTTGCGTTGGGTTTGGTGGCGGGCAAGTTTGCGAGGCTGTAACAGAGTGGTGGGAGCTGGTCTTGCCAGTGGACCACGCTCATCGGCGAGTCAAGCGGAGACGGGAGTTCTAGCCTCCGATTTTCAGGTCACATTTGGGCTCCTGCACGCTGGGCTCAAGCACACCTAGATTCATCCGATTGGATTCTGGGTTGTTTAATATGGGTCGACAAGTGCAACTGCTTTCAGTGTCTTCATCCAATTACTAAGGCGGGTAAAATCTAAAGAAGTCCAAATCTCGGATTCCCAGTTGTCCCTCGCACTTTATCTTGGGGGGAGGAAAAGAAGGAATGAATAGGATAATGCAAAAGTGCGGCATTCCTGGGATTAGATCCGAGGCAAGTTATACTGTACGTCCTGGCCTTCGATGTTTGAATGTGCTACTATGTAGAATGTGGTGTACCTACTGCGCCACATAAAGCCTGACCAGGCATCTACAGTACCGGCTCAGAAGTCTGGCTACATCGATAAGGATAACCCAAAGAAGAGTTGAAGAGAGGACCCATTAATAGCTCGAGGTCACTACACAGTGCGCTACGAAGGCCTTATGGCTTAGCCACCCACTGTAGCTTGTGATTGGCTGTCCTTATTTCTGTGAACAGACTTTTGAGCCAGTACTGTACTTACATGGGTAGGTAGGTAGGTACCTAGTCGTGAGAACCGCGCAGCCACACCTCTGGAACTCATTTACCGGTACCTAGTGCCCTGAAGTGGCCAAGCTGCCTTGCAGCCACCAGCGGCATGCTTCCCCGGCGCCTGTCGCATCTCATCCAATCGTGCAGCCAGCCTTTTGACGAAATCTTCCACATACATCTCGAATCAACAACAGACGACTTCGCCTACAGTTTTGAAAATCAGACCTTCGCCAATAACCCCTTAGAAGACAAACGTAGCCCCTGAAGCTGGCAAACCCGGTTTGCGGCATACTAACGCGATCTGCGCCGAGCTGCTTCACCGCTGAGCAAGAGCAAAACTCATCTCACTTGGCCATCCAAGAACCCCACCTTTCAACCTCACAATAGATCGAGGGCCTCAAGCTTTATCCCGGCCGCTCCGGCGGGACGCCCGTCGCACATCATCATGGACACAGACGCATACCGCTTCCGAGTTCCCAAACCGAACTATTTACCACACAGATCCGACAAAGATGACATTGTTGAAGAATACGTCCCCCTGGGCCAGGCCAGCGATCTCGACAATGCCAAGTACTACGCCAAATGCAAGCGCATAGCCGAGGAAACGGGCATCACGCGGCCAAAGGGTTACAATGTCTCCTTCCACTGTAATCCCGAAATGGAAAAGCACCACTTCGGCCAGACCCATCCCATGAAGCCTTGGAGGCTCACCCTCTCCAAGAGTCTCATCTACTCCTACGGCATGTCCTTCGCTATGGACAACTACATCTCTCGAGCCGCCACTTACGAAGAACTAAACGACTTTCACTCGGACGACTATCTGGACTTTTTGGGGACCGTTCTGCCAGAGCCTGTTCCGAGGGATGTTGATAACACGAATCCCGATCTCAAGTTCAACCTTGGCGGCTCCGACTGCCCTTTGTTCGAGGGTCTCTACGACTACTGCTCTATGTCGGCGGGCGGGTCTCTTGACGCCGCGAGAAAGATCTGCTCTAACCAATCCGACATTGCCGTATCATGGGGCGGCGGCTTGCACCACGCCAAGAAGGCCGAGGCATCTGGCTTCTGCTACATCAACGACATCGTCCTAGCCATTCTGCAGCTGTTGCGTTGCTTTCCCCGCGTACTCTACATCGACATAGATGTGCATCACGGAGACGGTGTAGAGGAGGCCTTTTACTCCACAGACCGCGTCATGACGGTCTCTTTCCATAAATACGACCCCCTCAACTTCTTCCCTGGCACCGGTGGTCTCGATGACAATGGTCCTAAGAACGAGCATAACCCGGGAGCGCACCATGCCATCAACGTTCCCCTAAACGACGGGGTTACCGATGATCAGTACAAATGGCTTTTCGAGAACGTCATTGGTAAATGCATGGAGAAGTTCCGACCCAGCGCCATTGCCTTGCAGTGCGGCGCCGATTCACTCGCCGGTGACCGTCTTGGACGCTTCAACCTTCAAGTTCAAGGCCATGGTGCATGTGTTGAATTCTGCAAATCGTTCGGTGTGCCCATGATTCTTTTCGGTGGCGGCGGATACACACCTAGGAACGTGGCTCGCGCCTGGGCGTTCGAGACGAGTATAGCTATTGGCTGCCAGGACAAGATTGACCCCATTATTCCTGTACATGCCCCGTGGAGAGAGCAGTTCAGATACGAGGAGTTGTTTCCGACATTGGAGCAGATTCTTGGAGAGCCCCGTGTGAATAGAAACACGCGAAAGCGCCTCGATGACGTGCTCCAACATGTGGTGGAACAGCTAAGGTTCGTCCAAGCAGCCCCGAGCGTTCAATACCAGGTCATTCCGCCCGACCTGGGCGGTCTTAGGGACGATGTTGAGGCCAAGCTCAAGGAACAGCGCGAGGCCGAGAACGACGCTGTCCGGAAACAGCGCGAGGAAGCCGCCGGACATGCTATGGAGTATTGATGAAGGGCGGGATGGCTCTTCTGGAGAACCAATGGTGTGCTCGGTTATCAAGATTGGCGTTCATGGAGTAAGAACGGTACCGGAGGGTCTGGTCATTCAGAAAAGAATTGTCGTGTTCAGAACATATAACCCTGGCGACCTGAAAACAACAGTAACTATTAACTGACCGAAGAAGGAAGTTTATGTCCACCGCGCTGCGGATGAATACGTAATACCTCTTCACACGTTCGACTTGGAGACGGTCAAGCTCCCGCGGTGTTACTTTTCGCATGGCCGACTTCCTTCCTATGATTACTGCGAGACGAATGCAAGGGAGGGGGACGGCATTGTTGCGGTATGACAATCAGAAGAAGAGGGCCCCTTCGTAAGCCGGGCTACAACCCCCCAATTGACCAGTGAAGACCGCCAAGATGGCAAACGCCACTAATCTTAATCAATACCGAATCATGCAACGGCCAGGATGTTCGGGCAAAAGCTATATGATGTATGACGGTGTTCGCGTTGGGCAGGGCAACTTCAGATGCGGTCCGTTCTTGGGGGCCAATACCGCATCCTACCAATACCAAAGTGGCTTAGGCCATTCAGCAAGACAAGGAAATGGGATCGAGACGAGGGTGATATCGCCGTAACGTTGAGCCGGTTGTGGTGTACCCATATACGCGCATCCGACGACTAGCAATGAACGACAATGGAGTTTACAACCCCGTCCCTATGTACCTGGATCACTACCGTCTCCCTTTTCCTGCAGGAGTGGTGCCACTTTCCTGCGTAGCTAGATCCCGCGCTGTGCTAGAAAGAACCCCGGATGCTCATCCAAGCCGACTAGTGCATATAAAGATATTCGCCGTCCTCGACCTCGTGAGTACATCTTCCAAAAAAAAAAACGCAAGGTCTCCCTATTTTAGATCACGGGCTGGCCCTCCATCGACGCAATACATAGACGACCTTTTCACGGCTCGGCCTCTTGGCTCTGGTCCCGGCCGGCATCCTTGGCCTCATGACGCCCGGCGGCCTCGCCCGGCGCGCCGTGGACTGGAGCCAATGGAAGCCCGGCATGAGCTTCCAAATCGTCCTTCACCACCCCATCACGGCCGAGTCGTTAGCAGACGTTGTCCCCGCCGAGGCCGCAGTCTGGGACATTGACCTGCAACACGCAGCGGACTACGACAACATCATTCCCACCCTTAAGGTCAGTTTGGATCCATGGAAAATCGCTTACCCATGTTTTCCTTGCCCCCCCCTCTTCGACACGGTTACTGATACTAGAGATAGTCAGCTGGCAAGATAGTAATCTGCTATTTCAACGGTGGCGCCGTCCAAGACTGGGACGAAGACCTCGACGCATTCCCCGCCGACGTCATCGGCTCGTCCCTCAACCCGCCTTATACAGACGAGCGCTACCTCGACATCCGGGACGCCCGCGTCGTGGATCTCATGAAGCGACGCCTTGAGCGGGCTGCCGACATTGGCTGCGGCGGCGTGGACCCGGACAACATTGACGCCTGGGCAGAGGTGAGCCCTCTTTCGCATTCTCATTTCTTTTTCCCCGGCTAAAAGAGGTTAATGAAACAATCATAAAGGACGGTGATGACCCGACTGGCTTCGGCCTCGCGCCCTCGGACTACGCGGCCTACACAATCTCACTCGCCGCCCACGCACACACGCTCACCACGGCTTCCTCCCGGCCCCTTCTCCCGGGCCAGAAGAATGCGCCTGCGATTGCGCCCGAACTTTCCTCCGTCGTCGACTTCGCCGTGCTAGAGACGTGCCTCGGCACCCGGACCACGGACGAGGTGGAGCCCTTTTGCGCGGACTTCCGGCCATACGTTGAAGCCGGGAAGCCTGTCTTCCAGATCGAGTACCCGACGAGCGTCCGGGACGACGCCGAGATCGACCTGGAGGACTACAATTATTTCTGCGTGAACAAGAACGGTAACGAGGGGTTCAGCGAGGTATTGAAGCACGCGAGCGAGCAGATCGACGGATGGGGCCAGTTCTGTGGACTGGGAATGACCGGGGGCATATTCGAAACGCCAACCGTCGACGAAGATGAGGAATGAATAAGTGTGCGAGGTTTGCGAAGTCAACATCTGGTTGTCGGAGCAATTAGGGGTCGGCAAATTGACGTCTGGAAAGGAGCTTCTTCTGGAGCGCAAAGGGCTCTTTTGGGGGGGTAATTACAATTCATGTATTATACTATTCCTATGATGTAGTACATAACCTGTGTCAAATTATAACACCTAGAAGTGACCAAGGTTTCAATACACCATGCAGGGCATGCGATGCAAGTGGCGGCAGCAATACAGATAGTCGTTAGCCTGGAAGAAGCCCTCCCAAGCCCCCAACAACGCAACAGAGGCCTTCTCGGGCGGTCTCAGTTGTGGGCCTCAGCCTCCTGCTCCAGCATCTTGGACTTCAGCCTCCGGGCCTTGACCGCCACGTACCCGACTAGCATGACGCCGACGGCGAAGCCGGCCGAGAGCAGAATGACGTTGACCGGTACGGGGTCGCCACCGAACGTCTGGTGAAACAAGACGTCGAGCCCGGACTGCAGAAAGTTGAAAAGGCCCGACAGGCAGATGATGGTGCCGTATACGGTACCAAAGGTCTCGAAGCCGAACACCTTGGCACTGTAGTCGGACACGGCGGTGTAATAGAAGGGGCGGTACAGCACAAAGAGGCAGACCTGGATGTACGCCGCCCACGTGTTGTTTATGACGCCCAAGACGCCAATGGTGGTCGCGGTGGTGACAAGGGCGGCGAGCACGGTGACAGTGCTGGTGTGGTCTAGGAGCACGCCGATAAAAGGGATGGAGAGGATGCCCCCCACCGGAAGGGCAACGTCGAAGAAGTTGTTGATCTCGACGGCCTTGTCGTGGTCGCCAAATATGGCCTCGTACTGGGCGCGGACGGTGGCGACGAAGTAGTTGATGCGTAGCATCTGGATGACGGTGAACATGCAAATGAGTATGAACCACGGCGAGGCGATCTGCTGCAATGCAGTGCGGTTGTGCATCACGCCCCAGATACCCGACGTCTCGTTCTTCTTCTCTTCTTCCCTGCGGTTCTGTTTGTCCGCCCTTTGGGTGCCCAAAAGCTGCTCGATGTCGGCGACGACGGTCTCGCGCTGGCGGCGTTCCTCCCGGAGGAGCGCCGTGTTCTCGTCGACCTGGTCGTCGTACAGCGCCGGATCGGCGTCGTTCACCGCGGCGGTCTCCTCCTGGAGCTCGACTAGCTCTCCCACAGTCTTGTACGACTGCTTAGGCATCAGCGCAAACTGGGCGACGATTATGAAGAGCGGAACGACCAGGTAGACTTTGAAGAACTTTTCGTGGCCAAAGGTCCCCTCGGTCGCCTGGTAGATGAGGCGGTAGACCAAGAACAGCGCGCTGGAGGCGTCGAAGGCTCCCGTCAGGAGGGCGAGGATGAGCCCAGAGTGCTTGGGGAAAGCGTTGGACAGCTGGAAGGATGAGATATAGGTGAAGGGGCCGCCGAGAGCGAGCGCGAGATACCCGATGAGGAAACCGTCGAATGGCAGACTCTTAGCATATGCCATGAGGAGCGAGCCCACGGCCAGCAAGAAGCCGCCCACGATTCCGCAAACGCGAGGTCCTGTATGGTCAAGCAGGGCCCCGACAGGCAGAGCAGCGATGTTGGTGCCGACGGCCGCTACTGTGAACATCAAGTTGAGATGGATCTCAACGCATGTGTCGTCTGGAGCCGTGTTGGGATCGTCGGCGGAGCAGATGTCGCCGTAGGCGCCTTCACGTTTAAGAACCGGCTTCAGTGCCGCGAAGCCGAAAGCAACACCGGCCGCAAAGAGGCAGTAGAATACCGCGACCACGACTTGAACTAGAAGCGCGGCGTTAGCGATTACATGCGTGGGTCTCAAGAGCAAGTCATCGATCAAATCGTCCAACAACCAACGGCCGGCGATCGTAGGACAACATACGGATTCTCTTCCATTGCGGAACTTCAAAAGCACCGACTGCAAGGACAGTATCGGGCTTGTTCGCCGCGGGATACCACTCGTCGGGTAGAGGGTTGAAGGTCAGCCTTCCGGCCCGTACGCTCGACGCATCGCTGCCTCGTCTCGAGCCCTGCGCTTGAGGAAGGAACTGGAACGTCTCGACTGATGCTACGCGGTTCAGCGACATGGCGGAGCTGTTTGAGACGGATGAGCGACCGTCAAAACTTGGGGCAGCCCTGAAAAAGAGTGACGACTGTTGATGATGGCAAAAGCCTTGCCTGGAATAAAGCTGTCTAGGAGCCGGCTCTTCAACAACGTCGGCCCGGGTCTATGATAGGTAGACGGAGCTGAGTTGTAAATGACTAGCGGAAAGGTATCTGACTCGACAATGGCACCCGACAGAAGTTGGCGAATTCGTTATTCGATGGGATATGAGGCAAGACGGGTAATGCTGTCAAAATGAGGTTTCTCTATATATCAATCGGCAGCGAAGCTTGCTTGAACTGAATGAAGATAACGCTTGCTGTTTTTACCTGCCGTGTCCAACTTGAGCCGCCATATGAACCACGCAGAAGAGGGATCAAAGTCAACTCAAGAAATGAGGAAACAGCAGGGATCTCGCAGGTATAGCCGACGGGGGTATCGTCGGGGCGAGCAAACGAGGATGGGTGACAGGCTCGGACAAGATTCCACCTGCGCAAGAAAACGTAGGATCGGTGTTTCGACTGGAGGGAATGTTTGGTAGAAGAACAATCAAGTGGCAATGCAAAGAAGTGGCGGATCGGCAAGGGGTTCAGAGACTGCTTAAGAGGGAAACGGAGATGGGTGCAGGCCGATGATTGCTTGTTGAACTCATAATATGAGAAAGAGGAAATAGGTAAAAGAATAACGTTGGAAGAGAACCTGTCAAGGATTTACTACCAATGAGAGGGAAGAAGCAGGCCAGACCGGACCACACCTAAGGTGTCATCTCGGGGTTGTTGTTTTCAATTTTTTTTCTTCCACTGCGACCTATCTTGCACTTCACCCCGCCTTTAGCCTGCTTGACTGGGCCGGGCCCGGCCTGGCCCGGACTTGGCCTGCCATACCCCTCGCACGCTGGTGGAGGTGGCGGCCCTTCCGATCCGAACAAGAGGCTGGAAAGATGGGACGGGACCTGCGATTCGCGGATGAATGAATGAAAACGGATGAAGGAATATAACAGTCATGTGGCCCTTTTCCTTGGGACACACATGCACATGACTGACCCCAACCAACCCAACGCGGCATACCGCGAAACTGCAAGAGGGCGTTCAATTTGCTCTGGGAGGGGGGCACGGGATTAGCGGTAAGACATCTTACATAAAGTAGCCGTTTCTGAGCGACGGTGAAGAAATTACAGATCGAACGTCACCCGTCACTCCGGCGAGGGAGGAGAGGCGAAATCTCAACAGCCGCCGCCGCCGGATGCCGAACAAAAGACCGGGAGGGAAGGAAAGCCTTTCTCGCTGCTTCTAAATCAGGCGCGTCGTTCCCCGCCGAACTCAGCGGCCGGGGGGGGTTTAAGGAACTACAGCTGCAAGAAGGCGTGGGTTGGAGACGAAGGGAAGTCAAGATGGCGCGCACTGGAGAGACATTTCCGATGAAACCGGCGCGGGAGAGCGGATACAGCGCCTCTGCTAGGTACTCCATACATAGTACATCAGCCCGGTGCTATCAATCCCCCATTGGTTCCCGCTCTTCATTCGTTTCCCCACTAACTATTCACCTACGGATAAGGTACCTTGATTTCCACCTCGATTGACGCTCGACATCGTCAAGTAGGACGCCTCCACCCTCACTCTGTTACATAATTTTGCCCTACCGGTATAGAATAGGAAACCTTTTTTATCAACGCCACCTCGCGACATTGTCCAACTGTTGGGGGTGTGCATGTAATGTGGAGGACTTTTGTATTTCCATATATCTGTAGGGGCATCTACTTGTATTGCTAGCCACCAGTAGCGTAGTGTGGCACTGACCTCGTTTTACCCTGCTGACACATAGGAGGCACTCAAGTGACAGCAGCGGGAATAGGCATCAATTGTAGCGGGGCCATGCTAATCGAGAGCTGTTTTGCCTGTTGCCCGCGTGCGCCGATGGGAACCGCGTAACCCGGTCGAGGCAGATGAACTATCTATCCCGCAAGACACAACGCGATGCGAAACAACTCTCCAAACACCTGATCCTTACATCGCATCTGTCTGGACCTTGACACCGACCCATGTCTTTGCGCATGCGTCAGCAACAAACCACATACGGGGAGCACTGATGGATGTTGGCCTCCGGCCCGATCGGCGTCGGCGGGTTGCGGTTTGCAACGGCTGCTGACCGGCGGCGTCCGCCTCGTCACACCCCGGAGAGGTCCAACCTCGACCTTGGATTAGCCAGCACTTTACCCGCTCCACACTCGACATGGCGGTCCAACTCGGTACAATGCCACGCTCACTAAGTAGGTTGATCGTGAGCAATGGATTAAAGAACTAACGTTGTGTCGGCAAGCAATACACAAAGCGGCTTATAAGGGTACCCCCAACGCCCGCGGGCTTCGATCAATCATTGTGAGGCCCCCCACCCCCGCAAAAACAGTGAAAGCACAATGGCAGGCAAACGGGGTTAGACAAAGGAAACGATGCGTCAAGGTGACAATGTGCCGGCGAGGGCTGCCGTTCAAACTCCGCCCTTCCCCAATCTCCCGTCCATTCTTGTGCAAACTACCCGAGTCGAGAATTATCTCTAACATCCTATCAAGTTCGTAGTTTCCCCTCGGCGCAAGTCGGTGCCTCCCCGCGTAAGAAAACGCCTCATGATCGTAAGGCGGTCGTCGCAGATCGTGGCTCGAGCTAACAAGGGCCGAGTCTCGCTGATAGAAAGGAGATGTCTGTTCCGGCTCGTTGTGAATCCAAGGTAGTTCCGGTTGCAGCCCTCGGGCAGTTGTAGCCTTCGGCTGTTGACCCCCCTCTCCATCAATCGCTCCAACTTTTCCTCTCCAAAAGTCTCTACGGCTCGAATAGTATGCACACAAATTAGAAAAAGGCCATCGCAGATCGTGAGCGGAAGTTAATCAGTCGGTCGATGGCAGCCATGTCATGCCGATCCGTCGAAATTCTAGAGGTATTCACGAGAAACAAAAGCCAATAGTCCACCCCAATTGTCGTCTGGTTGTGGGACTTTACTTGAAGAATCGGATGGTGGCCTTTCCATTGCCGGAAATGGCCGTCTGTGGCATGAACATTAGTATAGCATACAGGTGTACAAGGTGCAAGAGTATCAACTTACAGTGCAGCCAGTGCCACCTCCAGTGTAAACGCCGTCAATGAGCGCGCACTTGCTGTTAACATCACCGACGATCTCAACGTTGAAATCGAGCTTGGCGACCGAGGTGGGTGCGTTGTTGAAGATGGAGATGTACGTGTTGCCGTCGGCGCTCTTGCCAGTACCAACGTTGATGGGCGCCCAGTTACCAGCGCCAAGAGGGTCCAAAGAGCTCTTCCAAACACAAGAGTCCTCGGCGCTGTAGCCGGCCTTGTTGACATAGTACTGGGCGGTGGTAGGGCTGCCGTCCCAGACGTAGTAGTCGGAAGAGAGCGGGTTGGTCAGTTCCAACGTCTGGCCAGGCTGAGGAACGGTGGCGATGACCATGGACTCGGTACCAGGGTAGTCGGTACGGCAAACACTGACCTGCTGGTCGAGGTCGTTCTTCACAGTGACACCGCCGGCGCCGGGTTCGCAGAGGGTTGTCTTTTCGGGTCGGGTGAGCTCCAGGAACCCGTTGCTGTTGCAGTAGATTCCACCGATGGACTGCTTGGTCGCACCCTGGGCGGAAGGCCACTGTGTCTTTTGGTAGCCAACACCGCAAGAGTACGAGCAGAATGACTTCTTGGGGCATGAAGAGTCACCCGAGACGGCGGTCTCGATGAAAGAGATGACCGCATCGCCAATGCTGTAGTCGGGGGTTTTCTGGATGCCGGTCCAGCCGCCGGTACCGAGATAGTCAACGGGCACCGCACCGTAGTCGGAGGGGAAATGGGAACAAGGAATCGTGCCACTGGGGAATTCGGAGTCGACACCGCCGCCACTGGAACCTCCGCTTGGGGACGCGGTGGAGGTGGGAGCTGCCTTGCTCGAAGGAGAGGGCGACGGAGTCGGGGTCGGGGTCGGGGTCGGAGTCGGCGAGGGGGTGGACTTCTCAACCTTTGCCTCGAAGAATTGGGCATCCTTCGAAGGCTGGGGGGACTTGGAGGTCGAAGCAGGAGGGAGAGGGCTCGAGCTGGGGGTGGTCTCGCCAATGACGACGTACAGACCGTCTTGAATACCCTTCTTCGCCTCCTCTTCACTGATGGGCGTTCCTCCAAGCTCATAGGTGGTCACGGTAGGGCCGTTCTCGTACACGACGACGACGTCTCGCTTACCAATAGGCGAGGCGGCATCCTTCTTGACGTGGTGGTGACGGTGGTTGTGGGGTTGGGCCACAACACCGGCGGCAAGGGAAGCCGCGATTGCAATGCTGGTGATGGACCTCATCGTGTTTGTTATATATGTTCTGAGAGCATGTCAGCGCACTTCATCGCAGGGAGCAGAAGATGGCATCTGGGAACGGGACGAGTGCGATGCGACAAGATGCGAAAAGGGCGCCATGGCATTGGCATATGAATCGAGGCGGGAGAAATATGTTGTTTGGCATTGCGTGTCGCATCTTTCGACTCGACAAATCGTGTTCCACGGTTTGCGTCGCGCGCTCGATTGGGAGAGGGGCCTCTTGCGTAACTCACCCTTATTCTCGTGAGGGATCAGAAATTGAAGTCGAGAATCGTTCGATGTGTCCGATTAGGCTTGTCGTTGAGAGAGGGATCGAAACGGAACTCGAGTTGGTAGGTGGTGGTAGGATAACGAATGAATGTTGACTCGGATTCAAAGGAGTGTAAGTGAGAGCGAACTCTCTAGTTGGAAGAATCAACACGATGAACGAGAGTGAAGAGCTCAATAACCATGAGAGAGTGAGCGAAAAGAGGGAGAAGGGGAGAGTAAAGTGGAGGGAAACAGGGTAAAGAAGCCATGTCGTGGGAACCCCCCCGGGAAATTAGGTAGGCAGGGAAGGCCAGGGACGACAGGTACCAGGCCATACAAGCCACCCGGGGGGGCCCTTCCCAAAGTCCAAGACCAGTGGCCATACTCTGTACCCCAGTGTGCCCAGGCACTACCTACCTATTAAACTACCAGAAAGAAGACGATCCGCTGCAGGTACGGCGGCCAGGGCTTGCAACGCTCGCTAGGGCACTGCCTCGTGCGCCGTCACTGTGCAGGAGGTAGGCGCGCATCCCCAAAAGGGGAAGGAAAGGGGGTTATCTCCCAAAGAGGGGCTAGCGCATTATTAAAATTGGTGGTTCCTGGCTCCAGTTATTTGCGTTGACATGCACGCGCAGGGCAACGAGGATGGGTCCACGCAGCCTACACTACATACGCAGCAGTAGTAGGTAGGTACCTAGCTGTCGAGCCAGCGCACCCTCCAGCAAACCATGTACGAACACATACAAAGGTAGGTAGGTGGTGCTGGTACTGTGGTACTCGCAATCTCTCACATTTGTGTTGTTGCCCATGGGATCCTAGGGCCACTTGAGTTAAGGTGCACACAACATGAAGCCTGGACCACGGGAAAGCAGGCTCGGAAGATGTACCTACCTATAAACCCCCTCATTGTTCTATGCGCCGTGGGTCATACGAGGAAACTCGACCGGGGGGTGGGTGGCCCTTCCAGTTCGGAGAGAACAGACTGAAGCGTTGGCAGCCGTTGCATTGCATTGCATTGCGCTACGCCGCTGAGTTGCGCCGCGTTGCGTTGCAGTAGCAGTGGCAGTAACGGTGACAATGGCGACTCTTCTTCACTGTTCGTAAACTACCCAAGTACCAGACAGTTGTTGCTCTGTGCAACTTGCACCTCTAATTGTGTTGTGTTCCCATAAGATTGGTGCGCAAGGCTTTCCCAGGGACCTTCCCGTCTTACTGCGTGCCGTTGCCGCTACATACTGCATGCTCCCACCGATGTCATCCGATCCTCTTCTGGCTCGGCTTCTCAGAAGTTCATCCCATGCCGAACAAGAGGATGCGTGTGTGAAGAATGGAAAGGACAAAAATAATACAAGGCGTCACCCATATACATATACGATAGCAGCGATTAACGTCCGTCACCGCCAAACCCGCTATCACGTGCCAGGCCATCCACCTACTACACCACACCATTGTCAACCCCTTTCTCGGACCCCGTTATGTACAAAGTATGCATGTTTCGTTCCCTGACTCTAGCGGCACGCGGGCTGCTCCCAAGGGATATGTTGTTCAACGGTGAAGAGGCAGATGCAGATAAGCGCGGCTGGCCGAATGACGATCACCATACATTGCCATTGAATTGAATCCGACTGCCAACTGGATTACTCAAAATCCCTGCCTCGATACAATTCAGCCTGAACCTAGCCTCCCGCCGTGTCCTATATACCTAGTAAGTCATATCAACGCCCCTTCCTCGACCTTCTGCAGTCGAACCAGCCTCCCTTGGCACAATCAAAGAACCCTGCTTAGGGAAACCAATCCCTGCTCGCGCGAACCACGGGCTGGCTTTTGACAGCTTTGCTCAATTTCCATGCTCCTCACTTGGCGATATTCTGCCCGGCGCCTTTACCCAATGAGCCCATGAATCCACAAGTCTAATCCCCCGAGTCCAGGCTCATTTCCTTGGTGTTCGCTTGGCTGACAATCGTTTTGTTGCCGGCCGCTGTTACTTATGGTCACCTCACATCTTGATTCGCTGAAGAGGAGCAATACCCGATGGCGCCCCCAACGGCTAGCCATCCTGTTCGAGCAACCACGGTTCCCTTTGATATGGTGCCCTTTCCATTAACGACTCATACAACCGTATCCGTACCTTACGGAGTACTCAGTTTGATTTCCGTTTCCCACAATGGCTCTACCTCATCACGTTAGGCGCTAAGCTGAGCAGCACGCACTCAAATGAACTTGGGCTCCCGGCCGACGTTACTGTCGGTAATGGCGGCCATAGTCAGGCACACCGCACACACCCCATTGTCCACCGTCAGGAGAGGCTTTCGAGAACGCAAGCGCCGTTGACCAGGGTTGAAGAACAGATCCGCGATGAACCTTCATTCTGTGCACGTACACATCAACGCCGTCTGGTCTGGAGAATCCTGACGTGATCTGATGCTGGGGCAGCTAGCTGTTGATGGATCTCAAGTCTGATGGTGGCGCTTGCTTCACCGCGGCAAACCCTTGGAGATCGCTGGTGACAAAAGATGCAAATAATATAAACCCACGTGTTGTTGCCAACTCTCGTCAGCCCCTGCTCCGGCTTCAGCTCCAGCTTCTTCCATGATTTGGCGAGTGACTCCAACGACAAATCTTAATCATGATTGCGATGGCGTCAGCCAGCCAAATCGCTCAGTGGTGTTGTCTCCCCCAGCCTGCCACAGAAATAAGGGGGTGGGGGGGAAGGAGGTATCACCAGGCTTTCGCTCATTTCGCCTATAGAGTACCCAGAGCGCCGTTTCCCAGAGCGCCGCGGCCTACGGGCAAGCCACAAAATACCCGTACTCACTTAATCAACAACAACAATATCGGAAGCCGCAACAATGAGTTGGACGGTGCTCTACTACCTATCGGTAACTGAACACTGCAGGACGACAAAGCCAACGGGTTCGATCGCGTTGCCCGCCACCCGGCATCCATCCAAACAATAGCCGGAACGGCGTCCTGACCCATCGTTCCTCATCCAAATCATGGTCGCCAAGGCGAAGGAAACAATCAGGCATGGGGTGCCTGACCAAGCTTCGATCATGGCCACAGCATCACCCATGCGCCGAGATGCTGAGTCCTAGAAATTCCAGAGTCAGGATGCAGAACCCTTTTTGCCGTTAGATGCCACCCACCTACGTATCCCAGCCGTGCCGTTTCCCCCTCGTCTCATTTCGGCCATGACGTCCGCAAATCCACACCCCAATTTCGGAAGATACGATCGATCTGCGCTAAGGCGAAAAGCAATGGCCGCAGCCACTACTGCCTTTGAACCTGAAACAATGAAACATCGACAACTCTTCTGGAGGGTCCAGGCCTGCACGGCTTTTCGTTCTCGACAGTCACGACACCAAGCAAGGACCTTCCAGAGGTCTGTGACTGACAGAGAGGGACTGCGCACCCACCCCCTCTTCTCATCGGCTTGAGCGACAGTGCTGTCTCGACGCAATCCGGCCTCCCCACTTCGCGTCAAAGGTGATCGATCGCTCAACGGCTGGTTGGGGTTTGCGCCGTGAAGCATGTCACCAACTTCTCGAAACCAGCAGGAAACCCCCACGTCGGAAGTTGGGTGATCTTGAACCTAAGCAGGACCTTCACTCATGTCTTCCCAAGGCAACCGGTATGCCTCCCCTTTTTCCGAGTCGGAAACATTCCTGCGGCGCGCCAGGCCCATACCAGCGGGATGACGCACTATGCGCTTGGCCGCCTGAGCCAGAATAGTCGTGCCCGACTGTCTAGAGCCCTGCGGGACGGGACCGCCGTTGTTTTGACTAGAGACATTACGCAGAAACAGGAGGCGGTCCTCGGGACAAGGAATGGCTGTCGCGGTATTGCGTGCCGGTTCCACTGGTTTCTTCGGCTGGGTGTGTCATTGTTCCCGTTTTACGAGCGTCCTTCACGAGCGCTGAGCTACCCACCTATTGGGCTTCCAATGTTGGGTTCCGCACCAAATCGTACTCAATCTCAGCAACGCCCATCGATTTGACCGCGGATAAAGTATATCCTTTCACGAGTCCTCTCAGGTTCGGTCCGGGACTGTGAACAGCACCGCAGGGAGATTTCAGTGAATTCTGCATACGGCCGCTGGCAGTCAATGCCGGTTGTGGCTGAGCTATGCATGTACGTTATACATATGTATATATATGATGGGCAAGCCGTTAGCTTCGTTGCAATTGCGGCGAATTCTGACGAGGGGGGAGTCGCTCGTCCACAACCACAAAAGAATATTCGCCTTTCTTGACTAGCAAAAATAATGTATGGCCTCGTATGATCGACTTCCCCTCGTTGTATGAGGGGAGGCGTTACGATCGCGATTCAGGAGAGAGGGGAGCGGTGAGTTCTCCCTTTGACCCTTCGGCGGAACGTCCCATCCCTCGAAGCAGGTTCAAGGGGGAAAAGTGCGTCTGTCTAGCGCAATCAACGCATATGCACAGGTCTATCTAGGAGATAAACCCCTCGTGTCATGTTGAGGCATGTATGGCCCTCAGGTATCCCTCGAAGCAGCTCGAAACCTGCACTGCCGACTGCCAGTTCCGGGCGGGCTTGTCTCTTGAATGAATGAGGGAGCAGATAGTACCAGGATGAGCCGCGGTGCATCTCGTGGGAAGCTGACGAGACAACTCGGACAAGCAGACGCGAATCAAGAAGCACCGACATCATGTCCATTAACGCCTTCTCCAGCCCGTCTATAAAGTCAGGAAAAGCTCTACTATTCTCGCCCCCTA